CATTGACGGAAGAGGAATAAAAATTAAATTTGGATTGAGTTTAAAAATTCATCTTTATTAAATTCATCCCTTCCAATCAATTTATTTATTCTATTAAATTCTTTTATTTTTGCTTCACTCAGTTTAAGGATTGAACGGTAAGTTTCTAATTTTTCTATTATTTCTTTCCTCTCTTGATCGTTTTCAACCCCACCACATTGCGGCTTCTTTTTTTTGTAATAGCATATTTTTGATTTAATTTTGTTTAGTTTCTTTTTATATTCATCGTCTGGACTCTTGGATGCTTCGTTGTCACTCATTTCTTACTGAAATAAAAAAATTAAATATTATTTAAATATAATGGAGTAATAAAATAAATCGGAATTTCTATTAATTTATTGTTAACCTCAACTAATGCATTACCGTTAATATATCTAACAAATTCAGCTATTGTGTCAAATCTTCGTCTTCTTTTTGTCATTGATTTATCAGTTTTTCCATAATCGAGATGAATCAAAACTTTATCCCCTTGTTTAAAATTCATGAGCCCCGAATTAATTTGTTCACGTTTAACATCATTCAACCTTTCCATTTGCTTTCTAATATATTCCCATTCTTTTGAAATATCATTTTTCATTTCCATTGGTTTCATGTTTATAGTTCTATGCCATGTATTATTGTAATAATATACTAACTGCTGTATGATGGAGTCATGATTTCCATCCCAGTATATCTGACCGTTAACCCCTAACGCATCTCTAAGAGTTCTCATTACCGCATCAACTATTTTATTATGAAACGTATATGGAGAGGATGAAAAGTAAAAATGAATTTGTGGGAAATAATGAGCCATAGCTGCCTGAAATCCTTTATCACCATCACCCCTTATATTATCTACTCTTTCATGATCTAGTAAGTATTGTATAGCTCTTCTTGTTTCCTGTTCTGTTTTCCCTTTCACTGGAATGCAATATAAATATCTAGTGTTAATGTTAATGGCAAATAAATAAGTAACGTTTCCTTTTGAATATTCCAGATGATCGATTTCGTATGAATATGGATATGGTGCAAATGAAGGGCGACCAAATTTTTCCTTTAACGGTTGAATTTTCGGGTCAATTGGTTTATTTAATATTTTGAAATCCTTTTTAAAATCTTTTTGCTTCTTTAATGTTTGAAATGGATATAATAAAGTGAATGATGAAGGATTAACTGGAGGATGAGGTACTGTCGTTGGAGGTTTAATTTTATCCGCTTTGATTTTGGATGATGAAGTTTTGGATTTCATTCCACCTTTCATTAATTCTGGATGTATTCTATTCATTTGTTTTAAATATACTGTATATAAAGGTTTGATATACTTTCCCGCTTCGAGTTTATGTTGAAGGATGAATTCTAAAAGTTGATCTTCATTTAAAAGTCGGACTGAATATGGTTTAACTAATGAATCATAAATTAAAGATTGTGCATCATTTATGGTTTGAAGGACCCGGGCGTTTTGCACCTTTTGTTTTTGCGGCTCAGGATTATATAATTTATATAATTCATCAATATCTTCTTCTGTTAATACTTTATTTTTGAAATCTTTCAATTGTTTAAGTTGTGATTTAGTTTTTCCCTTTGTATATTCATTATTTTTGATTTTGTCTTTAATTTTAGAAATTATTCTATCATGATATTTCAAAATTTCATTTTTATAATACGGATAATAATAATCCATATCATCACCCGTTATATGTGGATCACGTTTTTGGAGATATGCTTTTAATTCATAATAATCAAGAAAATTTTGATTAAGTACTAAATCATCAATTAAAATTTTTAAATCTACATTATCCATTTATATAAAAATAAAATAAATGTTTAAGGGTGCCCACCTCTTTGATCAAGAATCAAAACCATTATTTACAGTTCCTTTTGTCTCTTCTGTGGCATTTTATTTTTAATAAAATTTAAAATTGTATTAAATAAATGGCATACAACATCCATTTTCACAACATACAGCCTTAGTGTGTGCCCCTGTTAATGCAGTTTTACCGATTGTTAAGCGAGTCATTGACCTGTTTTTAAGTTGTAAATTAATATTTTGACCATCAAATATCACTTTATCATTTATTATATCCAAATAATTTTTAGGTGTTAATTGTTTATTTTGTCGTAAACTAACACCTTTCATTTTTTGTGCAATCTTTTTAAAATCACTTCCATCAATTGAACCGTTGAATGATGTATAACACTTAGGGCATAAAGCAACCATGTTATCGCCTTGTTTCTCAATTGCTAAACCCAATAACTTCTTCTCATGTGCTTTTTCTTCAGCTTTATTCTTTAATATAGGTTTAAATTTCTCATCAAAACAGAAGAAATCAAAAGGTGCGAATTTGAAAATGTTTTTATCATAAAATTGTTTATCGGTTACAATTGCTTGAAATGCTTGAGTGTTAGGAAGATTTGGGTCGCCAGCGATTGCCCAATAAGATGAATCAGTATCTCCTTCAATGAAATGAAAACGATTAACATTCATACATTTATACATAAAATCATAAATGAAAACCAAATACCAGTATTTTGCGTTATCTAAAGTGAAGAATGCCTCTTGTAAACATGTTTCACATCTATAAAATCTATCTTTAAGCATCATTTGATACGTATCCTCTCCTATTTCTCTTATGTTTTTAAACTTATTTGACATACATGCAACGCGTGCCTTCTGTGCATTCATTATTTTAGTCTTTGTGTAATTTTGTGTATTCATTGCATCGTAACCATATGATCCATTAAGCGAAATCTTGCAAAATAAACTTTTTCCTTTATTTCCTTTTAATTCAGCCTTTTGTATTTCGTTCATAAATTCGTTCGCAAATTCATTAAAACAAGTGTTTTTAGTAAATGTTAAAATTGATTGAATATCATCGATGATAAAATGAAATCTGTCGATTAGATACCAAAGATAATAAGAAGAAAATGGCTGATATTGGTTGTGTGTTGATGCTAACTGAGTTAATTTTCTTTGTTTCTGGTCAACTGGGAGATTGTTTGATTTCATGTAATTATACATAAAACTGCCAATTGTTTTTTCATCTGTGATAATATCTAAGTTTCTTATTATCGGTAAAAAGTTTATGCATTCATTAATGTATTTTTCATCAATGTGACCCTTTACTTCAGCCACGAATAAAGTATTTTTCTTCTTAATTATTCCCAGTGCTTTTGCTTTCTTTGTTGCTGTATCACAAATGATAACACCATTCAATCTTCCCGGCATATACATTTTATGGTCAGTATATTGAATGAAATCATGAGGATTAGATGAAAATGATGAAAGATATAATGAATTAAAGTCAACACCAACGAAATGAGTCATAATGTTGGTGGTGTCCTCATTTGATACAGTTTTAGTTTCTGGATTATATGAAAGTTTATTAATGTGTGTGATTCCTTTAAGATTAACACGATGTTGAACATTTGATAGACCACCACTAATTCCATTACGGAGAATGTGATAAGCTTCAACTGAATCTAAAGTCATTGGTAAATTATTTTTTAATGCATAATTTCTTAAATTGATTCTTAAACGTTGAACATCTTCATCTTTATTTGATTTTACGACATTGCAATAACAACACATTAACTGACAATTTCCTTTAGTATGTGGTTTTTCATTATCGATTCTATCCAATGTTGGTTTATTTGCATATGTAAACGCTTTACCACACATTTTGCATTTAGATGAAAGGATTAAATCGTGATAGTATTGAAAATCATCCATTGAAACATTATTTTTAGTATCTCTTTCTGCTTTTTCATCTTTTTTCTTATATGATTCAATTTTATATTTCCAATACTTTTTCGTTAATTCAAAACTTGATTCTATCTCTTCCTCAGGATATTTTTCATTAGGATTAAAGTCTTTATATGCTAAAGCGTAACGAATCATTGAAGCATTCGATGATAAAGAAAGATTATGAAGCATATCAATTTTATAAACAAATGTTTCTTCAATAATTTTATCGATCGGGTCAATCATAATTTCAACATCTTTATTGCAATAATGAATAAAATATTCTAATCTATTCTTAAAATTTTTAGCATCATTGAGATATATTTGATAATCACTATCTGATATAGTTTCTTGGTTAATGCTGAATAAAATGAATCTTTCGTGAATGGTTCCTCTTTATATAATTCTTCTTCGTAATTTTCCCATGTGATGAATTGATAAGGGAAAAAGGATTTAACACGTGATTTATTGTTTCCGAAATCTTGAGTGAATTGGTCTAATGTCCACCCGCTATATAATTTCTGATGTCAATAAATCTCAATTCATATGGAACGTTTGTTTTCTTTACAATGATTTGCTTAAATTGTGAAGATGAACCCAGCATTGATTTTATTTTCCATTTTGCAGTGTTTAAATCATGAAGAATTAAATTTAAATCAAACTTTCCCGAATTAAAACCTATGATATTCACTTTATTGAATTCCTCATCTAGAAGTTCTTTAAATGCTTCCTTCTGTTTTTCATTTAATGTTTGCGACTTCAATAATTCATCATATTGTTCAATATTTGATTTAGCAACTAATGAACAGGTTGAAAATAAAAACTCAATCCAATCAGAAATAAAAGAATCATTCGAAGTTAAACAAAAATTCTTCGTATATGTTTTATCATTTAATTTAACCGTTGATGATACCATGAATGGTTTTAAGTAAGCGTTCAAAGTTGCACACTCAGAAAGTTGTAATTCTTCTTTAGTCTCTAATGTTTCAAAGTCAAAAGTAATATAATATCTTGTCGGTTTATAATATTTCTGCAAATTATGAGCTAATAACCACTGATATATCTTCTGTTTCGTAATATGTGGTGCATATGGTTGCTGGGTCTTTTGCAACTGAACGTCTTGAATTAATCTTCCATTATTTTCTTTACATTTCTCACAATGCTTTAAAAATCTTCTTTGGTTTTTCCTTTCTGGATCATCACGGATAGAATAAACTTCTTCTTTACAATATGGACAAACTTTATAGCCGGTGAGTGCTTCAACGTCTGTTATTCTGTCAGCGTGAAGTTTTCCACATGGACTCTGTGTTAATAAAATATTTACTGTTTCAAATTCTGGATCTATCATTATCGATTCCACTAATGGAAAGTCTACCTTATTTATGTCCACATCTTCTGGTTGAGGATCGCAATAATAGAAATCAATATTAACATTTAACATTCTCGCTAATCTCTCACTTTCTGATGAAATGTCAAACCCATCATATGCATCTATTGCTTCATTTAAATAGCTTCTACGAGTTTTAGGATTAACACCATCAGGAATGTTATAGAAGCGTTTAAATAACCTTCTACCTTCTGCTCTAATTTGATTATCATTCATTTTAGCTGTTCCGTTTTTGTTCATTTATGTAAGAATAAAAATAAACTTTATTTTTTTAAAGCCCATAAAATGAATTAAGAACACATAAATTTTTATCATCTGCGACGTGACGAATACATTTTAATTTACTCAAGAATGTGTACCCTGATACATTAAATCTAATTCCTGTCTTATTTAATTTCACAACTTTGAAAAGGAATGTATGAATAGCTATAAAATGATGAGAAGATGTTTTATGGGTTGCTTCCATTTTTTCTGAAATAAATGAATAAATATAATGCTTATACGTTTTCATATCTTTTATGTTCTTAATAACGAATGGTATAGACCTTTCCACTTCATCTTCCTTCGGTGCTGTTCTTTCATATGAAACATTATTGGTATCTTCAATAATGAAACCGCAATCACATAAAATTTTATAGGTTCCAATGGTTTCTTTTGATATTTTATCTAATAAATCAAAAACTTTATCAACACCTGTGCATTTATTTAAATAATAATTTGTGTAAATATCATGATCTTCTTTCTTAATCGTATTAGTTGCATATGTCACGTTTTTAAGAGCTTTTTTGAATTTCTCAGAATCGAGAGGGGGTGAAAGTAGGATACAGGGGTATTTTTCATTATCAATAAATTGTAACTTATGTTTACGAATAAATTTAGTACCTTCTTCTGAAAGTGTTTCATCTATTTCACCATCTAATAAATTTTATGTTGATTCTAAGACATAATTTTTATATCTTTCTTCATGAGATTTTTGAACTTCTGATTCTGAAGCTGGGATATTCATTAAACCCTCTACTTCATTTTCATTATATTTTTCAACTTCTCTTAATTCCTTAATTTTTTCATCTATTTCATCTCTTATTTTTTCCAATCTTTCAATTTCAATTTCATCGTATTCATCATCATCTTTAATCCGTTCTTCATAATATTCAGGGAAAACATCAGGTTCTTTTGGTTTTTCTTCTTTTTTAGATGTGGGATATAAGAAATTTATAACATCATCTTTATTCATTTTTCCATCATAATCAAATTTATTTAAGAACTCGGCAAATTTTTGACAATTTCTTAAATAATATTTATCAACTTCATAACCCGCCTCCTCTAATATATCCTTTATTTCCTCATTTGTGAATCTCATTTTTTTAACATCGTTAGTTTTGACACTCATTTCATACAAAATAAAAATAATTGATTTCATAAATTCATTTAATCATTAGTTTCAATTTCTTTTTTCTCTCGTTTATGAGGTCTTTGATTATGACTCCATTGAAGTTTAACCCATTCAGGATTTAAACAATGTTTAATTAATCGTGGAATATCTGACATCATCTATATATAGCTTCTTTTGTAAAAGATGAAAAATATTTTTATGTTTGGGCTGAGTGTAAATGTCTTACAATTTTGAAAATTTTTTAAATCTTGATTTATTCAAAAACGTAAGAATAAAAACCGTAAGAATCATACATTTTTTACTTCATATGTTAAAAAAAATGATACAAAATCGTTCAATATCGTGTGAATTCTTACGTTTACAAAAAAAGTCACACAACCCTTCCACATATACTACTTGCGGTAAAATCAATTCTCCAGAAGTGAATCGCGTAGGTTTCATTTATAATATGACGATAATATTTACAAATTTTACTGACAATAAAAGTTATGGATCTTCTGTTTTTGACATAAATATGGATAATTTATATCGACTGACTTTCAAAACATACTACTGTAATATAGTGAATAATGGATCTCCACAAAGTTGTTTTTCTTTATCAGGTTATGCACATGGTTTTATCAACAATTCTAATTTTATCAACAATTCTATTGATGTTAATGATTATTTTTTCATTATTGAAACAGCCTTTACTATCTTGATCTTGACTAAATGTGCATTATTACAGAATTCTGGTTATAACATTGGTTTTGGATATACAATGAATCAATATCATTATTTCTCTCTTTCAGACTGTTATATTGATGCGTACATTGAATATGAAATCGGGTATCGTATTTTAATAAATAATGAATCGTCAATAAACATTACAAATAAAATGAAAATAACTGATCTCAATCGTTGTATAGAGCCATTACTTGCATATGGAAATTTTAATGAGTTTTGTTCATCAAAATATTTAATTCATAATCATCAGCAATACTTATTATTACAATACATCGCTATTTTTACACTATAATAGCATTCATTGAATTAATTTGTTTAAAAAGATACTGATTTTTTTTTTAATGAAATTAATTTTGAAAACATCGATTTTGTGGATTTTCCTACAAGTGCAAAAAATGTGCAAAAACGATTATTCTAAATTCAATCTGTGCATTATTTGAGCATTTAAAAACCAATCCGTGTAAAGTAGTCAAAATGAATATATTTTTTCTTTTATATTTTTTTTGCATATGCAACTGTTGCCATTCTTTTTTAATGTATTTGATTTTTAATAATGATCAACTCCAAAATTTTTCAAATACGCAAAAAATGTGCAAATTCAATTTTAAATAATCATTTTTGCATATTTTGCACCCAATGTAAAGCCCGATTTTGATTTTTTGTTGAAAGACATTTTTTATTTGGAGAATTATATGAATTAATAAATAAACAGTGATCGTTGCTTTTCGGCAAATTGAATTAGAAACAATTGTTGAAACTGCCATTGACAAATGGTGGTAACAATATGATGTCTACATCTTCAATTTGGAATGAAGATGGATGATTGGACTTTCAGGAGAATTAAAATGTACCATATATTCTACATATATTTCTCAGTGCAAAAATTATCCTAGTTAACAATTCAAGTTCTTCTACAACTCCACATACTCAGTTGAATAAAATCTTAATTAAAATAAAAATTTCTTTATTGAAAATCAATGAATATTAAGGGTGCGCCCGGGAGGATCATGTAAACTTCAGAATTTAGAACCTTAATTTTTAAGCAATAACTTGGTACCTAAATAGGTAGGAAAACTCTAAAAATATCAAAAAATACAACTTGGCTCCATAATAATCCTGTCATGGTGGCTGTTTGTATCCCCTAGTATTTTCCTCTTGAATCTCTTTTTCTGTCGAAATTAAATTCAAATCTCAGAAGTAGAAGTGAATAATCGACTTATTACTGCTATTATACGAATAAATAAATTCATTATATTATTTTTATTTACATAATATCTGTTTGAAGTCCATAATTCTATAAATTTTTCTTCAAAAACATTACAATCTTGATAGTTTTGATACTGTTTAATAGGTTTTTGGCACCTTATTTAGTATTTACTACGTATAGAGTCGATCTGAACTTAATTTTCGGAAATTTAAAATATTTATTATAAGTAAAATCTGATTTGAAATTTATGTTTAACTACTCATATCTTGCATTATCCTGAGTAGCTTTTGTAAAAATTCATCAAAAAAAATTTTAACGTGCTTTAATTTTTATTTTTTAAAATAATGCATATTATTATATAACTAGCATATTTACAAATTTTAGTGCTTTCAAAAATTTAATCCTCCTCCTCTCAAATAAACGTACATCCGGGTGCACCCTTAAAAAATATAAATATAAAAATAAAGTTCTATATAATAAATCAAAATAAATATCTCTTTTGTTCTTAGATCAAACCCAGTTGAGCCAAAATTACGTACAATGAAACGATGAGGATCATAATCATCAAGTAGAACATGTAGTACTTAGCCTTCTTAGGAACTTGTACTTCGTTACTTTTGGCGCCACTTTCCCAAACAACATCAATTTCTGCTGTTTGTTTAGTATCAATATTCTCCAACTTAACAATTCCACTTGCATCTTTCTTCAGTGCTTGTATTACAATAACACCACTCTTATCAACAGAAACTCTAATTGATTCTGGAGATGATACAACTCTGACATTCTCTGTGCTGTTCAGTCTGATCTCTTTAGTAAGTGTTGCTTCATTCAATCTAACACTGTATCCATTAGGAATTCCAAGTGAATTTGCGCCACCTTCGATGTATTTTGTGGCTGTCTTCTCGATCTTGTTATTCCTAGAACTCAATGTAACTGTCAATGTAGATTGAGAAACTTTAGATCCAAGGAGACAGTACAAACCACTTGAATTGACAACAGAAGTGATAATTCCGCTGCTTCTTCTGTTCAAGTAACAGTTCAACTGGATGTCGTCTGGTTTCTCAATTGATGACCAGTCAACAGACTCGATGTTTGTGATAGGAACAACTTCAACTGTGTTCTCGCTGACGAGATCCAATCGGAGTTTCTCAAGTTCAACAACAGTGACTAATGTCTTTCCTCCGAGAGAATTAAACACCATTGTTGATCCTCTTCTCTTTGCCTTCATTGTTCCGTTGAATCCGAACTTGACAACAGGTGATTCTGAGAACCAGTTAGTCTGGCGTCCATCTGATGTAGACATCTGCAATTTAGAATGAAGAAGAACGATAGGACTGTCAGGAACGATAAAATTGAACAGTTTGAACACTTTTGATGACAAACTGAATGAAGGATTGAAAGCGACAACTGAGAACTTCTCAGAGAATGTCAATGCCTCGTGTGAGTTAGTGTTGTTCTTCTGGGAATTGTCGAAGCTGTAATTGAACAAAACTCCGTTGTCAGTTGTAAATTTCAAACCGTTTTTATCGAGCAAATTACAAATGATTTGATTTGAGTTCTTCTCATTTTCTATTGAAATCAAAGAAGGAATTTCAACACGGACAACAATTGCCTTTGTCTGGCCATACTTGGATGTGACAATCATGATTCCTTTCTCAAGGAATTTCGAGGTCTTGATCTGACCATTTTGACTTATCGTCATTTGAAAAGTGCCACAAGTTGTGACGATAGAGTTTTGAGGCAATTTGAGGTTGTAATTAGATAAAGGTGGCAAAATCAAAGAATCTGGTAAATCTAATTTGGCTTCAACATCATGAGTTGTTACTTTTTGGACTCCATAAGCTTTTGTAGTCAAAGACAAAATTCCCGAAGCAGTTAATTGTATAATTATTCTGTCTTCAGAAACTTTGATGAAATTGAAGTTTTGAGGTACATTGTATTCACAGTATTTCGGTGTGAAATTGCCGCAGTTTGTAATAACAATGACATCAATTTCCATCAAACCGTTTTGTACTGGCAAAACCGTCGAAGGAGTTATAGCTAAATCAAGCGGTTTTGCGACGGTTACGGTTACAATAAACGGCTCAAAATCCAAAACACCGGCAGCTTTGACAGCAATTTGTGTCCTGCCAGGTGAAAGTGAAGTGACAGTTAATGCGGCCAAACTTATCATCTTTCTATCGTAACCGCTCAAAACGACATCTGTTGGTCCAGAAACAACTTTCAAATCGATTGTTTCATGTGGCAAACAAACGATATTTGATGGTTCAACGATGATTGGCGCTAAAACTTTGACTTCTTTCGTTTGAGAAACACCATCAATTGTTGTAGCCTTGATAGTTAAGAAACCAACTTTATGGGATGTCATAGTGAACAAGTTCTTTCCAATTTTACGGGAGTTTTCTATATTCATACCAATAATGTCGAAGAAAGATTCAGGGATCAAAAGATTTCCGTATCTTGGAATGACAGTAATATTAAATGGTTTGTTCATTATTACAGCGTTTGGACACTCAATTACTAAGTTATCTGCGTAGATAGCTGTTAATGTCCTCTGTGTAGATTGTTTTGTACATCTATCTTGTATATAATAAGAGTGATCACCAGCTGATTTGAGCTGTGGATTGAAAACTGTTCCATCGAATTTGAAGTTTTCTGTTGTTTGGTAGAAACCAGATCCTGAGTAGATCTTGAGAGTACCATTCTTCTTGTCTGTGAAATAGAATGTCTTGGAATCTTCTATTTGCAAATTCTCGTAAACATCTATTTCCATTTCTTGTGAAAACTTCTCTGATCTTGAAACAATTTTTCCTTTCTGGTTTTCAGCAACAATATCTGTGTATTCTGCACCGGATTTGTCGTTATGGAGTGTGTTCATAACTCTGTCATTCATATACAATGTCTCTGTGTATCTGTCGTGGTAAATAATGATTCTGCCATCAGATGATCTGGCAACTGATGTAATTCTCACGGAATGGCCTTTAGTCATGCGAGAAACTGGTTGTGTGTGGACAGGGAAGACATCAAGAGACTGTATTGGTGCTTGGCATTCTGGTAATGTTGGTGCATCATGGTCAGATGAATGTAAAGTGAAGTGATCGACGTAAACTACAGAAATATTGAATTTAGAGTACATTGGGAGTGGTTTTGTGTTCTGCGCTGTCTTCTTATTCAAGACTTGGATGTCACAGTTGCCTGTGTAGACGTCGGAAGCTGAAAATGTCCTGTTCAAGTTCGAAATTGTCGGTGATGAAATTGATGGACACGCTACAGTGATGACAGGAGGTTCTGAGTTGGGCCACTGCAATGGACCACCTGTAATACGAAGCGGGATGGTCGAATTTGGTGAGGCAAGGCCATCAACAAAAACTGTCATTTTATCTAAAACAGAAACAAGGCCATTCTGTGAGGAAATGGCATCAGCGGTACATGTCAATCCGGAAAAGCCACTTTTCAGACCAATTAACTGTTGTGTAATAACAGATGGATTATCTGATTTGATTCTGGAGTTCGGTTGGACGGTGAATTTACGACTTTCCATGGCAAGGAAGTGGCAGGAAGCTTCGACTTTGGCTCCAACTAAGATTTCCGTGTTTTCAATGAAAATATCAGATGATTTGGCGTAGGAAACGATAATCGTAATAGTCTTTGAGTACTTTTGGACCTTGAGATCTTGTACTGTGAATGTGACCTTTCCTTCTCTGAATGTTGAGACTTGATTATTAGAATTTGACAAAATTCCATGTCCGTTGTGGGAATAGCTGAAGAAACCAGAGCCACCAGTTATGTTAAGGTTGTATGTGATGTCTACTGGTAAAACAGGGAGTTCTGGATTAATTTGGATTGGAGCACAGACATGAACCCAGCATTCCCATCTATTTTCAACCTGAGTGAACTTAATGAGATGGGCGCCAACTGTATTCCAGCTTCCATCGATCTTGTAGTAGACTGTAGAGAAAATGTCCATATTTCTTCCGTGTGGGCAGATAAATGTAGGAGAAAATACTGGAGTATCACCAATAGCTATGTATAAATCGGGCTGGATGATCTTTGTTGGTCTTTCAACGTTGATAATAACTGTAGCAACATTATCTTCGGCGTCTTTATCGGAAACAGTCAAAACTGTTTGACCAACCTTCTTTGTAAGGCCAACGTAATTATCGCTAAGAGTCATAATTGGTTCTGAAAGAGAAACTGTGTATTTTTTGAGAACATCGCCTGATAATTCATATGTGCACTTCTTTTCAGCCTTTCCATTATTGATACCTCTTGTTGAGCAGAGCTTGAATGGAATTGTGTGGTTCTCAAGTACATGAAGGACTGGACCTGGGAAAATACCAATTGGCTCAATAACAATCAAATCAAGAGTTGTTTCTGGAACTTTTGGACCGACAGCTTTGATATATGTCTTGCCAATCTTTGTTCCTTGGACAGAGATTTGATATGAGATTAATTTGATATTTTCTTCGGATGGAGTAATTTCACGAAGGTGAGATTTATCTATTGAGATATCAAACTTCAATCCATTCAATGTATCGAATGTATTTCCACGTTCATCAAATCCAACTAAAGCAAACGTTCTTGGATCAGATTCAATGAAGATTGATTTAGTACTGGACTTAAATGTAATGTTGTTAACTTTGTTAATATAAAATGTAAGGGGAATACGATCATTCTTATTTGTTGCGTAAACAGTAGCAACTTTACGATCATTTCCGCTAACAATAACTTCTATATTAGCGAATTTGGAGCAGGAACCTTGTTTTGTAATCGGATTTACATTAATAAGATTTGGATTTGCATTCTCCCATTCGATGCAAGTTGATCCAGAGGATTCAACAACAAAGGATGGCTTTATATTAGAATTTTGCTCTTTGTATGGTAAAAGATAGTCAAGTTTTTCAAACTTGATATCGCAGAAACAAAGTTCAAAAAGGAGACAAAACATTAGACTTATTTTTTTATATGAGAGCACGTTTATTTTTTCAATGATTGCTTTGAATTATTGTTTACTACATTGCAGCGGAATTATGTCCTTCATGTTCTCCATTGAATGCAATTTAAATTTCTTGATTTTATTGAAGAAATAAAATAATCCACAATAAATTTTGACTCTATAGAGAGTTCTAATAATGCCATTAATTTTCTCATATATTGTATTCGCATTTATCATGTCCTTTCATTAATTTGAACCAAATTAATTTTATCAAAATGCAATATAAATAAAACTAGGCCATTTGAGTTTAATGTTATTCTTTATAAGAAAAATTATAAAGAATTACACTGACAATACAATCATATCTATCAAATGTTTGATAATTGTTATATCTAATTATAAAACTATCTTGCAAATAGCTCTGTTTTTGTCTTAAAATTGATCTTACATTAAGATATTAATCTATGATGCAGTAATTTTGCTGTAACCTGCTTGGATTAGGACGATCATCATTTTTGTATAGTATATCAATCAAATATCTCTTTATATCCTTCTAAATATTATTATTTAGTATAAATTGCTTCTAATACACTAATCAATAAAAATATTTATGAACATTTTTGTTCTATAGATATTAATACAAATTAAAAAAAGATTCAAAAGTTAAGTGCATTCACGAAATTTTATTAACATAAATAAACAGAACAATATTGAAAAGTCGTATAAAAAATATGAAATTAAAGGAGAAATCTTTCTAAGCTATTAATTGTTGATGATACAGGTGTTGTAATTTTTAGTTCTGGTAACTCTGTTTCAATTGGGAACGGTATGGACTTTAATGATCCATGAGAATCAGTCTTACACAGGCCAAGCTCTTTTACCGCACGTGTTAAATCGGATGTTGGAATAGTACTATGCTTTCTCTTTCTGGCTGTTTTATCATGCTTCACCTTAGAAGGTCTTGCTGCTAAGAATATTGAAGAACTGGATTGCAAAAGACAACTTGTTGACTGAGTTACTGGTGACTTGGATAACTTTGTTCCTTTTTGTTCAACCAACTTATTTGAAGCCATTAAAGTTTTTTCCCATTTCTCTTTTTCTTTAATTCTCAGCTCTATCACATCCTTGCTCTGGGTTCTCTTGATTCCACCCTGATATAGTTGATCAAGCCTCGAACCGGTGCTCATTTTGACATGTGTGCTCAAAATTGAAATATTCTGAATTTTAAAGTATCGTAGTATTCTGATTTGTATTAGATTCTAAATTCCAAAATTAAAGAAAAGAATTTTTGAAAACTGTTATAGACCGAAAATAGATTTTTTCGGTTTTCTCTTCAAATAATTGAAAGAATGATACTATTATAGGTTTATTATATTATATAGCATATAATCATTCTATAGCCGAAAATTATAAGTTTTGAGAAGATTGAATATAACACAAATAAATTTGAATGTAAGTTAAATTGCTTGTTGTTTTTAATAGCTATTTAATGAGAAATCCAATATTGCAAAATTCAAATTGAATGATTGAAAGAACAGAAAAAGTCATTCTTTTCAATTTCGAATATGTTTCATTGTATTTATAATTAGATGGCAAATAAGATATTTAAACTTGATTTGTGAAGGAAAATTCACAAAATTGAATAAATTCAAATAATTTTTATTCAAAAATAAACTAGTTATTTGAGTTTAATACTAATTATCTATTCAAACTACAAAGTTTGGAATTTAAAATATTTTGTGAGATCAGATTGAATTAATTCAAGGTTCTTTTCAATTAATATTCATGACCATATTACGCATTTTCGAACATTCTAAACCAAATATATAAAAATGGGAGACGAATGTTAAATTTGCTAGACATAAAGAAGTTGTTTACCGAGTTTTAGCTCTTATCTCTAACAAAAAATTAATTTTTAAAAAAATGACCGAATACGTTTCACAGCGAGAAAAAAATAAAAGGCAAGATAGAATTTTCTAGACATAAAGAAGTTGTTTACCGAGTTTTAGCTCTTATCTCTAACAAAAAATTAATTTTTAAAAAAATGACCGAATACGTTTCACAGCGAGAAAAAAATAAAAGGCAAGATAGAATTTTCTAGACATAAAGAAGTTGTTTACCGAGTTTTAGCTCTTATCTCTAACAAAAAATTAATTTTTAAAAAAATGACCGAATACGTTTCACAGCGAGAAAAAAATAAAAGGCAAGATAGAATTTTCTAGACATAAAGAAGTTGTTTACCGAGTTTTAGCTCTTATCTCTAACAAAAAATTAATTTTTAAAAAAAATGACCGAATACGTTTCACAGCGAGAAAAAAATAAAAGGCAAGATAGAATTTTCTAGACATAAAGAAGTTGTTTACCGAGTTTTAGCTCTTATCTCTAACAAAAAATTAATTTTTAAAAAAATGACCGAATACGTTTCACAGCGAGAAAAAAATAAAAGGCAAGATAGAATTTTCTAGACATAAAGAAGTTGTCTACCAAGTGTCAGCTGTTACTTCTTCTCAATACTGATATAAAATAAAAATCTTTATTATTTATTTAACCTTTATTGTTTCATTTGTAATAAACAGAAATTCATCAAAAGTGACGGCTCTCAATTTTTTGACATTTGTAAATTCTAAATTGAATGAGAAAAATGAAAGAATACTAAGCATAATACAATATTCTAGATTTAATTATAATTAGGAAAAAGTTAGTTTTGAGAGTACTTTTCATAGGCATATAGAATGAAATCTTCTGAAAAATAATATCACATAAACTCATATTATTTTCTAATATATAACTATTTTATATAAAAATCAAATTCAATGATCTTAAAAGCGAAGGATAAACCTCAAAATTTACGAATATAATGAGTGGGAATATAATGCTTATCTATCATAAAACCATATGAAATATCAATTTTTGCTTTACGCCTAATTTTTGACGACAATTAGCAAAAAATGTTAAATGTTAACACTCAGTCTATTTGAATATGAAAAATAAAATTGACTTTGATTAAATGTTTTTATTTATCATGCAATTCTTCTTGCGACCAAAGATTTGAATAAAAGTTCAAAAAATAAGATAGCTTAAAAAATAATATACGGTAGTGTTTACTAATAGATGAATAGTATATAAATTCTATTAAAATGGATTTGATCCAAAAAAATATATAAAATTTGATCATAAATAAAATCGTTTTAAATTACTTCTTCATTTAAAGTATAACAATCAGATCTTTTGAAAATGCAATCATAATATGACCAACATATGTCTTCTAAGATTTGGATGCTGATGTACTTATTATTGCAATTTTTTTCTTTTTGAATTCCAAATTTCATTTGGCATTTTGAATCGTAATAAGAAATAACAGTCTATTTTGGGTATAGATCACCAACAGTTATATATGCTTGTTGATGCATTCACGTATTTTTATGAACTCTGCTGACAAGCAGTCCTCCCAGAAAATTTCAAAGATTTTTAGAAAACCATTTTTCCCCTTCCGCAATATAGCATCGGCACCTTAAAAAAAAGTTTGTAAAATTTTTAACTTTGACACTTTTACATTTGACACTTTTAAAAATTTTTGAAGTGTTTACTAGATGCACATTGTCACTTTTAAAAATTTTAATGCTGAATCCTATTGATATTGAATATGATCAATACTGCAAAGAACACAATTTACCTGATGATTGCCTTCACATTAGAAATAAGAGTTTCAACAAATTCTTCATAGGTTATTTACAGAAGAATAAAATTGGATGTTACAGTGAACCAAAAATGACCGGCAAATTATACAATCATTTGATCGTCGATTTCTATGTTGAACATCGTCCAAATGCAATAATTGTAACTGAAATTATAGATAATCCTAATTGAAAAGAAATTGTAACTTTGCTAAATGTGGAAAAAGTTAATAATTTTATTGAGCTTTTGGACATATTCTCAAGAAACGATACTACAGATTTTTCAAATATTAAAATCGGTAAATCGATTTACAGGGATTTCAAAGATGAGCCTTTAAAATTTAATTATGACTTATTCAAATTTCTTAGATATGAAGATTTCCAATATGGGGAGCGACTCTTCTTTCATTTTAATGAAGAAAATCTGAAAGATTTGAAATTTCATAATTTAAGTGTTTTTCCAAAGGAAGCCAAATCGCCTTTTCGAATGAAAATGTATACATTTGTTCTATATGAAAAAGAGCATCCCCCAAAGAAACCTTCCACACCTTCTAACTGGTTCATAAGAATTTTTTGCAGGGACAATGATGACAATCCTAAGAATGAAAGACTAAAACATACTAAAGGCTATAATAAATTAAAAAACGAGTAGTCTTATTGGAAATTTTTGGTAAGAATTTGATACCATGAAAAACCAACAATTGAGTTGTACACCCAATAATCTATAATAAAAATAAAAAGTTAATATTTTTGGTCCGGAAAAAGTTATTATAAATTACTGCATAGTTCCTAGCAAAAATCAAGATACGTTGTTATTATCAGAGCACCTCAGTAAGTGGTAAGTGCACCCATAATTGATCAAAAAAAAAATTCAAAAAAATGTCATATTACAACAATAGAAGGTATATAAATACAATACATTTATTATTTGATTAGTCGTTGCTCTTTTTCTTCCTTCTTCTAATTCTCTTCTTTGGTTTAGGATTTAGATCTTCAGAACTCTCCTGGTCTTTAGTTGGAGTTGAAGGTTGATTATGTGGGACAGATTTAGAGCGTTTCTTCTTCTTTCTGTGTTTCTTTTTAGTGCTCGTGATCAAATCTAATCCTTTTGTATGGAAAGGCAAATACTTGAGGTCTTCAATACCTATCTTCTTCTCTATTTCAGATATTGTTGGAATAATTTCATCGTATTCTGAAATATCAAATAAATCAGAAACAACAACAAATTCTGCAAATAAACTTGATGTAAATATCTCTTTCAGTCTTCTTCTCCTAGTTACGTATTTTCTTTCGTTTTCTTGGATAATTGTTGATGCTTTTAGTTGTAATAGGAAAGCAGAAAACCATTCTTGTACTTTATCATAAAATCTACCCTTTTCTAGTAAAATTGATAAATAATAGGCTGATATTCTAGACCAATAAAAAGATAATACCATAATTCTTGAAAAAATCTTAACTCCTAGCAATATCTCGCTCTCAGATTGTGTATTACATCTCAAGAATATATTATGAAACTCCATTGGCGATGCAAAGTATTGTGATGACAAAGTTGGAACTAAATCTTCAACAGAAATATAGTTTGGACATAAAGAACATACAAAAGTAGATATTATTCCATACCCTGGACTCGCTGGATCAGCAAGAGTTAGTAAAGTCTGTATTGGTTTGTGCAAAAATTCTGTTGGAACGCTGTGAAGGATTCCTTTGATAAAAATCATAATAAGTCTAATAAATGGTATCGCATCTGATGGATTTAGCGTAATTATCAATCGTGAAATCGAAAGGAATATACTTGAGAAAAATTCATTTTGATTTACAAAAATTCGAGGAGAATTTATCACTGCTGAAACAAGAAGTTCAACAAAATGTAATCTCACCTTTAATTGGTCGCTGGTCATTTCTGGATAAGGTGGATAAAGTAATGAAACAAAAAAATCATATAGCTTTTCAATACCGCCATTCTCATTAAGTAGCATGTTATATATTACACTACTTGAGTCTTTTAAGTATGATAGAAATAAAATGAAAGTATTTTGATCTTTGAATAGTTTTGAGAACGAAACAAATAGAAAATTGCTTATGGGTCGCTCATAATATTGAGTAATTAAAAAGGAATAATCGATTGGAGTTCGAGGATTCAATAAATTACGATTTGCATATAAAATATTAACAAAATTTTCAAAATCTGCAACAGGATCAGTTTGTACATAGAGTAATTTCTTGAGACTAGAGCTAGTTAATTTCCAAAAGTCAACTTCTTCATTTGATTTTTTGTTCATCCAAATTAAAGCAGGTGTTAGATTTGAAAATATGTCAAGAGCCATACTAGTATCTGGGGGTTGATCCAGCCCTAGCATTTTGAACTGAACATTCGGATCTGATTGCCACCAATCAAGAACCGATGTCATATAAAAATTTTTGCTAGCGGGAATAACTTAGATATTCGAGGAAAATCGATACGTAGGTTTGATTTTAGCATAGAATTCTGTTCTGAGCTTCAAGTTGCTGTAGTCTAAAAACAAATTCATCGAATGAAAATCTATATTTGGGGAATACATTCGGTCAAAGGCCCACGACTCTAATTGATAATTATTATCTACTACCTTATTGATATGTATACTTAAAGTCAGCTGAAATACAATATTAGAGCTTATAATATATTGAAGTTATAACTTGAAGTTATAATTTGAAAGAAATATATACAAAAATACTTATCACTTTGATCTAATGTCTTATTACAGTGTGTAAAAGCCTCAACAAACTCTTAATAAGTTGAAAAAATAAAAAGCTTATCTACATAGCATATGAGATTCTTTGGCAATATGTGCACTTATGAAATAATGCAAATAATGAGATTCATCTCAGAAAAGGGAAATTTACCACCCGGACTTTTTTTATTAATGGGGTCCATTCTCAATTTCCACCTCATTTATAAAAACAATACCTTTATTGGAAATTCCATTTAATTGGAAAAATAATTGCTCAATTCGAATTAGGCCGTTTTTCAAATTAAATGGAATTTCCAATAAAGGGTTTTTATAAATCAGGTGGATTTTTTTTTCAGAAAAATTTTAATGGAGAAACACATTGCACAGGAATTAACAGGAGCTGATTTAATGAGAACATATGCTGATTACATTGATGCATTTAAAAGTATATTTCAACTCACAGACGATAAAGTAGAAAGCACTTTTATCAAAGTTAAAGAAATCTTAATTAATAAATATATGCTAAAAACATCGGTTATTTTAACTATAGTGGGGAACTGTATTTATTTTAGGGACTGTTACATGAAAGCATATGTAAAACTTTATGACTTGATTAACAGTCTTATAAATAACAAAATAAATTATTTTTATGTATCTGATATCAAAGATGTAATCTCTGCATTCGAAAATAACAAGCAAATGACAAACAGTTCTCTTATAGACTACATTGAACTTCTGAAACCAAAATCATTATTTAATTCAATCATGAATGATGATCTCAAAACAATGATCTATATTGTCAATCAGCCAGGTTTTGACATCAATATCAAAATGAACAAAAATATAACTGGCACCGATGAGCAATTCAATCTTTTGGAAGTTTGCTCTTATTATGGTTCAGAAAAATGTTATTTGTACTTAAAACAGAACCATAATTTTAAATCTTCTGATTGTTCGATTGCATTATCATTCTTAGGTGGAAATCCACGGATTATGCATGAATCATTACCTTTAATAAATTCATCAAATATTCGTCAATGTGTTGAATATGCAATAATGTCACACAATATCGATTTCTTTAATTATTTAAATAACAACTTTCCCCATCAAGATATTTGTTATACTGTCACAAGATATTATAATCTTGAAGTATTTTTGATAGCAATTGATTTTGGACAAATATATTCTTTTAATAAATATCTACTCGAATTCAATATCGATGATTTATGCGTATATATATTTAAAAAATTGAATCGAAGTGCAATTAACAAATTTGACATTTTACATGCAATTACTCATTATAAAATTCCAAAAACTATTAAATTTGCAATCGAAAGTGGAGCCAATATCACGATGACAGGCTATAGTAATGAAGGAGCTCTTCATTTAGCTGCAGCACATGAATTGAAAGAAATAGCTGAGCTTTTGATTTCGAATGGTATAGATATCAACGCAAAAGATAAAAATGGAAAAACTCCACTTCATTATGCAGCAAAGAAAAGTCTAGAAATGGTAAAATTCCTTATTTCACACGGTGCAGATATTAATGCAACAACAAACCAAAAGGAAACTGCTCTTCATTATGCAGCAAAGAAAAGTCTAGAAATGGTAGAATTCCTTGTTTCACACGGTGCAGATATTAATGCAACAACATACCTGAATAAAACTGCTCTTTACTTTGCACAATATTATGATAAAAACGATATAGTAGAATTCCTTATTTCACACAGTGCAAAGGAAAAATCAGGAGAACAAGAAGAAGATGAATAAGATGAAAAATCGATGTCTTCATCATATTCATTTTCATATTTATAATCACCTTCTTCATAATAACTAGAAATTTTTGAATAAAAGATCATCAATATTTTAATTATCAAATTTAAGCATCCTGAAGGCTTCACTAACATGACAAAAAAAAATGAAAAATATGCTCTTCAATACATATAATGTCATAATTCATGTTAATGGAAGAAGGTTCACATACCACTTTAAATATACTCTCATAAAACAATATATCTTAACTGTGAAAGCAAAAAGCCTCTAACTTCTCAAATGCGAAGTCACGAATGCCTTGAGCGAGTTTCTCAACAGCCATTGCATCCATGTTATGTTCCTACGGGAATTCAGCCTCTGTCATTGGTTCTGGACATGGAAGGATCTCACCCTTGTATTTCAATACTAAAACTACCAATATTATCACTATTACATTAGTTTTTGCAAATAAGAGTTTAATTTTATTTCCTGTTGTTAAGGCTGCACTTACACCCATCTGCCTTTAATTCAAATTTTTGACAACTGGTGTGAAGCGTCATTGAAAATTAACCTTAAACATCTGAATTGAAGGCCATGTCATAGGGGCGTAAGTGCAACCTTAACAATGACTAAAACTATTTTTGAACATACAGTTTTATTTTACTTGAATATTTGTTCAAAATTAAATAGAGAAAACTATATAAAGCATATAATTTATATTTTTATTGGAATGTAATTGACCAATCGTCACGAACGAGGAGGCCTGGTTTTCTAATTGTCAAAACACCTTCTTCGTATTCGAACTCCATTCTTCCGTTTGGTCCTGTTATAGATTGTGGTTCCTTGATACCAGAAATCCTAATTCTTTCGATATAATTGTCATATTTGTAGCCAAATTCATTCATTACTCTTGGAGGAACAGCTCTGTTAGATAGTTTTCCATTTTCAAGAGAAAACTGTCTGTAGATGAATGAACCCTTTTCGAATTCTTCAGATTCACCATCATCAATGTATAACTTTCCTTCAGCAGCTCCATTTTCATCAGCGGAAATAACTAAAGTGAATGGATCATAGAACATGAGTTTTGATGATTTTCTGACTCTGCATTTCATTGGAACAATACTTCCTCCTTTGATCAAAACTAAGCAATTTCCATCAGTAAACTTTGCGACTGTTTGTTCGAAAGGTTGGAGTGTTCTAAATTCATACCATTTAGAAATGTTTGGTAAGACAATATTTCTATCTTTCTGCTCTTTTTCAATGAAAGGAATGACCATTAATTTGTCACCTAACATAACTTGGTCATCAATATCAAGAACACTTTCTTCCTGTGTGAACTCGTACCAAAGAGGTCTAACTAATGGCTTGCCTGTTGCATTGGACTCTTTAGCTAATGTGTACCAGTAAGGAAGCATCGTGTATCTCTCAATTACAGCGGTTTTGGCAAGTTTTCTGTATTTATCGTCTTTGATTAAGTAAATTTCTCTTTGTGAAGCCAAATGGTGGCAGTGCTCTCTGAAGAAAGTATACGTCCAAGCGGCGATTGAATACCATCTTGAAAGTAAATCTTCATCAGGGGAGTTGAAGAAACCGCCAATATCAGCACCGGAATAGACAATTCCACCAAGACCAAACGATAGAACAGATGGTATTGAATTTTTGAGATGGTTCCAGTCAGCTGCGTTATCACCCGACCAAACATAGGCATATTTCTGGGATCCGGCGAAGAAAGAGCGGGAAAGGATGAATGGACGCATTGGCTTCTCATCACGCTTCCTTAGACCGCCGAATGTAGCTCCAATCATCATGTGGCCGTACATATTGTGGATTTCTCTTTCTTCAATGTCGCCGTAGTGGACCAAATCACGTGGCGCTGTATTGTCTGCTGCATCAAAAACAGATATTTCGTTCATATCATTCCAAACGAATAAGTTTGAAGCAGAATTTGAGTAATGTTTGAATGAAAACAAGGATTCCCACCATGCACGTGCTTTTGGCATGAAGAAATCAGGCCATACCGAGTCTCCTGGCCAGCATTTTGCACGATAAACTGATCCATCCCTTGTTTTTACAAGTAATTTTTGGGAATTCGCCTGATTGTATACGTTGTAGCCACCATCTGCCTTCAAATGAGGATCTACAAGAGTAACCACATATCTTTGGTCCTTGGCAAATGTCTCCAACATCTTCTTTGGCTCAGGGAAATTCGATGGATGGAATGTAAAGTATTTCTTATCGTCTGTGTGGTCTAAGTCCAGCCACATAACGTCATGTGGAACACCGATTTCGTCTAATTTTGTGGATACGCCCAAGAAATCGCTCTGTGTCATGTATCCCCATCTGCATTGATGGTAAGCTAAGGCAAACAATGGAGTAAGTTGTGGTCTGCCTGTTAAGGATGTGTAAGAGTTCGATATTTCGCTTGGAGAACCAAGGAAAACGTAAATATCAATATATCCTCCTTCAGAAATGTATCTGGCATCGGAACTGGATCTGTCCTGAGCATTCTTGATGTCTACCCATGTCTCTGATGGGTTGCACCAGAAGAGACCAATTGATCTATCTAATGAATGCATGAAAATGAGAGGAACAGCTCCGTACATTGACATACCGTTGCCAATTTCGAACTCGTTGATATCAGTATTGAAGAATCTGATTGGCTCTGATGTATTTTCGAGAGTTAATGGTAAGGTATGTGCTGGTAAGCCTGTAAGACGAGTTTGCTTGCCATTAAAGCGGAATGACATGGCAACAGATGTTGGTCCATTCTTGAAAACATCGTTAAATCCATTGAAATACCTGTCTTTGAATAAATCTGGATATTTTTCTTTGCTGCGTTGAGTTTCAAATACAGCTGCATTATCCATATTGAATAGAAGTGCTTCACCTTTCTCATCATTGACAACAATGGAAAATGGATTGTAATTTACGATTAATTTGATTCCTTCTGCAGAAATTATTGATTGAGAATCAGTATTTTCAACTTGAATATCAACAAAAGAAGAAATATATTCCTGATTAATAACTGTTGGCTCTAATTCGCAATCATATCTGTTGAATGATTCTTTATCTAATGGTTTAACTTTGATATGAGCAGTTTTATTGTGATGTATGCTAACTTTAAGTGAAAGTTTTGTTGAATAGTTAACATCATCGATTATGGCTGTGAATGTAGTTTTATTTGAATTTACTGTGTTTGGCTGAATCGACCAAACTTGATCTGTAACAGATCTATCACGAGTGCAGAAATATGATTCAGTGCATTTCGTGTATTTCTCTTGTCTAACAGAAAAAACAGCGCTAAAAAGGTAAAAAGAAAACATAAAAAAATAACAAAAAAATCGGTCAGATACTCCCTTGCTTATAGCACTACATTATTAAACTGCAAATATAGTAAATTGATCTCTCACATACCAATTGGTAATAAGATAGCTGACCTATAGCTGATACTTACCTTAATTATCAATTATCAATCTCTGAATATTTGAGCTAGATGTTCAGGATCTGTTTTCGCTCCTTGCTCTTTGTAAGCTTTTATTCTTGATTCTGAACATTATTCATAGAAAATCAATAGATTTTGTATTATATCCATCAAGGTGCCATATGGAGATACTCCTTCAAGCACTCTTTAATATCGTCCTTTTTTAGTTTTAAATTCAATCGATAAAAAAATATATCCTTCATTCATCGGATTTTTTAAATAAAAGTGTAAAACAGTAATTTCAATGCTTAATTTATCAGATATCTCTTGCTCAATAGTGAAAATATCACACATCAATAGTAATTGGAAGGCAGTTCATATGGAAGTATGTTATAAAAACACTTCACAAATAAATACTACTAAAAAATAATGAAAAAAATTGAAATTAGTATTAAAAATGTGGGCAATTTTAACTGCTTTTAAAGCAGTCTTATGATTTAATAACAGTTTAAAACTAATAGAGTTCTATTTTGTGTTTGAATTATTTGTCAGTTGGCTTTGGAAGCAATTCGAGGTATTTATTATCTTTCTCGAGAAATACAATAAGTCCAATGGCCAATGCAAATTCGAGGGAGCAGGAAACGATTCTGGATGTTCTGCTCGCGCCGAAGTTTTTGTTATCAAGCTGAATCCACCAATCCTTGACGGCTTGCTTAATGTCGAAGCGTGGTTTTTCCTTTTCATTGACAATGTATCTGATATTGCCTGTATTCAGCATAGTTGGCCAATAATTTTGTTCGATCTTCACGCCCGTCAATATTGAAATAACCAAATTAAGAGGCCAAAATTAGAGTAACCAGATATTAAAATGAAATGGTATTACATTTTTATTATAGAAATAGTGAACGGAGATAAAGAATTTCAAAATTTTTAATGCATCAAGTTAGATGTTTATTGATTTAAGATCGCGATGAAGCATTTTGTTCTGTGCATGACTGTCCAAATTATTTAGAAAAACACATTGGTTATCTGGAAATCTAGAGTTTCAAAGTGCTTTCCGTCTTGGCCAAGAGAAAAATTATATATTCGTGGAAAATTCATGGAAAGAGAAGACCACATGAGAGCCAAATCGTTTTCCAAAGATGGAAATTGATTCCCACATTAAAATAATTTCATAATATTAATCCTATCATTAGTTTTCTTTTCATCAAAATACATGTCAGATTCTAAATTTAACAATCATATGTACAATATGTTTGATGTCGAAAATTTGAAATTTACAACATCTTTTTTATATAAATCAATAAGAAAATCTTAGTAGTATAGTATGCGGGTTTTGTGCACGTTTTTGTTTTCTTTAAAAACTAACGAACATTAATGAAGAAAACCGCCTAAAATACATGATTTTGTGAGTTTTTGACCATTTTTTGACACCCTCATGAGTTTTTTAAAGCAACTTGCACATAAACTTATGAGTTTTTTGACCATTTCTTTACATAGGTTTGCTGAAAAATGGCTGAAAATCACATGTGCACGTTTTTGTTTTTAAAGGAAAATACATGAAATTCATGAGTTTTGCTAATGAAATTCACTTAATTATCATCAATTTTCTAAAGCAAAACTCATGAAATTTTTATTAATTTGTTAAGAAAACTCATGATGAAAAAAAGTGGAAAAATTAGTAAAATTAAGTTTTTAGTCGAAGTTTTTAATGGAATATGTGGTCAACGTTATATTGTTCACTCCAGAGTTGACTGGAAATGATTCTCTGAAGGTCTTGCAAAATGATTTCAGCACTGGTTTCATTCCCATATCTTCTTGAGTGTTGCCATGTATTGATCAAATTCGTGAAGCAATACCTTAAAAGGGCATCTTTGGGAAATTCAAACTGCATTTGTTCTTCTTCTGGGTAGAGTTCACGAACCATCTTTCTGTATTTCCAATATGGGACTGGAACCTGATGGTTTTCGTAATATTTCAGCTCTGCGATGATCTTTTGTCCTTTGTCCGAGATCCAAAAGTCATACTTCTTTTTTCCTGATGTTGTGAGAGCATTTGCTTCCTCGAGTTCCCTCATAATCTTCTTGATTTCATTGTCTTTGGCGATTAGTTCTGATCTGAGCATTTGAGCTTCTTTCTTTGCCGCTTCTAGTTCTTCTTGTTTAAGTCTCCTTTCTTCTTCCTCGTCTTTCTTGATTTGTTCCTGAGTTCTTCTTTTGATCTCTGGATTGTTGAGCAGGGCTTTCATCTTTTCGTAGAGTGCAATGTTTTCTCTTTGGGTTTCCTGAAGATGGGTCTGGCTTCTCTTCAATTCCTCAGTGACTCGATTGAGATTTGATCTTGCTTGTTCCAGTTGCTTTTGTACATTCTCTTCTTGTATCATTGGTGCTGTAGTTCCTTGCTCCATTTGTACTGTAGTTCCTTGCTCCATTGTTGTTTGCAGATTCTGATCCTGATCTTCTTCCTCTACTTCCTCTTGCTCTGACCACCATTGCTCTTGCTCTCTTCTCCTCTGTTCTTCCTCTTTCTCGCGCTGTTCCTGCTCTTTCATCTTCTGCAATGCTGCCAACATCTTCGTGCGTGCCATTAAAAAACTGAAAAATGACGATTATTTCCCCCTCAATTTCCTTAAGAAACAAAAATAAACATTTAATTTAATTTTTTTAAACATTATCCGCTGGTGAAGCATATTTAGCCGGAGTTCCTGTTGCATGGTATTTCAAACCATCTTCAGGACACCAAGTCCAGTAAGTTGTCCTTGTAAACCACATCTGAGGTGGTGCAACATCTTGAACAGAACAGTATACATCAGCATCTTTTTTAGTATGAATTGGATTTGCTTGTAATCTGATACTAACTTGGTTATTCTTTGTTTCTAAACCATCAAAGAAGACACTTCCACCATCCCTCATAACAGGTATGGTACAAATGAATGATGTTTGATCTTTCCACGGTGCAAGCATTTTCTCTGAAGTACTTCTTTCTCGTGTTAAGCTATCTTCATATTCTTCTGTACATTCATTAACACCATCTAAATCGCTAGCTTGTAACATTCTTGTGAAGAAAATATCTCCAACAGTACTCATTGCATTATCAGGGAAGTTGCGACCATCAATTGTGATTTGGAAGTTTCTAACCATTGGGTTTCTAAATACTGTTCGTTGTGATTGTCTCGTTGGAAATACAGTAACAATATCAGTGACATTATGCAAAGCATATGTAAAGTCAGAGACGATACCATTGTTAGTAACACATCCATTATTTAATGTTCTGACATCAATTTGTTGTGCTGGAATCATAAATGGATCACGACGGTTGAATAATGTTGGAATTGCTCTTGCAGTGGATTCAATAACTCCATATCTTGGAACAATAAATTTATCTTCTGTAATTTGCATTTGAATAATGCTGAAAGTAACGTCACCACTCTCAACAGTAATTTGTGGTGAAGGAAGTTTTGCATGTGCATCAGTTGTTTCAGTCATATTTATTTGAAGCTTTTCAACACTGCTCACGTCGCCTGTTATTGTTGGAGTATATGTTTTAATTGGTCCCTTGTTAGCACGTTTCACACCCTTTAATAAAGTAGTTGGTTCACCAATTTGTTGAAATTCTCTTGTATAAGCTTTACCAAAATCTGTTGTTAAAACAGCTTGATAATCTTCATTTTCATCTCATCATAACAAACATATTGAATATCAGCAGCTCTCGCTGGATCAACTTGACAATAAACCATTGAATGAGGTGTGTTATAATATTTAAGAATTATATCACCAAAACTCTTTGGGTAATCATCAAAAGCCTGGAATGCTAATAAGTCATTTAATGGAATGATCATATCAAATTCTAAATACCTTTCATCCTTAGCATCTTTCAACCATTGACCATCATTTGGATTGAAATATACCCCACATACTGAATTGTCCATTTTCTGAACATTATTATATAAACTATGGACAAATTTCTTAGTCTTTCTTTCCGACTTTGGTTTATATGTAACATATGCAAAACCTTCTTTAACCATTTCCATTTGCAAATATCCTGTATCTACTCTATCTGTCTCAACTTCTAATTGTCTAAAAATTTGATTACTTGACTTAAATCCAATAAATATTCTATTACAATTAAGATATTTTTCATCATTATCATTTGTCTTATCAGTTGTAAATACTGAATCATCTGGAAAGATAACACTTGATTTTATTTTTATCCTAACATGACGTTTGAAATAAGCTTCACCTAAACAGTTAATATCATGTTCAGATTTTGTTAATCTCATATGTGTTTGTTTTTCAAAATCATATGGAGCATCACTATCATAGCAAGTATTTTCTAACTCACGGTAATAACGACGACCATCATTTGCAGAGAAGATTTCATTCATTTTCTTGAAAGATTCGAAAACATTTCCATCGACTGGATTGTATCCTTCATTTCTCAAATAAGCACCTGACATATTTTTATAATGATTAAAAAAATAAAGTTTTTATTTAAATTAAATATAAAAGTTATGGCAGCAGGAATCTTCAAAAAATTTTGGGATGGACTTAAGCAAGTTGGTAGAGAAATTAAAGGGTACTTTTCAAAACCAGTACAAATAAAACAAGGACCTATATGTGGACTACCAGCAGCTAAACCAATTGATAAAGGAAGTTTGATTAAAGATGTATTAATACCACCAATTCAACAAAAACAATCATATCAGAATGTAAATAGAATTGATCCAATATTAAAGAAATAATACAAAAATAATTTTAATTTTTTTCATCACTTAATCATTCCCTGAACAATACCACCAACCGTATTACCTATTTGAGCACCTTTGACTCCACCAAATTTAGCACCTACGGCAGTACCAATTGCTGGTAAGTATTGTTTTGCAACATTTGCAACTGGTTTAATAACTTTATCTCCAACCCATTTTGCAGCTTTCTTTATTCCACCCCAAATTTTATTCCAAATTCCTGCAGCCATAATATTTTTAATTAAATTAAAAAATTAATTTTAAACATTAAATCTTGAATTTATTACTTCAATAATCATATTAACTCTTTCTTCAATTGTTTGTATTCGTTGAATTATTTCTTCAATTTTCATTGTATTTGTAATTCTTGATTCTGGAATGGATTTCAAACTAACTTGACCTTTAATTTTAGTTATTCGAAATACATCTATTTTAAACATTTTATTTAATTTACATGTTGTTAATTCATCAAATAAATCTTTGTTTTGTTCATAAAACTCATTAAATTCATCAATACTTTCAAAATTAGTACATTCTTTAATTGGTTTAATTATTTGTAATTTCTTTTCAGGTTTTTTAGTTTCAACTTTTTCATCATCATCTTCATTTATTTCTTTTGGAACTTGTTCAATCTTTTTCAAAATTGGTTTCATATTTTTAAAAATAAATAAAAATTTAAATTTTTTTGACAAAATAGAGAGGAACTTCAACTTCAACATCACCTTCTAAAATTTCATCTTCCCCATCATTAATCTCATCATCTTCTCTAAAAGTAACAAGAACAATTGCATTACCATCTTGATATCTTTGAAACAAACCTAAATGATCAAAATTCCTTCTTCTCTTCTTAAAAAGTTCTTTTGTCTTTGATGTATCTAAATAAACTAAAACTTCATCTCCTGGTTTAAATACATAATAACCATTCTCATATAATCTTTGCTTCACTTCATTTAACTTTTCTGTTTTTCTTCTGATAAATTCCCATTCTTTATCTCTATGAATATGCATTTCTAATGGTGTCATCTTGATTGATTTATGCCATGTATTATTGTAATAATAACATAATTGTTGAATTAAATTATCATGATTACCATCCCAATAATTTTGTCTATTGGGTCCGAGCGCATTTCTTAAAGTTCTCATAACACTATCAACAACTTTATTATGATAAGTAAATTTTGATGAAGAAACATGAAAACTAACTCCATATACTGGATGATATTGAATTTCTTTATGAACAAGAACTTGTTTCATTCCCGCATTCTTTTTTTGTCGTCCTCTTCTTTTTGTTGGTATATAATTTTCATCAGGAACAAGTTCATAATCCATTTGATCTTCATATTTTGATTTTTCAATCATTATCATTTGCATTGCACTTTCAAATCCAGCATCACCATCACATTTGATCAGTTTAACTTTATGACCAAAATGATTAAACTCAAGTTCTGTAAATTTCTTTATTACATTAAATGTTTCAATTGCTTCTTTGGACTGAACTGGAAACAAATATAAATATTTGGTGTTAACATTTATAAAAACTAAATACGATGCAACCATTAATGTTTTTCCACCGCTTTGAACAGGTCTTCCATGTAAATGATCCATTTCCCATGTATCAGGTGTGAATGCAAATGTCGGTCTTTGAAATTTCTTTTTCAATGGGGTTAATTTTGAATCAGAAATTACTCTTTCAATTCCATGTTGAACGCCTTGATACTTTTTGACTTTGTACGCTGTTTGAAATGGATATTTTAAATTTTCTTCATTTTCAGGAAAATCCAAAACATATGGATACCCATTTTCTTTTGATCCTTCTATAAAAATTTCGCTTTTATCATTTTTTAACATTAATTTAAATAAGATTAAAATTATGACTAAGAAGCAATTAACGCAAGAAGATCGCAATTTTGCAAAAGCATATAGACTTTTTAAGGAGATACCGGGTGCAATGGCTTACTATGACGCGTTTTTTAATAAAACAGTTGAAATAGTAAAATCAAAACTAAATTATAAAGAGCTGAAGGAAGAATTAGAACATTTAAGAGAAGAGAACGCACAATTAAAACAATCATCATCACCTGGTATTGACACGACTGGTGGATATGGAAGACAAAAACAGCAATCACAATCATCAAGTAACCCTAATGTTAAAGCAGAAATGGATAAATTAACTAAACTTAATGATGAAAGCACAAAGAAAGTTCAAGAATTACAAGCAGAACTTGATAAATATAAGAATGCATTATTAGGTAAAGGTAATGAAAGTGAGGTTTTAGTAACAAACTTGAAGAAAGTTGAAGCTGAAAAGAATGCATTACAATCTCAAATTACAAAACTGTCAGAGGAAAATACAGAATTAAACCATAAAGTTAATGAAATGTCCATGAAATTGAAATCACTTGATAAAGCAAACGAAGCAAATAAAAATGCTTCACAAGAATATATTAACAAGATTGAATTACAAATTTATAACACAAGTGATATAATTATTGAATTAATTACAAAAGTTTTAACAGTAGTTGGTGCATCACAAGAAGATTTTGAGAGAAATAACAACACATTTGAACAAACCAAAAATGACAGATTGAATCTTACAACTTATGCAAGTTATGCTAAGGAAGAAATTTTGGATAAAATTAGAGGTCTCAAAAACATTGCAAAAGAATTTGTTGAAGATATTGATATGAAACTTATTGAACAATTACTTGAATTCGCAAACACTGTTGGTTACAAAGAACTTTCTGGTGAAATTGCTAGTATTAAGAGTAGTCTTGAGAATGCTGATTTCTTAAATAACACAGATGCTTTTCAATTAGCTCAACCTATTCTTAATCTAAATGAAGTGACATTACAAACTGCTAAAAATGAATTTTCTAACTTAAAAGATTTTGTAAATAATATGATAGATAATAATGCAAAACAAGGTGCAGCAATTACTAACAAATTATCCAATAAGGCTGATTATGATCAAGTGAATGATTCACTTAAAACAATTTTCGAAACTTTGTACCAATGGTTATTGGATAAAGCTGACGAAGTAAAAGAATTACAAGAAAATGTTCAACAAAATGCTAATATTGATGTTGATGCATTTCAATCTAAAATTGATGAACTCACCAATCATTTAACTACGATACAACAGAAATTAATTGAATATTTAGATGTTGAATTCAAGAGCATTGATCTCAATACAGCAACAAGAATTAAATCATATTTTGAACGATTAATTTCAAATGATGAACCAATTCTGAACCAAGTTGAGTTCGTTCTAAATATGTTTGCAAATAATTTAGCAGTTGCACGAAAGAAATTAAGTTCAATCGATCAAGAGAAACGTTATGTTCAAGGTGAATACCTGGGTATTTCTTTCAATGAAATTGCATTACATAACTTTGCAAAATCATTACAACAATCTTATGCTCTTTTACTTGCAAATGATAAAACTGAAGTAATCAACTATCATTATTATTCAGTTGCTTCACAAAAGATGATGAAAGTATTAATGGATGAATATTCAGAAGAACAATTTGCATTGAAAGTTCAATTCACAAATGGTGGAATGTATTACATTGAGTTACATTATGGTGAAACAGTATTTCCATTTTATATCACTGAGGATATGAAAGATGTATTTACATTCTTTATTCAACAAGTTATTTCAGCTAATTTCATTGTTGGAACAGATGTGGCTGTAAATTTAGCTGAGGAAATTAATAATTTACCTGATGATAATGAAATAAAAATAAGAATGAATCAGATTAGCGAGAATGTGGAATGGAATAAAGTTGATGAAGATGGAAACATTATAGAACAAAACAATGGTGAACTCCATTATGGAACATTTGGTGGAGAAAATGATAATGAATTTGGTGACATTATTGATGAATGGGGAAACGTAATTACTCCTGTCGAAGATAGACCGGATATTGAACGAGAAGAAGCTGAAGGACGACGAGATGGAAATGGTCATTTGGTTGATAATGATGGAAATATTATTGAATATGCATGGCAACAAGGTCTTGTACCAGATGGAGATGAAAACTGGGTTGATCAGGATGGAAAAGTTGTCGTTCCTGCAGGTTATCAATTAGATGAAAATGGATTCCCTATTTACTAATAAATGGCATACAACAACCATTCTCACAACAGACTGCTTTAGTGTGAGCACCAGTTAATGCAGTTTTTGCAATTGACAATCTTGACATCATTCCATTTTTTAATTGCAATGTTATATTTTTGCCATCAAATGAAACTCCATCTTTTAATATTTGGTAATAGTTTTCGGGAGTTAAATGTTCATTCTGTTTCAAGGATACTCCTTTCATTTTCATTGCAATCCTCTTGAAATCATCTTCTTTCAAATGACCATTGAATGAAGTATAACATTTAGGACATAAAGCTATCATGTTATCTCCTTGTTTCTCAATTGCTAAACCTAATAATTTTTTCTCATGCTGTTTTTCTTCCATTTTATTTTTGAGTTTTGGTTTATATTTTTGATCAAAACAGAAGAAATCATAAGGAGCAAATTTGTAAATGTTCTTGTCATAAAAGTTTTTGTCAATAATGATTGCTTGAAATGCTTGAGTGTTTGGTAAATTAGGATCACCAGCAATTGCCCAATAACTTGAATCAGTATCTCCTTCAATGAAATGAAACTTATTTGTATCCATGCATTTATACATGAAGTCATAAATGAAAACTAAATACCAATATTTAGCATTATCTAATGTAAAGAATGCTTCTTGCAAACATGTATCACAACGATAATATTTATCTTTCATCATAACTTGATAAATATTATCACCAATCTCTCTGATATTCTTAAACTTTTGACTCATGCATGCCATTCTTGCTTTGTCTTCTTCCATAATCTTTGACTTCGTGTAATTTTGAGTATTCATTGCATCATAACCATAAGATCCGTTTAATGAAATCTTGCAAAACAAACTTTTTCCTTTATTACCATTCAACTCTGCTTCTTGTCTGACTCTCATGAATTCATTTGCAAAATCATGGAAGCAAGTATTCTTAGCAAATGTCAAAATAGATTTAACATCATCAATTATGAAATGAAATCTGTCAATGAGGTACCATAAGTAATAACTTGAAAATGACATATATTCACCATGAGTAGATGCTAATTGAGTTAGCTTTCTCTGTTTCTGATCAACTGGGATATTATTTGTTTTCATGTAATTGTACATGAATGAACCAATTGTTTCTTCATTTGTTACAATGTCTAAGTTTCTAATAATTGGTAAGAAATTAATGTAATCATTAATGTATTTCTCATCGATGTGACCTTTAACTTCTGTAACAAACAATTCTTGTTTCTTCTTAATTATTCCTAATGCCATTGCTTTCTGAGCTGTTGATTCACAAATTAAAACATTAGTTAATCTTCCTGGCATATACATTAGATGGTCAGTGTATTTGATAAATGGATGAGGATTAGATGAGAAACATGAAGGATATAAAGAATTGAAATCAACACCAACAAAATGTGTCATAACATTATCTGTGTCATGATTTGAAACTTTACAATTGTCATAAGTTAATTTGTTAATATGTGTAACATTCTTCATATTAATTCGATGTTGAACATTAGATAAACCACCTGTGATACCATTTCTTAAGATGTGATATGCTTCAACTGAATCTAATGTCATTGGCAAATTGTATTTGATTGTAAAGTTTCTCAAATTAACTCTTAATCTTACTATTTCTTCATCTTTGTTTGATTTAACGACATTGCAATAACAACACATTAATTGACAATTCTCTTTTGTATGACCTAAATCATTATCGATTCTATCTAATATTGGTTTGTTGTCATATGTGAATGCTTTACCACATAATGCACATTTCGATTTCAAAATCAAATCTCTGTAATAATCTAAATCATCAATTGTGACATTATTCTTAATATCTCTTTTTGCCTTTAGATCTTGTTTGTTATAACAGTCAACTTTGTATTGCCAATACTTCTTTGACAAAATGAAATTAGAATCTTTTTCTTCTTCAGGATATTTTTCACTTGGATTGAAATCTTTGTAAGCCAAACTATATCTTATCATTGATGCATTTGAACTTAAACTTAAGTTATGTAGCATATCAACTTTATAAACAAATGTTTCATCAATGATTTTATTAATCGGTTTGATCATGATTTCAACATCTTTGTTACAATAATAGATGAAATAGTCTAAACGATTTTTGAATTGTTTATAATCGTTCAAGTAAATTTGATAATCGTCATCTGCAATTGTTTGTTGAGTTAAACTTGAATAAAACATTTCTTTCGTGAATGGTTCAGTTTTGAATAATTCTTCTTTCCAGTTGTCCCATGTGATTGCTTGATAAGGAAAGAACTATTTAACTCTTTTGACATTATCACCAAAATCTTGAGTAAATTGATCTAATGTACCACCTGCAACAAAGTTTCTGATATCAATGAATCTCAAATTTGGATATTCTTTCTTATGAACTGTGATTTGTTTATACCGCGAAGAAGAGCCAAGCATTGACAAAATCTTCCATCGTGCAGTATTAAACTCTCTTAAGATTAAATTCAAATCGAACTTGCTTGAATTAAATCCAATCACATTTACATTTGAATATTCGTCTTCGAGTAGTTTTAGAAATTTTTCTTCTTGTTCAATTGTTTTTAATTTACTAAAAACTTCTTCATATTGATTCATGTTCAATTCTTTAACTTCTTTTGCTTTTTCAAATAACCAATCAATCCGATTGATAATAAAGTTTTCATCAGTAGCATAACAAAAGTTCTTTGTAACATCTTCGCATACGCTTGAGACCATGAATGGTTTTAATACTGCATTTAAAGTTGTTGATTTAGTAATTGATTTCTCCTCTGTTGTCTCTAATGTTTCAAAATCAAATGTAATGTAGTGTTTTGTTGGTTTGTAGTAATCTTGTAAACCATAAGCTAATAAGAACTGGTAGATCTTTTGTTTTGTAATGTGTGGAGCGTAAGGTTGTTGAGTTGGTTGTAATTGAACATCTTGAATTAACTTACCACCGTTCATCTTGCACTTCTCACAATGTTTCCAAAATCTTGCTTGATTCTTTCTATCTGGATCATCGATTAAACTGTAAACTTCTTCTTTGCAGTAAGGACAAACTCTGAAACCGACTAATCTTTCAACATCTGTAATGGCATCTGTGTGTAGTTGTCCGTCTTTGTTCTTTGTTAGTAAGAAATTGATTGTTTTGTATTTTGGATCAACAATGTAACTTTCAACAAGTTCGAAATCTACATCTTCAACATTAATGTCTTCCTTTTCTTGTGGAGAACAATAGTAGTAATCGATATTAACTTTAAATTTTTTGCATAATGCTTCAGACTCTTTTGCAATGTCGAAACCTTCATAAGAATCAATTGCGTCATTTAAATATTTCCTTCTTGTTTCAGGATTAACTCCATCAGGTATGTTATAAAATTCCTGAAAGAGTTTCTTCCCTCCAGCAATGATAGCTTTATCACTCATTTTTTATTAGCGGAAAAAAGTGATCGCACAATATTTCATTCTTGATGACATGTGTGTTTGTTCCATCTTCTCAGAAATGTTTGCATAAACGTAATGTTTATAGGAGTTCATGTCTTTGATGTTTGAGATCGTGAATGGGATTGAACGTTCAACTTCATCTTCTTTTGGTGGTGTTAATGAATATTGTTTGGTAACAGAATCTTCAGTAACAAATCCAAAATCACATAAGATCTTATATGTTCCTTTCGTTTTTGTTGCAATGTCATCTAAGTAATCTAAGATCTGCTTTACATCTGAAACATTGTTGAGGTAATATAATGTGTAAAGTCCTTTGTCTTCAATATTTTTGGAATTCTTTTTGTAATGATTGCTTTCAAGAACTTTCTTGAAATCAACTTCATCTAATGGATGGAACAGTTCGATACAATCAAGATTAGAATCCATGAACTGTAATTTATGTCTCTTGACGAATTCTGTACCTTCTTTGGATAAACTTTCATCAAATTCACCGTTCAACAAATTCTGTGAAACTTCTTGAACAAAATCTTGAAACCTTTCATCATGGTACTTCTTTAATGGTATCTGCGCTGTAGGAATATTCATTAATTCCTCTATTTCAGCTTCAGTATCATTAATGTCAACATGCGGATTCGCGGTTTCAATTTCGTTTTCATTGGTTCCACCTAAGAAGTTAAGAATGTCTTTTTTGTTTGCTTTGCCAGTGTATTCTTTATCCAAAATGTCCTTGAAAAGTGCTAAGTTTTTCAAATAGTTGTTAGAAGGTTTGTAAGATTGATCGTCAGAATAATATTCATCATTAATTTCTTTAATTTCTTTTAAAGAATCAAAGACTTTCTTTAATTTGCTGAATGGAATTTTTTTCTTACTCATTCTCATTTAATTCAAATTAAAAAATGACACTTTTTTAAACGATAAGGTTTTTATTCATAAAAATACTAAGGTTATTCCAGGACCTTGTTTTTGTTTTTCTTCATCCATTCGTTCAAGAATGTGTTGGAAATCTTCCACGAACTTTAAGAAATCATAATCTTTGTTCGTGTAATGCATGAAAATTCGGTTCAATTCATTTTTGACACTTTACATATCGGATGTATTATCTAAGAATTATATTATAAAATAATAATTTTGTGTTTTATAAGTTTATTTGTATAAATTGATTCAAAAAAAAATGGAAAGACAAGAAGTGGATCTGCCAAATGAAAATCAGATTTATATTACGGCATATCTTGAATATTCTATTGGCAAAAAGACAGCAGACCAAGTTGCAAAAGATTTGCACATAGGTAGAAAAAATTATTATTAAAATGGCAAGAACTTGGTTTAAATCCAAAAAAGCTCGGAAGACCAGAAACTCCTCTCAGAACAGATTTGTTACCAACCATTCACGAAATAAAAGCTAAGTACAATCTAGGTTATAAAAAAGTTTTAGAGAGTTACATACATGATGACACAGTTTCATTTCACGATATGCTTAAATTATACGAAAAAGAGAATCTTTTCAAATTTCGGCGAGATCCAGAAAAAATTGATGAACATCCAAATCAGTATGTTTCCCAATACGTAAATCAGCAATGGCATACTGATTTAAAAAGCTTCAAAGAAGAGACAAATGGTACCAAGCATACTTATCATTTAATTGCCTTTATCGATGACAGATCTCGTTTTTGTATTTATTACGAAATTCTTCCCGATAAAACAATGAAATCAACTTCAAAAGCTTTACAAAATGCTATCGACTCTATCAAAATTATTCCATACGAACTTTTGACAGATAATGGATGCGAATTTACAGGAAAGGACTTCAAAAACGTTCTTCAAGTAAATGGCATTCAACACCATCGGACAGAACCTTACACACCACAGTTAAATGGTAAAATAGAACGTTTTTGGCAAACAATCTTTTCGGCTCGCCCAGATTTTATCGAAATAAGAGAATTTTTACCTCACGCAATAGAAGAATACAACACAGTATGGGTTCATACAGCTCTTAAAGATCTTTTCGGTGGAAAACCTACTCCAAAATCAATTTGGGACCAGGGTCCTAAATGGACAAAGGACTTAAACCCAAATCCTGAGTTCGAAATACAGCCTCGTAACTAAAAATAAAGTAAAAATACGAATAAACATTTTATTATAATTTAAATAATTTTTTTATTCATAAAGTAATACGATATATAGCTAAGCTATGTAAGGATATTCTGATGCTGAGAGTTTAAGAACTTTAAATTACGTATAGAAAAAAAATTCATTTAATATTTTGTAACATTTTTTAAATTGATAGATAGTTAGATTTTGTAGGGGAAGGTAAGATTCTTTGTGGTAATAATGGTCGTTGAAATTAAAATGAATGTAAGATTTGTGGAGAAATTGTATAAATTTGCATAGTGTTAGATTCAGAATAGGAGCATATGAGCCAGTGATTGTGTCTAATGTTTTTAAGGTGCTAATTGGAAGTAGAAAAGAAAAAAATTTGTTGCAATAACATCATATTGCAAAAAAGTTTTTAAAATATGATGTATGAATAAGAGTATGATTGGTATAGATTTGGGTTGTATAAATGTGATTGAACAATTGTTAATGGAAAGTTCAAAAACTTGGGTGCAATCAGTTCTGATTGCACCCAAGTTTTTGAACTTTGTATAAGGAATTGTTGGCTATGATGTACTGATCATGAATCAGTACATCATAGCCAACAATTCCTTCCCAAACAACCCGAAATTTGTCTGATTCCACACTAATTTTATTAATTTATCTAAACTTTTATCCTCGTCTACAATTTAATCATCAATAATTATCTCTTGTTCTATTTCACTATTATATATATATATATTTATATGATTTGATTTAAAAAAAATAAATAAATAAATTAATAAATCATTTACTCAAATATATCAAAAGTTTTATTTTTATATTATACATGGCACGGTGGGCGCAAAAAGTGACAAAATAGAATACCTATGGTGGCACGACAAAGGAAACATTTTTGTAAGGCAAACATTATATCAAATACCTTTACTTTGTAATAAGAAATATAATTATCACGAAATTACAAATAAATATTGTTTAATATAATTAATAGCAAAATTGTTTTTTATTATTTCCCTTAAGACCTTACTTATTAAGTATACGTATAACAAGCTTGTACTGCATGTATTAGTTAATAGAACAAAAGAAAATGAGCTCAAATGAAAAAAATTTTCATGCTATTTTGGAAATATGCATATTCGAAGTATGAGAGTTGTAAACACTGAGAATTTTAAGCTTTGGTTGATGATAGTCTTTAATTTTTCTTGAAGTAGTAAATTATTTGATATGAAAATTTAATGGCCAGCATAATCAATCGTGCGTTTCGTTTCTTGATTGAGAAACGATGATTGTGTGCTAATGAATTATTGCGTCTGACAGGTTATGATTATGGATACCTGAAATTAAGCTTTTATGGGAAACATCACCGAGCGCCATTTGGCGCCCCTAATGCTGTTTCTATCGGTATGATTAAGGAGCTTTCTTATGCACTTTCATCACTTGAACTTGAACGCTACAAGATATATGCCCCCCTCCCAATGGGAGGTGGGAGCAAAAATTGAAATGTTTACATTGATTTTTGAATACTTTACAAGCGCCACTCCCAGTGGGCGCGGGCGCAAGTGATCGGGTTAAAAAAATCATAAAAATATTCAAAATTGCGATTTTAATAGATGTTTAAGAAGTAAATTTATTAATAACGATATTTCATAGTACAAAATGTGTTCAATCTCTTCGTAAATCATTCAAAAAAATCAAAAGAATTTCCAAAATTCAATTTTTTTAGTAAAATTTATATCTTTTTCTATCGTCTCCTCCCCACCAGTGGGAGCCACCGGAGGCGCGGGCGGCGCCGCTGGCGCCAAAAAAGTAGCGCCATCGTGCCATGTATATTTTATATATAAAGATAACTACTTTTTAAAAAAATACCCTATATATTTTTGTCATGTAAACTTGTCACTTTTTGTCAGAAGTGAAGTGAACCGGGTTTTCATGCACAACAAAGATTTTTTTACTTTTCTCCAGAATGTAAAACGTAATGCGTTTCGTCACTTTTTGTGTAAACTGAAAAATATTTTAATGTCTGAGGCCAAAAATGACACAAACCAAATAAATCAAGATGATAACCAACAGCAAGGAGAAGAAATACCACTAGAGAAACTTGATAGCAAATTAATTTTTGATAAAGATTTAACTTTAACAGATAAAGAAATCGTTTTTCGCTTCAAAGTTTTCAAAATTATGAACAAAAAGACTTTAAACACGATAGAACTCGAAATGCACAAGTATGATGATATCTTTTTCTTAATGAAATGTAAGGTCGACTTCAAAAAGTTCCAGAAAATAGCAAAAGAGAACTCTCTTACAATCGATTTCGAGCAATTACTTGATGCAATCATATCAATGTTCGAAAATAACATTAATCACAATAATGCTACGAAAGTTGATTTTAAAGCATCAGAAAAAGGTGGAACCCTTTCATTCTTCGATGTTTTAGAACTCAGAGCTGTTAAAATCTTCTCATTAGATTTCACTAACGCATCAAAGAATCATCAGTTTATTTACGCTCAGAGAAAGTTTAATGAAATAAAAGAACTTCTAGAACTTAAGAATAGAGAGTTAGAAATCTTCCTTCATGAAGTTCATAAGAAGAATTACACAATGTTTGATCATATTTCCCAGAAGGCAATTTATGTCCCCACAGAAGAATCTCCTGGTTTTACAGATTCTTATAAGAGTTCTGGCATCCCTGGATCTCCAAAATCGCCAAAATCTCCTCGCTCGCCAAAGCTTTCTAAATAAAACGAACTATTTTTGAATAAACTATTGATATGAAATGTTGGAAATTAAATATTTGAATTCTTTTTGATTCGAAATTGAAATCGATAAATTGAGCAATTTTTGAAATTAAAGGCTGGAGAGGAAACACTGTAAAAGCAAAAGAGAAAACCTCATACACAACAAATATATCTACAAAAATTGTCTCTATTATGCTTGACATATGAAAAATATAGTAATAAATTGCAAGATCTCATAATATTACTTCCGTTTGATTCCGAGAAATATTATTTGATCATCCCTTTGTAAATTCTAGGATAATTTTTAGTTCATTAGCATGAAAGTATGTTTGGAAAAAAAAATCATACTGTGCTACACGCCACTAAATAGTAAAAAGTGACAATTGTGATGTCTAACTCAATGGATTATTCCTATATGGTTAAAAATCCAAGCGACTTTGGCTATCCACCGAACACAATTCCCAGAGGAATAACTTTGGATGATTTAATGAAATCTAATCAATTTCTTAAGTCTTTTCCAAAAACTTTTTCTATTGCCAATCCTAGTCCAAATGCATTAACAGAGTCAAAGAAATATAAGAAATTACTCGATTTTGTTAATGTGCATAAAGACAAACCAAATCTTCAACAACTTTTAGTTCCAGTTTTTTGTACATCAGTTATGGCATTAAAAGAGAAAGGAAATGTTGACGAACTTAACGCATTTGTTGAAGACTTCAAAGATCAAATACCAAATTCACGACAACCAGCTGTTAATAGATTTTTAAAGGATGAAAAAGTATTTACACATAATGCATGCCTATTTTCAACACAGAATATGAATATAGAAGTTACCTATGAAGAAGCAGAGTTAATTAAAAACTTTATCAATATTCAAGAAAATTCCGACTTAAGAAGACAAATTACATCTCATGTAGAGCTTATTCCTAAGTATGAAGTTGTTCCTAGCCATACAATTGACATGAAATTCTCTCCTCCTTCAGTAATTAAAGATATCACAATTTTACAAACAACTATTCCAAATGCAACACAAGCTGTTGTTTCTGATTACTCAACAGATGTTTTTGCAGCATTTGGAAATAATCAAGTCATGAGATTCAACGGAAAAGAAAGATCATCTCAAATTTTACGAAATCATTCATCATCAGTTACCTCATTATCACTTTCTTCTACCGGATCTCTACTTCTTTCCACCGATATCGAAGGAAATTACAGCGTTTGGAGCCAAAATGGCTCTGAAAATGGTTATTTAACAATGTCAAGTATCTGGTGTTCATGTTTTGCACCTCAAGGAGGCATTTTCGGTATCGGAAGTGATCAATGCGCATTTCTATACGATGCTAGTCGCAATAAAATGTTCAGATCCTTAGTTGGCCACTTGAATTCGATTTCATCCATAAAATTCCACCCGAATTGCGCATTAGTCGGCACTACTTCGTCTGATGGAACAGCAAGGATATGGGATGTGAGGACAGGAATGACTCAAAGGCTGTTTTTGAACAAAGATCAAATCGAAATCCCGAGAAGGTTCACGAATATTGCGTTTTCTGATAATGGACAGTTCGTCGCTTACTACAATGGTAATGTTTGCGTTGCAAATATCGGCTCAAACGCAATTATCGCCGATCAACCTGTAGGAATCCAGAAAATTAAGTCAATTCAGTTCAGCCAGGACTCAAATTCTGTCTTCATCGTAGAAACAAATGGAGAAATCCAAGTTTTGACTTTTAATTCTGGAGATCTTGTTTTAAAGGATGTTATGAACCTTTCTGCTAATGTCATTGACGCAAAGAGGAACACTATGAACGAACTTAATGTTTTAGTATCTTATGACTTGTAAATATATTTGTTTAAAATGTAATTTATATAATAAAGCTATTATTTATTATTCAGACGACTTTTTAATAGTTAAACTAGTAATAATCATATTGGAAACAAGTAGTTTTTTTAAAATAATATCGCAAAAATTTTAACAAATCCTTGAATCACTATTAAAGTATAATAATATATGGTAGCCGTTTCTGGTTGATAAACCCAAAATCTGGGAAAGGTTCTTGGGAAAAAAAATTAGGAATATTCCCAGCACTTTTCCACCAGAACCGGCCACTATAAATAATATGATTAAATTCAGTGAGATTTCATATACATTATGCATATCAAAAACAAAAAGTATAGAATGAGAAATAATTTATTCTAAACAAGAGTAAATATAGATAGAGAAGCTGAAGATATGCTTAATGAAAAGTAAATATAGCAAAGATTATTGGATACAGCTTTTTGGATTAATTTTGGATAAATAATTGAATTAATATTTGTATTAAGATGCAGAGTATTGTCTTTATATTGATGATAACGATTATTGTCTGTTGAAGTTATTAAAACTGATTGGTTTCCTTTAAAATAAGTTGCATATTGATGAGAAACAATATATATTGTATCATTAATGTTTATTGGGGCTAAATAAAAGCTATAATTATTGTGATCCTCCCATTCTAACGGATCTGATTTATAATTTCGAAAAATTGTCAAGTTTTTGATTGCTTTTGGTTTATATAGAATACATGAAATATAGGTTACTGTTTGAGGAAGTATAAGCTGTTCAACCTGTTGAAAATGATCTGTCGCGCCTTGGAGAATGGTTGTGACTCCAAAAGGAACTGTAAATATTTTTGACTGATAATTTGGAGGTATGTTAACTAGTTTCTTCATGTCTTTTGAGTATAAAGCTCCATCAACAACTTTAAAATTAGGTTGAGTTTCATTAATAGTATATTCTTCAAATTTAGAATTCCATTCGAATGGCCCACCAGCACTAAAAGTAATTAATTGAAGTGGGACATGAATTGTTTTAATTTTTGATTCGGTGATCAAATTATTCCCAAAATATTCAACTGAATCTGGGAATTCAATTGTCTCTACATTTGAATATCCTACAAATGCTAATTCTTTAATATTTTTAACCAGGCCTTGAATTTTAATATGAATTGCATCATTTCTATGTTGTGTTTGCTCACTAGGAATAGAAGGACCATCCGATATAATTGTAAGAGTTTTAGTTGTACTATCCCAATCATAATTCAATTGTAGCTATTCGCTTTTTCAATTTGAAATCAATTCAAATTCTGTCAAATAAAAAGTTTTATCCAAGATTCATCAGACTAAGAAAACTTCTTTTAAAACAAGTCGGAAGTATTAATAATTCATACAATCAATATTGAGGAGATTTTTTCATAAGAAAACTATCAATTAAGGGTGCAATTACCATTTTCTGACATTCTATCAATTTTTTTTTTGACAACACGAGTATGTGCGATAGATTTCACCGCAAAAGAAACATATTTTTTTCTTTTTCATTTTATTATTTTATATGATCAATCTATATCAAGTCATAATATTAAATCAGATCTTCAAATAACCTATAATTTGAACGTCTTTTGAAGCATTAAAAAAAAACATAATATAGGGAATTAAGAGCTCAAAATTCCTATTGATATACCAATGGTATACATATATGGGACCAAAGCTATTTCTATGGTCCATTCCAGCTTTTAAACATTGATGTTAATGAGAATGCAATTCAATATTTTATAATTTTACAAGTATCATCAAAGATTTAGATTAATAATCAATGAAATTTATTAATATTGAACAGATTCTATGTTTTAAACAATGATAATGTTACTCTTATGGGAATTGCTCAAATTGGAAAGAATGATATCAAATATGTTTATTCTAATGTATATTCAACTTCTTTCGAAGAAAATAAAACAGCAGTTGTCTCAACAACAAATAATAACAACAAATATGAATATTCAGATAATATCCTCAGTCATGATACGAACATCAACACAATCATATATCCTAAATCTGTTGACAAAATATCATCTTCTTGTTTCAAACCAATGAGTCATAACAGTTTTTATATTCAAGACTTCACTGGTTACACAACAATCACTATCAAAAACCATCTCTACACTACATATTGTTCTAATTATCTTTCCATTCACTTTTCATTATCATTCATTCTTCATTTATCAATTTTTGCCACATTATTACAACATCTTAAGAAGCCAAAAAAATATGAACCATGCTTCTATGACATTTGTTTGCAAAGTAAATAAAAAAATTAATTTTAACTTCAAATTTAAAATAAATGATATGACTGGAACGTTCTCAAAATTTATTTTTGAAAGGGGACAATCAATTCAAAGAATAAAAAAAATGATAACAAGCGAAGACACCTGAAATTTCAATAAATATTTCCTAGGAAACAAAGAGTTCAAAAGTCCTAAGGATTTGCCAAAGAAATATCCTAGTTGGATCAAAGTTAACGAAAATCTTCCAGGTTATAGTCCATTCCAGACTTTAAACATTGAAGTAGACGAGATTGTCATTGATTATTTTGTGAGTCAAGTAAAAGATATTCCAAAGTGTGTTGTTTTCGAAGGATATCGTCCTTTAGTCATTCAAGATTTGTTACGTTTCAACAGATTCTATACATTAAAGGATGATGATATTACACTTTTAGGAAAGTTTGCAATGAGCGAATTTCTCTTATATTATAGATGTGATAAATTTCAATCAATGTATTATGATCAAGCAAACAAAAATGGATGCATAATCGAGGGAATTGTTCATGATTATGCAATATTACATGATGCAAGTGAAGAAGTCGTGAAGGCAATCGAAAAACTTGGGAAAGGTATGAAATACACAGATGATTTCATATTCAGAGATCAATGGATTCCTATTAACGATTTAGGTGTCACCCCATGGATTATTTACGAAACAGGAAAATATTATCAAACTTTGAAATATTCACGGCGAGAACTTGGTCTTGAAGAATTCCAAGTTGTCAAATGTCGATGGTCGAAGAATAATTCAAAATGAACGTTGAATATTCATATTTTATTATTCGATTATGATAATAAAAATTAATTTGGATTGATTTTGAGTTATTATTAATAAAAGTATGAATCAATACTTTAGTAATAGAGATTCCAGTGTCAATATTTCAAACGAGGGTTGATTGCCTCTAAATTATGATGAAAAATTTTAGGTCATCTCAAATTTGAATAGATTTCAATTTACTTTACATGTATTGAATTCTCATTGTTGTAATCTAATACGGAGTACAAATGGAGTGAATCAACAAAAACTCTCACCATCATATCAGATGGCTCACCTATTGCAAGAGGTCAAACAAAGCATCAAAATGATGCAATTCACATTAAAATTCAAGGTCCGGCTAAAATAATAGACGATGCTGCATTTGAGAATTATTCTAAAGTCGAAACATTTGAAGTTCCCGAATTGATTGAAGAATTCGGGAATAATATTTTATCTTATTCACAAATTACAGAAATTCATATACCATTTCAGCTGAAAACATTTAATATTGAAGGTCCATTTGAATATAATTATAAACTTGAAAAATATACGATCAATGAAAATCATCCAAATTTTAAAGTAATCGATGGAGTTTTGTACTCCAAAGACATGACACAAATAGTTAATATACCACCAAATTGGCAATCAAAGATATTTACAGTCCCATATGGAGTAACTACGATATATCATGCAGCAACTGATTGTTTACAAAATATTGAGCAATTAATATTTCCTCAAACAATATCTCATATAGCAGGCATTTTATATCGTCCAAAATCAATCAAAAATCTCTTTATCTATAGAGGTGAAAATTCACCAGAATCAATCATATGGGATAACACAAAATATGACTTTGCAGATTCTCCTGTTCAAAAGAATGATATCAAATATGTTTATTCTAATGTATATTCAACTTCTTTCGAAGAAAATAAAACAGCAGTTGTCTCGACAACAAATAATAACAACAAATATGAATATTCAGATAATATCCTCAGTCATGATACGAACATCAACACAATCATATATCCTAAATCTGTTGACAAAATATCATCTTCTTGTTTCAAACCAATGAGTCATAACAGTTTTTATATTCAAGACTTCACTGGTTACACAACAATCACTATCAAAAACCATCTCTACACTACATATTGTTCTAATTATCTTTCCATTCACTTTTCACTATCATTCATTCTTCATTTATAGAACTAAAAACAAATTTTGATTTATTTTTATTAACAATTCTAATGTTTTCTGGATAATCATATGAATTAATAAATATGAGTGCCTGATTTGAATGCTTATAAGTCTGCAAAGAAATCAAAAAAGGCTGTTTGATGGATAATCGTTTGTTTTCTCAATTTGAAATTAATTCAATTTTGAAAAGCATTCAATTATTTTTTTATGAATTGAAATCTTATTTTTGTAAGCTAACATGCAATATCAATGGGACGAATCTTCTAAAACCCTTACAGTCACATCAGATGACCCAAATGTTGAAAGTACTCAAACAATTCATCAAAATGATGCTGTTCACATCAGAATTAGAGGATCTATTAAGAAACTTGGCAATTTCATATTCAGTAACTATACAAATGTTGAAACCATCGAATTTCCAGATTCAATTGAAGAATTAGGAAATAATGTTATTACTTTTTCTCTAATCACCGAAATACGCTTACCTTTTCAGTTGAAAACAGTTGAACCTTTAGGACCGTTTGAATATAATTATAAACTTGAAAAATATATAATTAATCCAAATCACGCAAATTTTAAAGTTATTGATGGAGTATTATACTCCAGAGACATGACAAAAATAATTAGTATACCTCCTAATTGGAATTCTAAGATATTCACAGTGCCTTATGGAGTAATTACGATATTTTGTTCGGCAACTGATTGTTTACAAAATATCGAACAATTAATATTCCCACAAACTGTTTCTTATATAGAAGGTATTCTCTTCAAGCCAAAAGTCATAAAAAAATTTATAATTTATCGAAAAGTTAATTCGCAAGATCAAATCACATGGGCTCAAACAATCGATGACTTTGCTAATTCTTCTGTTCAAAAGAATGATATCAAATATGTTTATTCTAATGTATATTCAACTTATTTCAAAGAAAATAAAACAGCAGTTGTCTCAACAACAAATAATAACAACAAATATGAATATTCAGATAATATCCTCAGTCATGATACGAACATCAACACAATCATATATCCTAAATCTGTTGACAAAATATCATCTTCTTGTTTCAAACCAATGAGTCATAACAGTTTTTATATTCAAGACTTCACTGGTTACACAACAATCACTATCAAAAACCATCTCTACACTACATATTGTTCTAATTATCTTTCCATTCACTTTTCACTATCATTCATTCTTCTTTTATAAAAATTAAAGTATATTTTATTAGCCACATAAATATTTAGGAATCAAAAAAGTATTTTAATGGAAAGGAATAGTAGAATTGACAAGATTTTTTTGCCAATCACTCCAAATCACTTGATTTTATAAAGGTAGGTCAACAAAAAATACGTTATTTCGCAAGAAAAAAAAATTTTCATGAACAACTTCAAGCCGATTTTTCTCAGTAATAAAACTCCAAACTTCTCTTAATTGTGGAGAGAAATTGAAGTTTTCTTCATGCATAGTAATTTATTACTTTGTATTTACATTAATTTCAGAAACAGTGTTGACATATATGCAACAACGCAAGATCTATTCTGTAAAACCGATTAACAGTACAAATATATTTATTTGCAGGTCAAAGAATCGAATGTTAATTTTAATAATATTTCCTCGAAATCGCTCTTGCAGTTTTCTTCCATTTTTCGTCTATTAGTTACCGAGTACCTACATAGTCTAAATCCATTACCAAAATCAAGAAAGCATTGTTACGATTTTGTTGACCTACCTTTGATTTTATGAATATATGTCGAAGATCACACGCAATTAATAAAAATATTTTTTAGTTTTCAAAAAGGTACTTTTAATGGGCCAAAAATTGAAAAATTTTAATTTCTCTAGTTTCTAGCCAGAATCAATATAGAGTTCATATGTAAAAAGTGAAACTACTATGGTGTGGAAAAAATATCAAAGTTCCCCACTTAAACACTATATATATATAAAAAAATAATTTTCATATTTGTTTATTTATCACAATTCAAAGATAATTCGATCATGTTTGAAGTTGTTTATAGTAAATTTGTATGAAAAACTTACAAAATTTAATCTAATATCTATTTTTTAAAAATATAATAAAACAAATAATAAAAAGAATATGGTTACCATGGTTCAGTAAATGACTGATTCAGGAACACTTCATTCTTTCTGATCTTATCAAGTTCCTGAACGACATAAGGTACATTTCCTTCGTTAAGAGCTGCAGAAAGCTCCGGATAGTTTCGGACCACGTAATTACCCGACCACTTATCGATGTAAATTTCGGTTCCTTCGTAATGTAAGACAGGAATTCGGTCATCGATAGAAATCGTGCTGTTTGGCATTTCGTGGGCTATAGAACGTAGGAAAGAATTAGCGATACGAATCTTGCATTCTTCTATGATATGGTCGATGGATTTTCCGAAAGCGTCTCCGATCTTTTCGCCATCAAGTTCAATTGGAAGGGCGGAGAGCTCTTTCGTAATGGTAATCACTGTCTGTGTCTTGAATATGACGAGAGAAAGTCTGTTTTGGGCTCTGTTGAAGCCTTGGATTTGAGATCGGATTCTTTTTGCTTCAATAACCAAACGCTGCATTTCAAATGCAACGCAGAAGCTGTACATTGTTTTGTTAACAAGATCGAAGCCATGGCTTTGTGTGGTTTCTAAGATTTTGTTGATTGCGTTGATCATATCTTGAACAACAGAAGGATCGATAAAAGAAACGCCTCTCTTATCTGCATATTTAACGCCTTCCTCTAATTTCATGAAGCCGTGAAGAAGGATATCGATTTTAGAGACTTTTGGCTCTTTATCGAAATCTGTGTATGAAAGATATAAATTATATTGATTTGGAACGTGTATTTTGGCTACACCATTTTCGAATGTTACACGGGAATGCATTGGAAGTGTCTGCGAAGTAAGATAAGTGATAAGTTTATCTTTTATGAGATTAAGCATTCCTTGAGGATCTTTTTCATACTTAGGAATTGCCAAAGGTGGATAGATCATCAATGGAAGTCTTGAATAGCCTCTCCCAACGATAACATCGATTGCACCCATTACATCGTACATAGGAGTCTTTAGACGGTCCATTTCACTGTTATACAATCTAAGCATGTTTGTCAAGTAATCTTGGATGAACTTTGCTTGTGCTCTTGTCGCCATCAAATAGTTGCAAATATCTGAAGATTGAGGATAGATATTATTCCATCTGAATAGCATAAGAACTTTTGTTGCATTTACGAAAATTGTGTTAAGAACACGCATTAATTCAAGATTATGAACTGTATCTTCGCTGTTTACTTCCAAAGTGTTTGTTAATGCAGAAAATGATCGTGAAACAAAGTGAGCGACAACATCATGGAGTGGATATGGTGATAAATCCCCAAGTTCTAACTCGTTTCCTTTGTTTTCAGTCATTTTAAAATTTGAATGGAAAAACCGCTGAGAGAAAAATGTTCATACACAAAAATTAATCAAAACATAATATCAAGAATATCTATCTGACACAGATCACATTTATCCAATAAAATATTAAAAATAATGATAAAACAAATGAATTTTTAGTGAAATTATCAAGTAATCTCACTATATCCTATGCTAATTAGATCATTTCTTCTTTTAAGTTCATTTCTTATTAAGATATTTTCCATTTCTTATAATGTCTGACGAAGAAATTTACATCAGCTTGGATGAAGCCACTATCAATGAAAATTTTGATATCCTTAGTGATATTGAGAATGATATATGGTACATGAACCCAGAATATCTTGATTATTACATAGAAAAAATCTTAACATTCCTTCGAACTAATGTTAGAATGGGAATTTATATTTTAGAATCAATCTCAAATGCATTTTTAAATAATCCAAGACTCATTGTTGAATATGGTCGCATGTATCAAGCAGTTTATGGAATTGCTCCATATAATAAAGCGAAATATCTCTTCGAGCACTATCTTTATCTAGAGAAGACGTTTGATTATCAGATAAGAACATCATGCTCACTCACTTTAGAAGAAACTCTTGAAATTTATTCAGATAAAAAACAAAGAATGATTTTTGATGATGATTTCGACAGTTTATATCATGCAATAAGTAATGATCAATTCAGCATTAGTGATGACTTCAATCTCAGACCATTATGTCCAGGAGAACTCTCTTTAATCAATGCAGCAGCGAGATTTAATGCTCCAGCCATTTTCAAGTTCATTTATATGAATCATACTTTGATAAATGAAGAAACATTGTATAACGCAGTTCTCGGTGGCAACTTAGAGATTATTAGAATCGTTATGCAGACAGTTACTAACACATCGAAAGCCATGAAAGCAGCAATCATTAGTCATAGAACAGATATAATGCAATTTTTAATTGAAAATTTTGATCAAGCAATTGATCCAGGCGATGCATTGGAATACGGTAACACGAAGGCATTTTGTTATGCATATAGTAAGTACGCATTTGATTATCTTACTTATTTGCAGTTTGCGGGATTAAGTTCGAATTGTTTCGCTTTCGAAATGATGCTTCGAATAATTCAAAAAAAGACAATGTTGAATTTTGATACTTTGCAGAATATTTTCATTGGAATATGCAAAGGTGGATCAATGCATCTCTTCAAATTATTCTTTAAAAACTTTGGCTTCAGATCTTACGTGAATGGTGCCGTTGTTTGTGCGAAATATGATAATTTTGAAATTTTGTCAGAAATTATCAAAAAAGATAAAAAAGTTGCATTAGATCAAAATTGTATAAATTATGCATGTTTAGAGGGAAGTTACCGTTGTATAGAACTACTTCTGAAGAATGGTGCTGATATTACATTGGATTCAATTGAAGCAACAATGAGAATTGGAAGTTTGAAATGTTTCGAGTTAATTTTCAGTAAATACATGGAAAAATTCAAAAATAGAGTTGGAAAACTAACAGTTAATTCAATGAATGAACTTATGACAAGTATTGCAAGTAATGATAATGTTGATTTTATGAATATTTACTTGAAATATTCATCTGATTATTGGAATTCTCACAAGCTTTTGGATCCTTATCAGTTTCTTAATTTGGCTGCTTTATATAATTCTCCTAATATAATGAGAGAATTATTTAGTCTTAGTTATAAACCAGGAAGTTATGTTGAAATGATGATGTCATGTCTGAAAAGCTCAAGTTTAGAATGCTTGAAAATTCTTGTTGAAAATGGTGCAAACGTAAATGAAGTTAATGCTCAAGGATACACTGTTTTAATGCATTCTGTGCTCCTTAACAATGTGGAGTTTGTTTCATATTTGTTGTCAATTGATGCTTCTGTTTGGATTAAAAACAAATATGGCGAAACTTGCTACAAAATGGCTCGAATCAAAGAATTTAAAGATTTAAAAATTATGATTTTGGAATCAATCCCACGACCATTACTTCCGCTTTTCTACCTTGTTGAAAGCCAAAATATTAGATATGCAGTTATTTTCTTTATATTTGTGTTTGGTCTTATTTTAGCTTTAATATTTTAAAACTATACCAGTATATTTTAATCATTGCTCATTATTTAAATTCCAAAGTGTGAATTTTTGTTATCATCTTGAATTGATTTTCTGGTGCTTCTTCAATAACTAAAACCAATCATGCTAATTTACTTATTATTAGAGTGCATTTATATTTGCCCATAAATATAAGGTTAGCCATGTTATTGGAGGTCACATCTCCAAGAATCCCTTGATTATAGTCGTATTAATCATGAATTTTATGCTTCACACGCGTTGCATCAAATTCGAATTAAAGTCATAGTTTCCTAAATGCCAATTTAAGAGATAAAAATATATTATAAGTTAACTTGATCGAAATCGATAAAGTTTTATTGATAGTTTGATAGCAACTGTTGGCAAAATAAAAAAATACAAATTAAAAATAAAGAATTTATAGATTACTTCGAAACAGGTGATGTTGTTTGTGATGGGTCTGCTGCTGGTTGGCTTCCCTTCAGTTCATTGATTTCAGTTGTAAGTGTATTGATATTTTCCTGGAGTTGCTGCTGATCTTGGTCGTATGTCTCCCAGAATCCCTTCTTGATTGCGTTAAGAAGGGATTCCTTCCTTTGTGTAGCAATTTCTGCAGCTTCGCTGTCAATTTTTTCGTAATCGAAAGATTCTGTATCATCCTTTGATTTATGGAAGTCGACTATTTTACGTAGTCTTTCTTGCGATTTTTCGAGGATTGTTTTGTGCTGAATATTTGAATTTCTTGTTGTTTGATCGAAACTGTTTTGTTCCTCTTGATTATTCTCTTCCTCCTCTTCCTCTTCATGATGCTCTTCCTTGTTTTCCTCTTCTTCTTTATGTTCCTCTGAATTTTCCTTATTTTGCTCTTCTTCTTCGTGTTTTTCAGTTTCATGCTTTTCTTCTTCCTCCTCTTGCTTTGGTTCCTCATGTTTCTCTTCTTCTTCGTGCTTTTCCTCTTCTTCTGGGGCCTTTTCGTGGATTTCTTCTTCTTCCTTATTTTCCACCTTGTTTTCTTCTTCTTCATGCTTCTCTTCCTCATGTTTCTCCTCTTCTTCGTGCTTTTCTTCCTCTTCTGGAGTTTCTTTTTGAGATTCTTCTTCTGGGTTTTCTGGAAGGCCTTCTTCATCATTCTTGTTCTGGTTCTCTTCTGGATCAACTAAATCATCCTCTTGAACTGCATTTTCCTTTGTATCTTCCTCTTCTATATCATCATATTTAAATGAAAGTCTTATACGAGGCTTGCAAGGATTTTCCTCGTTAACAACATTCATTTGGTACATATTTGGTAAGAGAGATCCAAGAACTTCTGGTGTTAAAGTGATTTCGCATTCTGCAAAAACTTCATCATCATCTAAGAGTTGAATTGTAAGTTTCTTGTCTGTTGGTTCAGTTGTATGTAATACAACAACATCATACCACCTTGGGCCTAATGTATTTTTGATTGTCCTTGTTTGTGCGACTTCATCACTTCCTTCTATTTGAATTTTTATCGATGCATTAAGCTTGGCAAGTGGGTCTTGCTTCTTAATATCAACTGCTTCAGTAATTGAGATGTTCAATGCCATCTGTAAAAAAAATAGTTATTATCGATTGTTCAGAAAAAAATAAATTTATCTAATGAAAATTTATTAGAAATATTGTAATAAGATCAGGAAACATTAAATTTTAGAAAAAGATTTTTGCATTCAATTTTTTTACAAAACGGCAACTTGATTACAACTTTACAAAATCAATTTATTATCAGTGGCCATTTATACTGTAAAATGAAGCATAAGTTGAATTCAAACATTAACCCACCGAAAATGTGGTCTGAAATCAAAGAAATAATACTGAATTTTTTTGAATAAGATATCAATATGGTAAATACTTCTCGATAAGATCAATGTGTTTATGAAATACAAATAGAAGTTCGAAATCAAGAGATTTAACAAGAAATATCTGATGAGTTGATATTCAATACAAAAACCTATGCCAAGGAGTGTTAGACAGTCTTGCGATATATATGTGAAAATATAAATCTATATAAATCTATAAAAATAGTTAATTCTTTCAATATAAGAATTCAAACTTTTTGGTTACTAGTTCCAATCTGGCACCTCAATAGTTGCATAAATTATAGGACATTACCAGAAAAAAAGATGTGAATTTCATAAGAAAAAATTCCTTGGGAAGTTTTATAAGTCATTTGTTCAGATCTTTAAAGTGTGAGATTACGCATTTCATTGCACTGATAATATTTTCGCTATTCATTTTAAAATATCTAGTTTGTATGATGAAATTTTAGATTTGTTTCTTTGTTGTGTCACTTTTTACAATGTCTAAAACAGCACTTTATAATACTAAAACTTTATCAGGAAAAGATGTTATACTTACCAAAACGAGTGTTATTATAGACAATAGACACTACAGATTTGATAATGAATTCGAAGAAGAAGTTGTTCACATGAGTGCTTCAATTTCTGGCCATTTCATTGCAGTTATCAATACAGCGGGCGAATTGTTTTTAATTACGATTGGTGATCAAGATGGTCTATATGTTGATCAAATTTCGCCAGATACAAACTTCAAATACACACAATTTTCATGCAACGAAACAGTTTTATTCGCAATTACAAATAACAACATTCTACAGTTTTATAAAGTCTTATTACCCGAATTTCTTTCAGAATTTTTATTTTATACAGAATTTCCAGCGGAATCCTTTACTGTAATGGAAGCAAATGGTATCATAAGAATCGCGTATAATACAGAAGATGGACAAAAGTATAAATGTTTCTATTTACCTGATAATTTTAGAGTTAATCCACAAGGAGCGAAAACATCATTAAAAGAAGCAGACCCTTCATATTTATCATTATTTGAACCAGCTTTACCAACTGTAAATGAAGTTTTTCAAGAAAATGAGGAAGAAGAAGGTGAAATCGAACAATTAGAGCCAGAATTAACATTAGAAGATGCTGCAAGACAATTATTACTTAAGAACCAACAATTACATCAAAAGCAAAACGAATTAATGAGTAGAAGAAATCAATTAGCAAATTCTATAAATGAATTGAACAAAAGAGGCAAAAGAATACGTGAAAGAGAAGATGCTGCAAGACAACGCATGCAATCATTATATGCGCGTATCCAGAAGCTCATTGAATCAAGAGATAGCTATGGAGATGTAGATTCTTTGACAAATAAATTTGCTCAGTCAGAAAAGAAACTCAATGAACTGAATTTGGAGAAATTAAACACTGATGCTGATCCAGATACGATTTGCTTCTTGAGAGCAACTAATTTCCCTGAAAAACTAGATAGAATAGAGAAGGAGATCAAAAGAAGAATAGAGGAACAAAACCAATAAAGTTTAAATATTATTTGCTTTATATTTAATAAAATATATTATTTTTTTATGAAATTTTCTTAAGAAATTTATGTAACCATTATATATTCAACGAAAAAATAGTGACTTTTCAAAGGAAGAGATCTAAATGAATAAAAAGAAAAATGAAAATTTATTGTCCATACTTTTGTAATAGAATACTATTGTGAAATGATGAGAACTCTTAATTTACTTTTCTTTCCTTACTTTTAACATCTTTGTTCCATTTTGAATTTTATATTGAATAAATAATTTAGAAATATTTGTGTAAAAATATTAAAATTATTAATATTTCCTACATTACAATGTAATGATTATTGTCTTGGCCTCTGAATTTGATAATTAAAGAGAAAATAATCGATAATTATGGGATTCATGGAATAAAATTTGATGTTTTAGTCTTACCAAAGCGAAGTATAGTTGATAGTTCATTTCCATAAAAGTTTACTTGAAGGACGATTAAAAAAAATAACCGTCTTCATAGAATGAATAAACACTCATTTCTTGCTCGTGTCTACCATACAGCCGGTCTCACCACTAAAGCAGCTGATGAAGTTTCCAAATTAGCTCTTTTACGTGATGCACTTACTCCAGAAGATGAAGCAACAGTCAGTGTTGTTACAAAAGCACGTATTGACCAACTCAGAAAAGCGCGTCGTATTATTCAAGTTGTTGAAGAACGCGAAGAAAATAAAGGCAAGGTAAACCGTGTTATCTCTCTCCGTGATTTCAAAAATAAAATTGAGGACGAACTTGCCACCTTATTGAATCAGTTTATTACTGCAATTGATAATGCATTCTTAACAAAACCAACAAGCGAACCATCTCGTATTTTATTCCTTAAGATGAAGGCAGATTACTCACGTTATTTAGCCGAAATTTCCAAGATGAACGTCCAGAGTGTCGAAAATGCTTACCAGGTAGCGTATGAAGCTGCTCGCCAGTCCCTTGGCCCTGCTCATCCACTTAGAACAGGCATTGCTTTGAATTTTTCAGTCTTCTACTATGAAATTCGTGCTAACCGTGAGGCTGCTATCGCTATTGCTAAGAGTGCTCATGATGAAGGTGCTTCTGCTGCTAAAGTTCTCCAGCAGGAAGATAAAGATGATGCAATGGAAGTTATCAATCTTATTGCACAGAACCTTAAGAGCTGGACTGCATAAAGTTGAAAATTTATTTTTATGATTTAATTTACCAAATTTTTTCTAATTATGATTTCAAATTTTTTCGATTTTAGAATTTTATTATTGCTCTTTGAAAAGGAGAAATATCCTCTTTTCCTGGACATTGTTATTTGCAGATTGAAATGACTTGAATTCAAGATTATCAAAATTGAAACGTTATTTCAGCAGAGTTAGAGATAATTTAATAGGCAAATCTTTTTCCTTTTACTCCAATATTATGATATCAGTTTAGACTTTAGTTCATTATTTTATAAAGTTTTCAAAGGAATGTTTCTCTTAGTAATATTTTTATCTATGTTATTCGTCGTAACAGCACTATTTATCATCCTTGCAGCGCAGTCGTTCTATAAGATGTATTTCCCAAAGAAATCTCTATATTTAACTTATCAAGGCGAAAATAATAGTCAAACAGTCAATTTATCGGTCATTTATCATGCCTTTAGTACATTATCATTAATTAGAGAGCAAATTTCTTGTTTAATTGCCCTTCTAGAAGAAAATTTCCCAGAAGATTTCAAATTTCAAATCATTGCACTTCATGCTCCGGTTTCAATGTTTACAAAAAAGCAAATGAAAACACTGTTCCCACAAGATAATCGAATTGTTTTTATTGAATCCAAAAATGGAGAATTTGAACATTTTGTTTTAGGATGTGCGAAATCCAGTGGATCAATTATTGTCGATTCTAGATATATTGCACAAATGATTGATGTTATTAAGACGAGTGGCACTGATTTCATTGAGTTCCAGGAAAGAATAGTCGATTCTTTAGTTTACGATCCTGATCCAGTAAGATTTATCAATCCAATAGCTCTTTCTAAGCAAACTGCCAATCAGTTACTTACAAACTTACCTAGTTATCCTTACGGTTTTGGATACACTTTATATAACTTAGCGAAAAAGAACAATATTCAAGCAACAATTCACAAATCGAAATATGAATATCACGTTGACTCATTTACTGAAATTCTTTTCACAGAACTGTACATTTTCTTCTTAAAACGCTTTTACCCAATGATTGATCCAAGACGTAGTAGCATGTTGTTGTAATGTTTCTTTTAAGCATTTTTGGATATCTCAGATTCCGAACAATGAAAAAAATTAAGATTATTTGAAGAAAAATGGAGTTTCGTTTCAAGGAGTTAGTTGTATGATAGATAGAACTTATAGGATTAAATAAAACATATGTTATAATTTAAAAAAAAAATGTTTAGCGAATCAATTTTTTTTTTTAATTTAGCTTTTTTTTTTCGCAATGCGCCGTTCTAAGAGCTCTATGATGATGTTCATCGACCATTATGTTCATGAAAATCCGAATTGAAGAAGGAAATTGTTCTTCAATTTTAATAATTTCTATTAAATGTTCATTTCTGTTAATTTGTTTGATTAAAGGCGCTCGCAAAATAACCATTAAACCAGTCAATTTTTCAAAGTTCTTGAAAATGAGTAAATTAATTAGACTTCAAGCAAAATGAGTAAATAGTAGTTGAATGGTATGGAACAGTGGGCGTGTTCACGGAAGATTTGTTTGATTATTGCATTAATTATTGAAATTAAAAATTATTTATTCATTTATTTGTTTTGTATTTTGTACAATGATATTTACACAGCTTTCTAACATGCTTTTTACATTAGCAAACGCTTAATTATGCAGATTGAAGATAAGAAAGCAAAGCCAGTCGTAATAAAAATTTTAAGGTTTTTATCTAATCTTGTTTTCGGCATCAATATAGATGATTGCAAAGAAAATAATGTTACATATTAAGTTCTGTCAAAATGTAAGCTATTGGATTTTTTGAGAGGGAAATAATCGTCAAAGAAGTAAAAAGTGACGCTTTAGGAAATATTATTAGAAATATGATAATAAATATATTTGGAAAAAATATGTTTTTTTTCAAAAATTGAAATGTTCATAGAATATTTTGAAATATGTAGGGAATTGAATTCGGTAATATATGATAAACAGGATTTTTAAATTTCAAGGAAAAATAGCTTTTGTGAATACTTTTGAGAACTCTTCTCAAAGATCATGATTCAAATATATTAAAGAGCCAAAATATTAGAGATGGGTTCATAATCAAAATTTTACATTTTAATTATTGAGAAAAACGTATTAACCTCAATAAAAAATATCTCAAAGATTAATAGTTAATTTAGGGTTTCCCAGCTATCTAGAGGGAATTGTTCCTTATGATGTATATATTTATAATGTATGCATCATAAGGAACAATTCCCTCGCTGAAGTGAGAAAACTTGTTCGCAATTGTTTATCATTTCGAACAAGTTTTCTCGTTTTTAATAACAAACTAAAGGTTATGAGGCACTGATTATATATTAGTGCCTCATAGCCTTTAGTTCCCTGTAGAAAAGATCGAAATTTTATTGTGATTTTAACTGATCTATATTTCGCTTGCATTATTTGAATCTTTTCTTTTGCATATGTCATTCCTTTCACTTTTCGAATTTCATTTGCCTGCATGCTTTCTCGTTTTGGTTGAAAATCAACTCAATCTTAAAATGAACTTCTTCATTCTTTACAATAAATTCAATTTTTTTCGAGATATATCTTTATCTACCCCTATGTGAGCTGCATATTCTTTCTCGCTAAATTCTTTTGATTCTTTAGAGCTAAAAATCAAGTTTAATAAAAATAATGTTTATTCATAATTTTGAAAACCAAATTCAAATTTGAATGAGAATTTTTGAAAAAATATAGAATATTTCAATAGTTTGGAATCTCTTCAACTTCCCACTGCTTATTAACACAATTTTTCCAGAGCGGTTTATCATCCTTGGTCCATTTCTTAAATTTGTTGTAAACCTCTCTTGGAGTGTATGGTCGAACTCCAATTTTTGGATGAGCGCCATGTGGCATGTCATTGTATTTTTGCCTGAATTCTTCCAATTCCTGATTGATGCTCTCAAATTCTGAAGACTTTGGAGCATTTTTGTCCAGTGATGGCCAGAGGCGTTCAATTTTGCCATTTTGACGCGGCATGTATGGAGCTGATTTTCTGATTTGAATGTCATAAGTACTCAAAAATTTTGTGAACTCTCCCTCATTTTCTTTACCGTTATCTGACCAGAAACAGAAAGGTGCTCCATATTTTTGAACTGTTGCAATTGCCACTTTTGAAGTTTCTGTTGAACTTTTGTTACGAAGCAATTTCAATGCTAACAAATAACGACTTTTGTCATCAATTATTCCATAAACCGGTAAAGTTTCTGGTTCTTTCAAAAAATGAATATCCACATGCCAGATTGTATTTGGAAGAATTGCTTCATAATCCACATAATATGCTTTTGGATTACTTTTATCTTTTTCTTTGTAAATTCCCAGAAATTTTACAACAAACCCAAATTTTAGCTAAAAGTGACAGGAAAAAAACGTTTAGTATTAAAAAAAAGACCGATGAGAGCTTCGTTCGAAATATAGAGGGAACTGAGAATGCGCAACCATTCTCAGGGAATATTGGATGCTATTCCCGTTCCCTCTGTATGGAAAATTGAGGTTTTCAAAGGGAGTTAAAATAATATCAAATTTATACTAATTTACTTCAAAATACAAAAGTATTTGACAGCTAAAATTAGTTACTTTAGCAAGCCTATCAATACCCTTTTACGATTATTGCTACTTTTTCGAAATAAAAGTAGAAACAAATTTATACTAATTTACTTCAAAATACAAAAGTATTTGACAGCTAAAATTAGTTACTTTAGCAAGCCTATCAATACCCTTTTACGATTATTTCTACTTTTTCGAAATAAAAGTAGAAACAAATTTATACTAATTTACTTCAAAATACAAAAGTATTTAACAGCTAAAATTAGTTACTTTAGCAAGCCTATCAATACCCTTTTACGATTATTGCTACTTTTTCGAAATAAAATAAATTTATTATCAAAAACCTTTTTTTTCTTAGTAAAAATAAACGAAATTTTTTACCTTATGAACTTTTGATGGAAATATGCAAATTTAAAATAATAAAGAAAGCCGCGAGCGAAGCGATCGGCTTAGTTCGAAGATTTTGATTCAAATCTTTGCTGATCTGTAATTCGCGGAAGCCGCGAGCGAATCGAGCGGCTTAGGTCTAAGATTTTGATTCAAATCTTTGCTTATATTCCTTAAATTCTTTATGAAACTCGCAACAGTTCCATAAAAAATTTTAAATTCTAAAGTGTCGAAATTACCGATCGGTAATCACACCCTTCACAGATGTGTCACTTTTTACAGGTGTGTCACTTTTAGCTAAAATTACCCCTACTCGAAATTTTGCTGCCTTAATAACTGCATTGTAACTGATTTGAAATTGTTTTGGATTCATATTGAGAGTCCAATACAATTTTTGAACCCCACATTTGTAATTTTCATAAGAATTCTGAACCTTCAAAATTAATTCTGGAGTTAATTCCTCTTGTGGGGGACCACTTTTAATTTTTGGTGTACCACCGATTTCTTTGAATGCTTTTTTGAGAGTATTTCTTGAAATTTGTTTGAAAATTGTATCATTTTGATAAGAATATGGAACTTTTTTCAAAACTGTTGCGTAAGTTAACTCACCACTTTCAAGTTTTTCATACATATATCTTACCCATTCATTTGGAATACGAGGTCTCGAGTTTTCGTTCATTTTTTTACTTTACAACACTGTTTATTTTTCAGAATTTTTAAATTTGAAAAAATCCATTTTATATCTGATACATAATATATTATTTTTCAATCAAAATATTTTGATTATCATCTCAAAAGTGTTCTCAAAACCTAGTTTTTCTTATTTTGGATAATCTTAATATTTATATTATTATAAACTAATTGAACACCATATGTTTTTGTATACTTTTACAAAAAAAATTGATAGATTTGTGATACTTCCCCCGACGATAGAATTGAATAGCTTACATTTTGACAGAACTTAATATGGAACATAATAGAATAATTTTATGAAAAATTCACAAAACTGTGGAATGATTTTGTAAACTTCGCAATTCCTCTCAAAATTTTGTGTGCATATTCTAATCATTTGAGAGACGATAATTTGGCAAGTAATGACATTTGTGAGAATATTAATGCTGTACCATTTTCTCCAAAAATAAATTACGTCACTTTTCTATTTTTCTTTTGATTTACGGTTAGTTTGAAATTGTATTTTTCTCCTTTACACAGGATTACATCTATGCGTCCTCAAATTCCTGGATATTCAATCGGGAAATCCCTGGGCCGTGGTGCATTTGCCTCAGTTTGGATTGCAGTAGATCAAAAGACAGGTCATAGATTTGCATGTAAGAGTATTCATAAAGATAACTCGATGTCTGCAGATTATAAAAATATAAAGCAAGAGATTGAAGCATTGAAATCACTTCACCATCCGAACGTCATCTCATATTACGGATTATATGAATCTACGACTTCAATAAATATTCTCATGGAATTATGCGAAGAAGGAACTCTAGAAGATCTCATAGTTAAAAGACATCGTTTACAAGAATCATTAGCGCAAATAATATTCAAACAGATTATAGTTGCTCTAAATTTCTGCCACGAAAAGGGATTTGCTCATCGCGATCTCAAACCATCTAATATACTCATTTCCGATCTTCCGAGCATCAGATTGTCCGATTTTGGCGTTTCTGGATCAATTTCCGGAAATGGTCTAATGAGCACAATCTGCGGAACTGTGTACTATACTGCACCAGAGTGTGCCTCTGGACATTACAATGGTCAGCAGGCAGATATGTGGAGCTGTGGAGTTGTTTTATATGTAATGATTACAGGAAAATTACCATGGGATTCAAAGATGCAAGGCGATTTACGTATGAAAATGGAAAAGGGTGTTGATGAAGTACCTGGTATCTCAGACGAATGCAATCAACTCATCAAAATGCTGCTAAATATTGATCCTGACCAAAGACCAACAGCAAGAGATGTTCTAACTGGTCCATGGCTATCTACATCCCCTGATAAACTTCTTTCGAAGAATTATCAGCTTCAGAAGCCTAAAACCACTTCATCTATTCTCAGACAGATGGTTGATTCCGGAAGAAAAGGTTCTCACGAGGGAACTCGAAATAAGGCGAAGCTATCAATGAGCTTCGAATTACTATAGATTGTTTGTTTTGAAAATTTATTAAATTATTTTGTTTGAATAGTTTATATGTAATTAACTCTTTCACAAATCCCCATTTTTCATGGAAAGATCCAATTTTGAATTGTTTATTAGATGTTGAAAATAAAATTTTGTAAAAAAGATGGTTTACGTCTGATGGCTTGATTTGTAAAATGTATGTATTTAATTACTTGTTTACGTAATACGTCAAACATACGAATATTTATGATCATAAAAAATATTTAATGGTTGATCAAAACTATTTCGTTTTTTCGGATTAATTATGAGTAATGATCATGAATAAAATACTAAAAATGTTGTATCTTGATAAAACGAAATTTTGAAAAATGAAATTTTGTAAAAATCCACAAATGGATGAATGAAATAGCATAACAATATATCACCTAAACTATAAATTGTATCAAAATATAGTTTTTGTTTCGAAATATAATATTCGAAATGTAATTAACAGCAGCCTTTCTTCGAACTTGCATTTATTTTTGTCTTATTTGATGCAGAGTTTGTTAATGATGGAATTACTATTTGCTGAGCAATATAAGTGGATAACATGTTAACATTTTGTCCTGTAAATGCAGAAGTAAAATGTATATCAAATCCATGTTCTTGTGCCCAATTTCTGGCATTTAATTCATCAACAACTGCACTTGATGAATCAATCTTATTCCCGACTATTCAGATTTTCACTGGATTAGCAGTATATGAAAGGCATTGATCAACCCATGATTGCAAAGATTGAAAACTAATTGCATCTGTAAGTGAAAAACAAATAATTGCACCGATTGCATTCTTGAAATAAATTGGAACAAGACTTCTATAAATTTCCTGGCCAGCTGTATCCCACAATTGATACTCGATCTTTTTGTTCTCGAAATAGCAATCCATAGATGTCCAACCAGCACCTACCGTTGGTAACGAATGTGAATCAAAGCTTCCAAACTTCATATAATGAATGATTGATGTCTTTCCAACTCCAGAATCTCCAACAAAGATCACTCGAGGTGAATTCCCTTGACTGTCACTCATTTGAAATATTTCTTCACAAAAACTATTGAATTTTTTCTTCCGATCGCAAAAAAAATTGACGTTGGATCAATAGTCGGAGGATGGAAAATGAGATGCACCGGAAGCATTTTAAGTTATCTAAATATGCTGCCTTTTAGGTATATCGTGTATATGTCTTGACTGAGATCTTATCTATTGATTATCAGATTTGAATAATCATAATATAATTTTGAACATTTAAATAATAAGATCATTTAATTCTGGTAGTTGTAATTGAATATTAATCCAATAAGCAAATTCTATTTGATTTTAAAATAATTCTAACATTTTATTTGGGAAAAAATAAAAATACAACAGCATAAACTCGTGATTTTGCTCTTATGAGTTTAAAACGTTCCATCAGAAGGCTGTGGAAGTTGTGGATTCTTCTTCATTGTTTCGTAAATTTCAGTTAATATTTTTAGAATAGTTGTAGAGCTATTCCAATTGCCCAACAATGGGAATTGAGCTGGTTTTATGTGTCCATTTTTATCAACAAAAGGTAAATTAATCTTTGTAACAAAATTAACCTTTGGAGCTACCTTTGGATAGTCAGGACCGCATACAATTTTGATTGTGTATACTCTTCCATCGTAGCATGTCTTTGGCATTCCGAAAATTGTTCCAATCCAATTCGTTAAAGTCATATCTGAGTAATCTTCAAGGCCAAAAGAGATACCAGCTGGCATGTCTTGGTCTTTTTCGCCTGTCTCAAGTTCATCTAACAATCTAAAGTTTCTTGGTGGCTCTACCATTTCTCCAAAAACAGGAATTGTACGTTTAGAGAAGATTTCTTTAAAACTAATAATAAATTTTAATGCCAATAGATCTTAGTAAATGCATATAACATGAATTCTTATTTTGGGATGTCTATCTCTTCAATAAAAGTTTAGGGAAATTTTTCTATCCTATAATGATCTTTATTTGGTACATTTGAAATTCCCTATGCGAATATATATGGTATTTAAATACTAGGATTCGAAACTCCTCAAAATTGCCGAACCGATAGAATATCAAATTGAGAAAAATCTGATTTAACAATAAACTCCGCTATTATTCTCGTTTTCTAATGTGATTATTAATTCGAATTTGCTCAATCTAAATGAAAGATTTTAAAACCGTAATTTCGTGTCAAAAATTTTAGGCTGTAGTAATTTTGAGACCCAATTGAAAGTTTTCCTAAAAAAACAGTCAATAAGGTTTTTACACTAATTAGGGCGATGAGTATTAGGCTGAAGGATAACCCATATGTCCCAAAGCTAAACCTTGATGGAATACGTGCTACAGGCCCTAGAACCAAAGAAATTGCTCCAAGCGGAAGAAAGACAAGGGAAATGGAAGAAACAAATTACTCTCTTCAAGAAATGTTTGATGATTTTGTTGAGGGTCTTGAATCAACAAGTATGAATCGAGCTCTCGAAACTGCAAGTATGAAATATTTAAAGGCAAATAAAACGGTTTTATGGCTATTGGATAAAGAAAACGAACAATTCTATTCACCAACATTCTTAAAAATATGTGCTTTCGAAAATTCTATCTTAGGAAAGTCATATGAATCAAAAGAAATTATAAACATTACAAATCGCGATAGTTTTACATTACTCATCCCATTAGGAAGAAATGATATGCGATGTATCTTGCAAGCATCACGTTTGCCATCTATTCAACCCTTTTCGGAGTCTGAAATTCGACAAGCAAAACAACTTCAAAAGAAGTTCAGACATTATGCATCTTACCTCCTTAATCACGAAACATTCGATGAAACATATGCAAATATATGTTCGATCCCTGATATTGAAACTTTAACGTATAATATCAGTGAAATCGCTCATTTTGCTCGCTGTGATTCAGTTGATATATTTATCAAAGTCTCCAACTTCTACAAGCGATTGGCTACAAACGGAGCCTTTTTAATCATACAAAAAGCCGGAATTTCAACTCATGTTTTGGATCATCTCACTGATCTCATATTAGATGATGTTACAACGCATCCCATGTATGACCCTGATATCGATGGAACCAATCTCAACTCCGTATTCGCTCATCCACTGCTAATGAAAGGAAGAAATGGTTGTATTGTCTTCAGAAGGCAGGACAAATTCACGCACAAGGATATCAGAAGGATTTTAGCAATCTGCCCTATAATAGGAACATGCGTTGAGAGGAATTACGGACATTTGTCCATTTCTGCGATGAATAATCGTTTATCTGCACTTTTGGACATTGCAGAATCCATTGGTCCTATGACAGATTTGAGAACACTGATCACAATGATCATGGAACGCGCCTGTTCTTTGATTGGAACTGAGAGATGCTCATTATTTATGGTTGATCGCGTCAAGAACGAAATATATTCAACATTTAACCAAGGCCTTGACAGTGAAATCAGAATCCCTATGTCCAGAGGCATCGTTGGCTATACAGCTCGAACTGGACAAATTGTAAACATCACAAATGCTTACAATGACCCAAGATTTGATAATTCCGTTGATATTGAGACAGGATTTCGGACAAGAAACATCCTCGGCGTTCCTATTTATAACTCAAACGGTGAAGTTACAGGAGTTACTCAGATGATCAACAAAAAAGATGGAAATTTCATAGAAGACGATATCAAAATCATGAAGTGTTTCAATGTTTTCTGTGGTATTTCACTTGATAACGTTAAACTTTTCAATGTTTCGACGAATCTTGCAAATCATCTCAAAAAATTTGTCGAAGCTGCAGATACTTTCACGAAATCTGAGAACAAAAACGCTTTAGTAGAACTCCTAGAAAGCGCTGCTGACATTTGCCAAGCTTCTCGTGCAACAATGCTCTCATATGATGTTGATACAAAAGAATTTCAAGTTCTTGCTAACTACGGACATAATTTTGACGGCAGTTATGAACGAGCGCAAGAAGTTGTCGAGTATGCAACACCACAAGTCTTCGGAGAACGTCAACCAGGAAAAATTAAATTACATATCTCCGGATACTTCGATAACAACACGAGTAATGGTCCAGATGAGACACTTCTTAATGCTGCTTCAAGGTTATCACAAGCATTTGAAGCAGAAGCCATAAAATCACCACCTCCTGAAATTGTTGAAGAACACAATGAGAAACCACAGATATTTGGATTCCCATTAACATCACAGGATAGAGTTGTTATCGGTATTGTTGAATTCGAAACAAAATTACCTTTAACGACCGAGCACATTAAACTTCTTGAAAGTTATTGCACTTTTGCATCAATGGCCATAGAAAGAGATCAGCTGCAAAAGATCGCAAAGTCATCGCAGTTGTTGATTCATGAACATCAGTTCATGAAGAATGAGGAGAAAGATAAATTCACAACACCTGCAAATCTAGTATTAGATGAAGAAAGTGAAAAACAAGTTTTTACTTTAGGCTTTGACGCTCAGAAATTTGACGGTTTTAGTCATTATAGAGTCATGTGGGCTATTTTCACTCGTTTCGACTTGTTAAGAGAGTTCAATGTGACCAACGAGAAGTTCTTTTCATTCCTCACAGAAGTCTCTGAGTCATACAACAAAGTTCCTTATCATAACCGGAGACATGCTGTTGATGTAACTCAATTTGTGGCTTATGAAATAATTATCGGCAAAATTGACAAAATTTTGACAAAAGAAGAATTGTTTTGTTTGTTGATCGCTTGTATATGCCATGACATCAATCACGATGGCTTCACGAATGTTTATAACGTGAAAGCAGAGACTCCTCTTGGTATTTTGTTCAAGAACCAATCAGTTATGGAGACACATCATTGTGAAGTTACAATTGGAATAATGACAAACGAAATGTCAAATGTTTTCGCTTGTTTCGAAGGCCAGCAGTACTCCAAGATGTGGCAGATGCTATTTACATTGATATTAGGTACTGATATGTTCCATCACTACACAATAATCAAGCAGTTTAATGAACTCTTGGATAAAGGACCATTGGATTATTCGGATGACCAAAACCGTCTCAAATTGATGCAAATTCTATTGAAATGCGGTGATATTTCCAATGTTTCAAGGCCATTTAAGATTGCTGATAAATGGTGTGATGTTCTTTGTGAAGAGTTCTTCAGACAAGGTGATTTAGAACAAGCACAAGGCATGGAATATACTTCTAATCTTAATGACAGAGCTCATCTTGATAAACCAAAGTCGCAAATTGGTTTTTACAAATTTGTTTGCTTACCGTTGTTTGAAGTTGCTGAAAGAGCAATCCCAGAGCTCGGTGTGAATAAGCAGAGCATCCTTATTAACTTAAAGGAATGGGAAAGACAGCTCGATTTATAGAATTGATAGATTATATATTAATACTGTTTTAATAAACTTAGTTATTTTGTTTTTTATATTAATTTATCAGTCACATTTTTTCTCTGGAAGGTATTCATAGCAATTTCATGGATAGAAACATGTTTCAAGTGTAAAATTTGATTAAAATTTCCATTAAAATATGGATTTAGGATATAATTTGATGGATTTTTGTTGAGTTAATTGTAAGGTGATGTGTTTTATTGATGAGATTCGTTTATGTTTATGAAGGTGAATTTGTAAACTTCAGAAAATATTGATTTGAATGGCCTTTCTCTTTGATGGCCTCATCCGTTTTCTATGTTGATTGCTCCGCTCCAGTTGCTGACAAGTTCTTCCAGCTTCAGGAGTTCGTCGAATACCTTCAGTCCCACATGAAGGTTGATAACCTCCGCAAGAACCTCGCTAACAAGGTCACAATCGAAGCCGATGCTGGTGCTAACAAGATTGTTGTCAACGCTTCTGTCAAGTACTCCAAGCGTGCCGTTCGTTACTACGCTCGTAAGTTCCTCGCTAAGAAGGACATCCGCTCCCGCTTCCATGTCATCGCTTCTGGCAAGGACACATACGAACTCCGCCCATACCGCGTTTCCAACGAATAAACAACATTATTGTATTAGTCTATACTAATCAGCCAACAAAAAAAAAATATAATTTTTTCAAAAATTACTATGCATATAAATAAACAATACAAACAATTTATAAGATGCTTGAAAATAAGTATTAGAAGTAATATATATCATCAAAATCATAACTAGATAAAAATCTAATAATCAACAGTCCGAAGAACAAAATGCAAATAGATTTTGCGATAACAATGACTGTAGAAAAGCTAACTAATTCATTGTTGCACTTAACAACCTTGTAAATCGGATACTGAACGAAATTTAATCTTTTCTTGATTTCGTTTCGATTTTGTTCCTCTTCAGGTTTCTCCGTTATCTTATATGGAAAGCTTAGACCAAGTCTGTCAAACGCTTGTTCTGCAATTACTTTCCAATACAGGTCGGCGTATGAATTTCCGATCCACGGTGGTTTTATTTCAAGAAATCGAAAAGAAATGATTCTAGGATCTGTAAAACTGTATTTGTTTTTGAATGATTCTGGACCTGTTTCGACATTTACGTTTGGAGGCATTGTGTAAGTAGAAATACCTAATATTTCATGTAAAATGCCATTATCGTATGGTCCAATAGATGCTGAAGAATAATTTTCATATTTTTGATGGAATAAAAATGGATATTCATTCCAGTTACAAGTTTGGTTTAGTAATTTGTAATAATTTGTCATTGATGGCTTGAATAAGAAGAAATCATAGTTATGAGCAACTTCAAAATATGTAATTCCCCAGCTTTGATAATCAATTGCTGATGAAGGAGTTGGATATCTAAAAATGTCTTCAGGACTATTAATAAAGTATGTATTATGATCGATATATAATAATTTATCGTACATTGTAAGCATTTGAGCTTTAAATCTAAACCAAAAATGGTTAATTTCTTGTTTTTCATTTATTAATTCACACTCGAGGTATGGATAGTCTAATCTTAGTATAACATTCCAGGTAGATAGCAAATAATGAAAATTTGTAGTTGATACGTAAAAATTTGTTGGAATAAGCAAAATTCTATCGACATGTGGTATCATTCTTCGAATGTTATCTCCTAACACGCATAATTTGTAGAATTCTGTTTGACTTTTATCATCTGATGAGTAATCCGTAACAATTCCGAATTGTCTGCTTTGAAAATCTAATGATGACTCCTTGACTTTCTTATTTGATTGATATGTATGCAGGATGTATTCTGTTTCACTTGTTCTACTGGCTCCTCCCTGCAAAACGAGCCACAAAAACATTCAGAAGAAATTTTCCAAAAGATTTTTTTTTTCATTCTGCTACACTTTCTTCGCCCTTGAACAGTTACTAACTCAAAAACCAACAGAACAATAAAACATATCTTATCCCAAAGAAATGTGTTCATAAGCAAAATGATGAGAAAATTGTATGGAATTTCATCGAAATGTGAAGTTTGTAAAAATGTTTTGAATCAAGGTTTAAAAATTATGTTTATTTTGATGAAATCAATATGTTATGATTTTGTTGGGAGAGGAGTAAGTAGAGAGGAGATGGAATTCGATAGATGTTGAATGTTTTCAAATGCGAGAAAAAATTCATCTTCATTAATAAATTCACAATCTACAGATTTAATATATTTGTTGTTAAAAGATTTATATTCGGATTGAAGATCAACAGATGTAACTAATGTATTTAATTCTGTTGAATAAACAAGTCCAAGACTCATATTATCAAACTTACAATTTCTCACAATGCTATTGGGATTAGTAAGATAAAACATCTTTCCATTTCCTAAGTCATTAAATACACAGCATTTATCAATAATAATTGGACGAGTACTATAAATAGTTCCTTTTTCACTCGATTTCTGCCAATTACTTAAAATATTACATGAATCAACTAAGTTATTATCATCATCACCAAACAAAATGCATCCATATAATTCTGTAGCATTATTTCCTTCAATATTAGAATAGTTAACTTTAGTTTGATCAGTATGATATGAAAGCCAAAAAGCTGAGAAATAACTTGCTTTATTTTTACTATAATTAGACTGTGATACAACTGTTCTTCCATACCTGTGGTAATCTATAATACTATGAGAATCATTACCGCATGAAGAAATGCTTCCATCGATGACATAATTTAATATTTCTATGTTATTAAACAAATAGCAACAAGAAAAATGGTACGAACTAGTCGAATAGCATGAATTAGCACAGAATCTGTGTTGAACAATAGAACTCTGGCAAGAAAAATAGATTACACCTCCAGCGTTTTTCCTGCTACAGTTTTCAAAAGTACACTCGGAGTGAAGAAATGAAACAGAGGATTTTCCGACAGTAATAACGCCAGAATATTGTGATCGAAAAGATGATTTGTAAAGGAATAATGAATTTTGGGAGGAAAATGAAGAATCTGTAATAAAAGCGTTTTCGTTTGTTCCACTAACACTTTCGTATCCGGCAATGTTAGGATAATATAAATTCCAGACACTTGATGGAGCATTGTCATAATGAAGAACCCTAAGATAATTGAAATTTCAAAAATATTTTTATTTTATATTTTCCGTGTAAACTTAACAAATCTAACAAAAAATACCAAATAAATTGAGATTTAAATCTATTCTAAAAGTTATTAAAATCATGTAAAATCCTTTTATTTTTGAAAAATAATGCAAAATACTCATTTACATTTTAGCAGTTTCTATTCATTGACTTGAGTTCAAGCAAGATATGTTTGCTGATACTTTAAACGTCTCTTCATAGAGTATCCTTGATCAAATATCAGTCTTTCTAATAAAATTCGACAAATTTAAACACCAAATGAGAGACTTCAGAAGGACTTTGCGGCAAAGTTTGCCTTAATGTACTCTTACAATGGAAGGAATAAAGAAAATTAATAATTTTATTTTCAAAAAAAAAATCAAATATTTAAGGAATATGTTGAGAAGCAAACAATTGTGAATTACTCTACCCATTTATTTGCAAAGTTGTTGAAACGAATGACAAAATTAATGATCATTTCGAATTCTTCGTCATTATCATTCTCTTCTGTAGCATCTTCCAATTCTTTGATAATACTAGTTTTACTAATAAGATCATAGATGGTTTTTCCTTGATCATGTTCAGCGTACTTTTCGATAAGCGCGTCAAGAACATTCAAAGCATATCGGATGTGATCTGGAATGAAAGAACTGATCACGTTTAGTATATCACACTTAATTGCTACCTTTGCCATATCATATCCGCGGTATTGTATTATATTAGAAATAATTACAATTAAATGTATCTTAGCCTCAAATTCGCAACTGAGAAACCTATCAACAACTTCCGAAAAATCCCAGATTTTGACCGTGTACAATGCGTCTTTACGTAAAAAATCGTTAGAAGTACAAAACTCGAAGAACTGAAGGGCACTCCACAGAGAGTCATCATCACAATCTATGTACATGAAATATCTAAAAGTATATCTTGATCATTAAGAAATTCGAGGACTTTGTCAAACTTTGATAGACTATAAATGATTTCGAGGACTTTAGAACAATCAATACATTCTTCTGATTTCAAAATTGCTATCAAGTCCGAGAGCATATTGGGATTAATATAAGTTGACGAATCAACACAGGATTTGTTATAGCAATGGAAAAGAACAGCGTTTTTAATAACTTCTTCAGGATAAAAGTTTTTAATGTTATTAAGATCTTGTAAAGCTTTTGCGGAAGCAACATCAAATGGAATATCATCTTTTTGTGGTGTGCAAAATGTTGATAATGAGAAGGATAAATCATCAGTTGATACTTTATAGTCAAGCATTAATTTGATGGCGGTTATAAATTTTCAAAAATTTTAAGGGTGCACTTACACCCCTATGACACGGGCTTAAATTCAGATGTTTAAGGTTGATTTTGAATGACGCTTCACGCCAGTTGTCAAAAATTTGAATTAAAGTCAGATTGGCGTAAGTGCAGCCTTAAAATCTATTAAAAATGTTCAAAGTATACCAATCACTTCAAATTGTTTTGGGCATTACAAATTCATGAAAAAAAATGGGACTCAAAAAAAATTTGAATTGATGGGTATTAATTTATAATGCTTAGAATCTTCAGGATATACTAGGGCTGTACAAGATTTAAAAAAACATTGCCGGGTTACCGTAGAGGCCTAAAAAAATCGCGCCTCGGCGGCAAGCCGCCTCGGCATTAAGAATGCGCATCTAAATTTTTATATGTCCTTCTTCCTTTTATTTTTCCCTTCCCTTCCTTTTCTTTTTCTTTTTTTCCCTCCTCTTGCTCTCATTTACCTTTTTTTTCCTTTTCTCATCATTTTTCAAAATTTAAAATTTTTATCAAAAATCTTGCCTATAAAAGCAGATTATGGAACCTTTTAATGCCTCTTAATCAATATTATACAGCATAAAGCATATTAAATGAAAGTAATTACGTATAAATTTATTTTATTATCTTATTTATTAATTCTTTAGCATGTATTGTTTAATATTAACTTTTCTGTACATTAAATATGATATCTCCAAAGTATGAATGCCTTGTAACGAAACGAAAACTTAATTTTATGTTGAATATTTGTCACAAACATTAGATTATTAAAATATATGTTGGATATCCCTTAGTATGAGACTTCATGACTCTTGTTGTCTAACGTGAGCTTTGGATTGCAAGCTTGCTACAGCACATAAGTATTCTGTGGTTAAAAAAACCACATGAGCTTTAAAAACTATAAAACCAAAAATAATTGTTATAATTTAAATGAAGAAGTAATTTAAAACGATTTTATTTATGATCAAATTTTATATATTTTTTTGGATCAAATCCATTTTAATAGAATTTATATACTATTCATCTATTAGTAAACACACCGTATATTATTTTTAAGCTATCTTATTTTTTGAAATTTTATTCAAATCTTTGGTCGCAAGAAGAATTGCATGATAAATAAAAACATTTAATCAAAGTCAATTTTATTTTTCATATTCAAATGGACTGAGTGTTAACATTTAACATTTTTTGCTAATTGTCGTCAAAAATTAGGCGTAAAGCAAAAATTGATATTTCATATGGTTTTATGATAGATAAGCATTATATTCCCATCCATTATATTCGTAAATTTTGAGGTTTATCCTTCGCTTTTAAGATCATTGAATTTGATTTTTATATAAAATAGTTATATATTAGAAAATAATATGAGTTTATGTGATATTATTTTTCAGAAGATTTCATTCTATATGCCTATGAAAAGTACTCTCAAAACTAACTTTTCCTAATTATAATTAAATCTAGAATATTGTATTATGCTTAGTATTATTTCATTTTTCTCATTCAATTTAGAATTTACAAATGTCAAAAAATTGAGAGCTGTCACTTTTGATGAATTTCTGTTTATTACAGCATTGTTATTAATAATGAAAAATAAAGCTTATTTCAATGAAAATTGTTCTGCAAATTTATTTCACTTTTGACCTCACTTTTTCCGTAATTCAATTTTTTACTTTTAATATTTTAGATCTTCATAATATCATTTGAAAAATTAACCATATAAAAAAATCAAGTTATCAATTCACTTTTTCCGTAATTCAAAAATCAAAAATATAAATAATATATCTTTTTATCAAATATTATTATTATATTCTATGAAAAATGAGGTCCGGAAATTTTGCGGATTCCCGTAACTCAATTTTACGGAAAAAGTGCAGTAAACTATTCAAAATACGGAAAAATTGGTGTAAACTAATGATTTTACGGTAAAATCACGGAAAGTCCCGGAAGAATATATGTGCCTATATGAAATTATACAAAAATGAATCAAACGCATTTTAAAAGATTGTTCTTGTATTATAAATGCTATTCGCAGATTTATTAGTTGAAGAAAATTACCAAATTTTTGCCGATTTACAAAAAATGATTTACAAAGCATATTTTTATAAGGCTTTAAAAATCTTTAAAATGTGACCGGTGACGGAAATCCATGGTAACCAACCGCGGTTCCCGTTTGGAATGCCATAGGATATACCGACATATATTGTATATTACTCATGAAATAATTCAATTCGAAAATTAATATCGTTACTTTTTTGAATGATTGAAATTTTCATATTCCGAAAGATGAGCGATTTCTCCAAATAAGTTTATTCAATCGGCTGTTTGGCTGATAAACACCATACTGTGAATGTATATAAATCGAATATCCTCAGGTTTTTGGTCTAATATCTTAAACTGAGTGCTTTATTATGTAGATAATAAATATATTCATTTTATTATATTTTAAAAAGTGACAATCCATATGAACATTTTAAATTTCATTAAAGTAACATGCATTTCTTGTACTAATGAAACTAAACTTTCATAACAAATGTTGACTTGCAATTTAATTATGCTGTTACCTATGATATTATGGTATATTTGCAAAACAGTATCGAATTTCTATTTCTAATTCATATTTCGTGATAAAATAATCTTATTTGAAAAATATATGCTATATAAGATGTTCTATAAATGAATTAGAGAAATATTCAATTATTCATGATATAAATAACATGAAAATTAACTGCAAACTTTCTATCAAATATAAAAATATATTTACCCGAGAGATACAATGAGGTATTATTAAATTAATTAAATTCACTATTTGCGAAAGCTCTTTCGATTGCTTCAATATTATCTTTGAACCATCCTAATAAAAATACCTTGTTCGAAGTAATCTGATGAGTAATTGGTATTTTGATTATTTTAGAAGCCAAATTCGCAAAAGTTCTAAGTTTTGCAACATTTGGTTCTTCTTTTGATAGTTTAGTAATCCTTTCGATAATAGCTTTATCTTCTTCATCATACTATACACCCATCTTTTTGTTTTATCATTATTGTATTAGTCTATACTAATCAGCCAACAAAAAAAAAATATAATTTTTTCAAAAATTACTATGCATATAAATAAACAATACAAACAATTTATAAGATGCTTGAAAATAAGTATTAGAAGTAATATATATCATCAAAATCATAACTAGATAAAAATCTAATAATCAACAGTCCAAAGAACAAAATGCAAATAGATTTTGCGATAACAATGACTGTAGAAAAGCTAACTAATTCATTGTTGCACTTAACAACCTTGTAAATCGGATACTGAACGAAATTTAATCTTTTCTTGATTTCGTTTCGATTTTGTTCCTCTTCAGGTTTCTCCTTTATCTTATATGGAAAGCTTAGACCAAGTCTGTCAAACGCTTGTTCTGCAATTACTTTCCAATACAGGTTGACTAAATGAAATATCCAATGTCAACACTTGAAAATGCCTGAGAATTAATTGACTGAATATCATTTGAAATAAAGATTTTTACATTATTAACATTAATAAATGATGCAGGAATAGTGTAATCATTGATATTTCCTATTGAGATATTGATTAATTTGTTGAAATTTAAAAGTGATGAAAAAAGTTTCTCTTCATTAAGTCGTTTAATTGTATTTGTATGTAAAAAATCGAATTTTATTGTTGTGACTGTTTCTTTGAGAGACAAATCATTAATGAGTGTGAATCCTTGGTTTTCATAAATTAATTCTTGAATTTCACAATTGGTAAAGGCATTAGATGAGATAGAACCAGAGATATCTTGAGGTGTTTTTAATGTTATACTTGCAAGACTATAACATCTATAAAATGCATAATCTCCGATTGATGTAACACTTGAAGGAATTGTTATACTTGTAAGACTAGAACAACTAGAAAATATAGAATTTCCGATTGATGTAACACTTGAAGGAATTGTTATACTTGTAAGACTAGAACAACTAGAAAATATAGAATTTCCGATTGATGTAACACTTGAAGGAATTGTTATACTTGTAAGACTAGTACAACCATAAAATGCAGAATTTCCGATTGATGTAACACTTGAAGGAATTGTTATACTTGTAAGACTAGAACAACCATAAAATGCAGAATTTCCGATTGATGTAACACTTGAAGGAATTGTTATACTTGTAAGACTAGAACATCTATAAAATACAGAATCTCCGATTGATGTAACACTTGAAAGAATTGTTATACTGGTTAGCCTAGTACAACCATAAAATGCAGAATTTCCGATTGATGTAACACTTGAAGGAATTGTTATACTTGTAAGACTAGAACAACCATAAAATGCAAAATCTCCGATTGATGTAACACTTGAAGGAATTGTTATACTTGTAAGACTAGAACAATCATAAAATGCAGAAACTTCAATTGATGTAACATTTGAAGGAATATCATAGACTGATCCTTCAGGACAGTCTGAAATTATAAATGGAACAAAGAAAATTAACATTGGAAAAAATTTAATGAATTCAGGAGGAAAAAAAACGTATTCAATGACTCGGTATTACGATTTTAAATTTAAAATAAGGGTTTCGTTTTGCTAAAATTGTCACTTTTATAGCATATTTGTTTTTGGATGTTTTGCGAAACCAAAAAAAAAACCATGATATACAATGTGTGTGTAAAGAAAATACTTTATTTACTAGTTAAAAAATCATTTGGTATTGATCAAGTTATTTTTTCTGGATAAGATATTATATGGATAATTGGATAGAAAATACAATTATATAATCTTGTACCTGGTTTAATTAAGCTAATTGTCATCAGAAACTTGTAATTTTTATGAATTTCAGATTTTCTTTTCATTACTGCTTTTCTTAATAGGTCAAGTTCTTATTTACGTTATAAAGTATGATATTTACAAATATCAAGTTATCATGTTTTTTGAGAAATTATGAGAAACAAACAAAAATGAAAAAGATAGGAATAGCAATGAATAGTGATGTGGGTATAGAAAATGTAAGAGATATGAATGCAAAGCAATCAGTATTTAGGATATTGACCATAGATTTCGAAAAAAAAATGCTGCATATTGAGCGAAAACTATGATTATATTATAAGGCTGTCATTTAAAGCATAATGAAACTATTCCCTTTTCATTTTAATCAAATAAGATAGTAAAGATTTTTGAATTAGCTAGAAACTGATGAGATGTTTTCACAAATCAGATTTTTAATCTCTATAATGCATAATTCACTCAATATCTCAATTTTGATATTGCGAGATATTTTTGCTATCGGTTTCGTAATTTTGACACAATAGCAAGAGAGTTCTATAAGCATTATTATCAACGTAGAATCTGAATATCATATCAGAAAATGTCGCAAATCTGACATTTACCCGACCAAATAGCAAAAATAATTGAATACTTTTCGCAAAAACTTTAAAAATCGATAAAAATATGAAATATAGATATTAAAGAGACTTTTTATATAATATTCATAAAGATTTTCCAAAAATATGATACCGCAAAATTAAAAAAGTGACGTCTTGAGTGGAGTCAAAGGTCGAAATTGCTAGCTAAATGTTTTTTTAGCGAAATTGCGTATTGTACGTTTTTTTCGCAAAACGAAACCCTTATTTAAAATGAAATTTGAAAAAAATCAAAAATAGTACAAATTCAAAAGTCAAATTGTGAGCTTTACAAAATTTTCATCATCATTGTAAAATTTTTACAAGAAAGTTTTCAGGAACTTTTTTTTAATACTCAGAAAAAAGTAAAAAAAATATTGAATGTATTTAATGCTGCACTTAGGCCCATCTAACTTTAATTCAAATTTTCACAAAATAAAGTCACTTTTGAGATGGATTGAAGCGGAGTATATTTTGCTGTTTGCTTTAAATGTTGATCAAAAATTCGATCAATTTCTCCATCATGTAAACCTCGATGTCACTTTTGCGGCAGAGCGGATCGATTTTTATCAATAATTGGACAAACAAAGGTACATTCACTAGGCGATAACAGTAAAATGGGATGAAAATAGGATAAATAGCATCCCTATATAGTGCCTAACAATATTTATACGGGCAAAAAATTTTGGACAAACATTCTATTTTTAATAAAATAAACATATATTTATATGGGAAATTAGGGAGATCTGAAACTCAAAAATTATTTTTAAATTTTAATATGATAAATATAATTGTGATTATATATACATTGCAAGTAAAATATTAATTCGGAACAACGATGAGATGTGATAAATTTGATTCTCTCAAAAATCTATTTTGATGTTTTAAAATTAATTTATATCTTATATGCATATAGGATATGTAGTAATTTTAAAACATGAAAAGTGACGATTTGCGGTTAGAAAAAGTCATCAAAATCATGACCATGTATTTATAGCAATTAAATTCTGTTTTTTCGTAAATAATTTGAGCTATTGATCTAAATTGATCTTTATTTGGATTGAGTTCTATCAATTTGGCGAATAGTGGAACAACTTCATCTAGTTTGCTAAGAAAACAGAATTCATCGATCGGGTGATCTGTTAAATATACTTCATTGTTTTCAACATGAGGAAGTAATCTTGTGAGGATCCTAATCGCGATATAGTTATCTTCTTGTAAACCATCTTGGCTTAATGCAATTGTATATAGGATGTTGATTATATCTTGAAGTTTCTGCAAACTTTCTATCAAATATAAAAATATATTTACCCGAGAGATACAATGAGGTATTATTAAATTAATTAAATTCACCATTTGCGAAAGCTCTTTCGATTGCTTCAATATTATCTTTGAACCATCCTAATAAAAATACCTTGTTCGAAGTAATCTGATGAGTAATTGGTATTTTGATTATTTTAGAAGCCAAATTCGCAAAAGTTCTAAGTTTTGCAACATTTGGTTCTTCTTTTGATAGTTTAGTAATCCTTTCGATAATAGCTTTATCTTCTTCATCATTTTTCGAAGCTTTTGGTAAAGCTTTTTGATTAATCTCATCATTTATCAGTATTTTCTCATCACTTAAGATCTTAGTAATTGATGAAATAATAGTTTTTGCGTTTTTTGGATCTTGTTCGACAATTCTGCGTAAAGAATTTTGTACTTCATCAAGTGCTGTATTAATCATTTCGTTATTAACTTTGCCATAATAATTATAATTGTTCAATTGCCTGGATGCATTCTTCTTCTCTTCCTTTTTGGCTTTCTTCTCTTCCATTATGAAATGAAATTTAAATTATCCAACAGCTTCGTTTTTTAATATTCCACCAATTTTATTTTTTCCGACTCAATTCTTCATTAAACTTTGAAAATTGTATGAGTATTTTGAATGTTAACTATACTCCTATCTACTAAAATGTTATCAAAGTGTTTTTGAGCATTCATTTATATAATTTCAAATTTTTATTCTATTCGTAACTTGCTATTTTAATGTTTGACAGTTTATTAATTTGTTTAGTGATCATTTGCTTCAGAACTCGTCAATTTTTTAGAATACACAAGATCACCCTAAATTTGTTTGCAATCAAATCTTTATAATCAATAAAATCGAAACACCGGTCTCTTGGTTATATAGATATTATGACTATATCTTGTGATCTTTTGGGAAATCAATTCCATTTCTTGTTTAATGAATTAAAAAGCAATTGGATATAATTAATATGGTAAACAACCGATTAAAATACAACTTTAATATAAAATATATATATAAAAAAAATAATAAAATAAATATTGAGTCAATTTTTGTGGTGACTCTTCTTTGGAGGTTCAAATGGTGAATCATCTTTAATGCAATCAAAAACAGCATCGAAAGAGAATTGTTCATCTAAATCTGACCAAATATCTTCGCCAGTTTCAGGTAGAGACGGAATTGGGAAGTCCCATTTAGAAATTACGTTCGAGCTCTTTCTAATTTTCTTTCTTTCTCTAAGAGATTTCGTTCTAATCTCTGTTGTTTGGTTATTTGTTTCCAAATCAACATTTAATTCAGTTGAAACTGATTTCTGGATGAACAGTGGTGCTTCATTTACATCATTCTGGTTTAGGGAAACATCTCCAGCGTTCGCCAGTGTTGATTGGATATTAGATACGTCTCCTCCGTCACTGAGATTGGTATAGCCATCAATCATGGGGTTATCCATGGTTCTGGATACCAAGTTTGCAGGAACTGATCGGTTACGGCGCTTACTTGACATTGGTTTTTGAATATAATCTTCTGCATCATCAAAATCATCGTTATTGACCATGATACTGACATGCGTGTTCTGTTTGGGTCTCTTAACTCCAGGAACTAATGGTAGTTTTGGTGAATCTGGCTTGTTTTTCGTAGGAGATATCCAATCAATTTTTGTTTTCGTTCTTAATCTCTTTCTTTTATGATTTTTATATGGTTCAAAGAAGTCTTTGGTCGGACTCTTTATCAAACTCTCTTCTACATGTTCAGGAGGGGTGTTTATATTGAGAACTTCTGCAGATTTAGCGTAACTAAGCTCAAACAATTGTTTTGATGGTTCAAATCGTGTTTCATTCATAGAAATAGAGATGTTTGTTGCATCAATGTATTGAGGAAACCTTGAATCCCTTTCATCAATGAAAACACTATAAAAGTTGTCACTTTTTTGTTGATTTTCATCCAAAATTCGATAAAAATCTCTCATTAATGATTCTTTGTCACCAGATTCCTGTGATATAATGAAAGAAGCATCAGATGAAGGGAATGAAAGGAAAACATGGCTGTTGGCTGCTGTTTCTAAGAAATCTCTAAAAACTGGTAAAGAATCTGGACATAAACCATCAGCAACTAAGACTTGGAGGTTGGAATCGAATAAATCTTGTATATAGATGATGGAATCATCTCCTCCTCCGTTAAATGAGAGATCTAAGTAAATTAAGTTCGAATTAAACACGGAATCAACAATTATTGAAATATATGAACCTATTGTAGCATATTTCTTACCTCTGACGCATAAATGAAGTAAATTTGGCGAGTTTATCAAGAAATTTGCAAATAATTGAATTAAATCTGGATCATTGTCCCTGAAACAGTAATTAACAGATAAATATGACAAGTCCTCATTCAAAAGAAGAAAGTCGAATAGGATATTGTTAACAGGATTGCGATCCCAGACTAATGAGCAAATTGTCTTCAAATTTGACTGGTTTAAGTAGCTGAAAAACGCTTCCCAGTCTTTATTTGGGCATCTTGCATTGACAATTGATAATCTAACTCCTTTTTCATTATAATTATTTTCAATCATTTGGAAAAAGTGCAATAAACCATCATCCATCCATTTTATGTTATCCACTGATATTGATTCCAATGATTCTGGTAGAATTATTGAGTCTAATGAATTCGTATCGATGTTATTATTCGCAGATAAATTTATCGCTTTCAAATTGTTTAATCTATACTTTGTGATGGAGTTTAGTACATCTGCTATATCTAGGTCACATTTTTCTAGCGATAAGTATTGTATATTCGGGATATTTGGGAAAATTAAAGATAACCTTATATTTGATGAGAAATCCAGATTTAAATAAACTAAAATGTCTCCAACCCTACTGTTTATGAACTCTTTACAGAAATATTTCATGTTTTCGTCTGATATTGCTCTTTGAAAACCTAAAGATCGGATTTCTTTAGCAATTACGACTTCTTTCAACTGGTCTAGTTGTGAATCTGCGAATAATGAGTTAGAAAATGTCAATCCTTGTAGATTGAGATCGTTATTTTTCATTATTTGGTCTAGATATGAACTAAATGACTCTGTAGCTTTTCCGTTAATACTTATATGCTGAATGTTTGATTTCTCCCGTGAAATATATGATGCGTGGTGAAATAGATCTAATCCTTGGACTTTGGAGAGTTCTACACTTACAATGCTTTTGACAAGTGGCAGTATATCACATAGTATTGGTAAAATATTCTTTTGGTTTTGAAATTGGCGAATAGAAATCGAAGAATTTGAAAAAGTAAGAAAATCATAGAGACTTATTTGAATATCCTGTGTCATTTGGATATCTTTTTGCTTGCAGTAAAGTTCCACACGTGAAATTATTGATTCTGGTGTTGGTTCGTAAATTAAATTTTTATATGGAGTAAACCCAATAGCGTTGAGTTCATGTGTCTTTAATATTTTCTGTAATGATTCTGAAATTGTCAAAAGTATCTGATTAACTTCTTCCGAAAAACAATTAAATTTCGAATTTCCAAAAGTTAACTGTATATTATAAGCAGAATAGTTAAAATTTGTAAGTTCTAACCATGAAAATTGATAAAGTAGCTTTGAATCGCCAAAATCATAAAATAATAAGTAATTTGGCGATACAATTAAAATCAAATCAACTGCATTCTCGGCTAATGATATTTCTTGTACAATTCCTGCATATAGTGGATTGATGCCACGATCCCTTGCATCCGAGACTGCAAGCTGATAAGGCATCATTCATTCAACAACTAGAAATATGAAATTTTGGTAAAGTGAAATAGAGTTTATTAGATCGGATTTATATAAACAACTATAGAAAAACTAAGATTGTAATGTTAATCAATAGAGATTTTAAGGTTCGCGAACAAACTCACCTTGAAGACCAACAAATGTGATATTTAGCATACCTCTAGTTTTCTCCTTTAGTTGTAAGTTTGCAATTATGAATATTATTTAAATATGAAATATATGGAGAAATACACCTAAAATAGTAGCATGTCTTGTATTTAATAGGTGTAAAAAGCACAATCCTTGAGATAATAATAATAAATCTTCAACGTTCCAAAATAATGATTGAAAATAAGCTATTCTTGTTTGGTATGATCAAAGATTAGCTGATTTTTTATGTCTTTTAACCATATTTGGCGCAATTAACGAAAATAAGGATGTTTGAAAATTTCGATGAATATTGATAGGTTCAGAGCATTAGAAAGCGAGTAAAACCTAATTAAATCTTATAAGAAGCAATAACACATTCAAAAATTGCTCTTACATCGATTCAAAAGATTGGCATTTTATGAGGATTATCAAAATGGTTATCTTATAGGAATTTGGAAACAGAAATTACAATTACACGAGTTCAAAAAGATCTAATCCTAGTAAATAAGCGATTTTATATTAAATGTAAAATATAGTTTTGTTTTAAGCTAAAAAATTATAAAAAAATCATATCATATTTGCTTAATCAAGCTTCCTGTGGTGGAATGTGCAGAACTGGAACATGATGATGACCATGACAATACCGATCAAAACAATTGCAGTGATAATCAAAGCATAAAGTGTAGTATCTGATGGAACTTCTTGTGTAGCGCGAACGGCAACTGTTGTGCTGTTTTCTTCAGCTGGGCATGTAAGTGTAAGAATGAATGGCTCCTGTTCTAATTTGACAGATGTTGTATATGGTGCTTCTTTTCCTGAGAATTCAAGTGCAGTCTCAGATGTGGAGTTAGTTGAAATGATTGTCTTTGAAGCTTTGATTTTTGTGGATTGTGTCCAAAGTTTAAGGAAAATTTTCTTTGCAAAAGGAACTTCAAGCTCTAATTTATCAGTGCAATTAAATACGTATTCCGTAGATTGTTCATTGAGAATGAAGGAAGATTTGACTGATGCAGCCGAGATAGCAAGGGCGAAAAACATTATTGTCAAAACCTCCCATTTCCCCCTAAAGAAACCGCTGCTAAAAACTTGATTGGTTTGTGCTGGAAAGTGAACTGCTGATACCTATTGATTCCGATTATAAAAGAAAAGAAATGGATCAGAGTGCAGAAAAAAAATTTCATTTTCAAGATTGATGATAATATAGGATTAGAATACTCTTGTTTAAGCAAATTTGAATTCATTAAAAATTAGTGTAAATTTTCTACAATCAAAACCAAAAATTTTCATTCATGAGTGATGCCTTTCGAAATAAACAAGGAACTCATACTTTACATTGTTGTTAATAATCTCACACTTACTCAAGTAAAACTATCAGTTCAATATCATTATGAAAGCCAGCAATAAAATGAGCAAATGAGGTTTCTAAATTTCAACTAAGAAGAAGTTTTATTGGATATATTATGATCGTTGGCATAATTTAAAAGTGATGAATTGCAATTCTACCTTGTTAATGGAATTGTGAACAATAATCTAGAGGATTCACTTATAATGATACTGTGAAAAAGAAAATCCTTACAATGCTGATTTGTGCATAGAATAAGATATGGTTCAATTGAAAATACAGAAACTAGTATTATATATGTAACTTAATAATGATAAATAGTTCTATTAAGACTCATGAATATGAGAGTTACATCATATTTCATATTATGCAGAGAAAAATCTTGAATTTAAAATATATATTAAAATTTGTTATGTAAGATAGCGCAAATAGAAATAATTTAATAAACAAAAGCATTACTGCTTGTAAAGTACCAATTTGATATAAAACCAAATGTAAAAATTATAATCAACAGCATTGAACTTGTTTGGAATTTTGAAACGTTGCAGTTACATGGTGATTTGCATGATTTACGACGAAATGATATCCAGCTGAAGCTGCTCCCAAAAATAAGTTATCAATTTCTTCACCTGTAAGTGCAGAAACAAAAAAGATGCCTTCGAACTTATTAATTTTTGAATTTATATATGATTCCATTGCTGGATCTGGCTTTCGTAAATCATTTTTGTTAATTGCCAAAATGAAAGGAGGAATCACATCATTAGTTTCACAAATAACGTTAACCCAATAATCTATAGAGTTTACGGATTCCATATCAGTCGTTGACACAACTAGAACTACAGCAGCTGCAGATCGAGTGTATATTGGAGCGAGTGACTTGAATTGTTCTTGACCAGCTGTATCCCACATGAATATGTTTACATCTTGCCCTTCAACTGAGATACGTTTTGTCATGTGGTTTGCACCAATTGTCGGTTCCATTGTCTTGTTAAACTCGCCATTGATCCAGCGGAGTGATAGACTTGTTTTTCCTACACCTGAATTTCCTATCATTACAATTTTACAACATAATGTTGGCTCAGATGCATCATCAGCCATGCGTGTTCTCATTTTTTATTTCGATTTTTGACAAAAAAATTTTGGAACAAAACATAATAAAAATATCATGCTATTCTAATTTATGTAATAAATATTATTAATTCAATTTTTTGAATTAAAAACCGTGGAGAAATTAGAGGTTAAATTGTTAAATAATAAATATAATTGGTTGAAAAATGTGTATGGCCAAATTCCTTTCAAATTTTTATCAAATTTTGAAATACTGACAAATAAAATTGAATGTGTGACAATTTTCCATTAGGAGAAAATAATAATATATGAAATCAGCTAACAATTTAAAGTTCTGAAATAATGAAATTGATCGGGGTTTACAAAAATAATCGCGAACATAAGGTAGTCACAAAATCTAAGTAGTGAGGCTCTCAAAAATTGAACCGTACTCCATACAAAATTTGTGTACCCTCACTACTTAGATTTTGTGGCCTTCAATTGAGAGGTTAGTTTTGATAGAGCACGTTATAAAATTAAAAGGGAAAAATAAATAAAATTTAAACATTTAATTATATATAATGTAAGGAGTGTAATTCCAAATTTTCTAAAAACTATTCAAATTTGAGCATTTTTTTGGAAATAGTAAATCTAATATGTACATCTAATAACAACATGATTCATCACCTTTTCAAGCTCTGCAGTCAATTTTTTGAAATTTGATTGAAATAAATGTAGCAAAAATTACATTTCATTAGGGAATATATGAGTTTCTCTGGAAACAGGCTGATAAATTTTAAATTTTGTCCAATCAACATGAATGCATTGAGAAATTTGGATTGATTTTCTGGTAGAATCTGGAACAATTCAACATGTATAATGGATCATGTAATCATCATGAAATGTTAGTGTTAGAGTTCAAAAGAAACAGAATGAGTGGAAATCAAACACAATCTGAATAATTTTAAACGTATACAATCTTTAAGTTTGTATTTTGAATTCTACATATATGATTGTGTAATTCGTTCTTTCAAATTTTCGGATTCAGGCATGTTTTGATAAAATTCATTCCCAAAAACGTCAATTAACAATTAAATTTAGTGTATTTTAAATATATCTACGTATTATATTTTATAAATTATATTAAATTCGCAAAATTTTAAGTTTTAAACAAAAATAAAAAATGTTCAAAATATGAAATTATGCATAGGATATTAAAATTTACATGTTAGCAATTTTTTTGAATTGCTTTCAATTTTTATATTGAAATTTTTAAGATTTTTTTCTGAAATAATAAGCAAGAATATCAACCTAAATAATATTAAATTCCATGCGTTAATTTCCCCTCAAAAGTCATTGACCGCCTCTCAATCTAGATTTTGTGAGTACTTTAGTTGATTCTTTGTGGATAACCTTCGATGTAGAAAAAAATTATTCTTTGCTTCCATTCATATCTGTGCGTATGCTCGAATTTAACAATATCGATGATTTCTGCCCGAACATTTTTGGAAATTACAACGCGATAATTTTTTAATCTATTTGTTGATGCGTTTTGCTTATATAGGCTATGAAATTAGTATTTGTTGATTAACAAAAACAAAAGGCAACAGTAGTGAAATTGAATTTCAATGGGATGATTTTTCATAACCAAATCGCTCCCAAGGCAACACATTTATGACTAGAACGAGATGCTATAATTCTTTGTATGCACTGTCTATTTTATTAAAAATATAACGAAGAGATATTCTGAGTTGAATTTATCCAGCTAAAAGCAATATAACTTAATTGAGAATATAACTGTTATAACATTTCTGAAAAGCCGAAAGTGAAATATAAAAATCAAAAATGGAAGTTGAATCTGTAAAAGAAAACAGTATTCTTCGCAGTTTCACAATTTTCAACATCATTCCTCCTAAGAAAGAAGGAGCAAAACCGAAGATATACTGGTATTACTCAAAAGAAGAACGAACTGAAGAAGAGAAATTAAATGAAGTTGGTTTAATCATTACATTTGCAGGATTTTGTCGTAAATTTAAACCTGAGAACGAATGTGATTATATGTTCACAAACAAACAAGAAATTGGCATATATCGATTATATGGTGATATTTTTATGTCTGTTTCTATTGAATCACATGCTCCATTCAACAGGTTCTTACTTCAGTCCATTCTAAGGCACTGCAAATTAATGTTTTCTCACTTTTGGGTTCCACTTCCAGATATAATTTTGGAAGGTGAAAATCCGCCATCGGAAGAAATGATCGAATCCCAAATAGACTATGCCTTCCAATGCATTATTTCTTCAATCAATTGGTCGCATCTCGATTTCTCATACATTTTTAACTCCTTTACTCGTCAGCAGATTACAGGAGATTTTCATGCACTTAAGCGAATGTGTGCTCAACTCCTTTTACGACACAGAAAAATTTTCTCTGATATATGTATTTTGTATCGAAAGCATAGGGTTATTCATTCTACATTCACCGCAACAGTTACTCAAGCTCTTGCTTTCGGAATGCGAAAGCGCTTTGGTCATCTCTTCCTTCACAATCCTCGTGCAGATAGAGACGCCTTAACCTGGATTATTGGCTGCTATACAGACACGAATGGAATCAACTCACTATATCAGCCAGTTATCTATATTGGAGGCGTTCCTCATCTCTTAGTTGCTTTCAAACTCCATAATTACAAAATAGTTTTAACACTCGATCCAGAAATTACAATCGATGAGAAGATACTTCGTGAAATACCACACCACTTACGGTCAATTTGCGATTACCTCCGAAATAATACAGCTGTTAAGCCAATTACAGAAGTCCCTGTTCCTTTCGCACTTGCCATGGATGACCAGCAAGAAATGTCCTTCGATTGCTGTCAAATCGATGCAAAAAGCCGTCAAGCAGTTGATGAAAATTTCATCAGAGGCCATCAAGCAGCGATGTATACAGATACAATTGCTTCTGTCGGATTCCCTGGAGTACAGGAATACTTCATTACTGTAATAAGAGGTGCAAGAAAAGCAGAAAAGGTCGTAACTTGCAAGAGTCCAAGTATTACACTATCTGAGCAGTTGAAGATATGCAACAGAATCATTGTGCTCAAGGAACAAAATAGGATCCTTCCAACAAAATCGTCTTGCTCGATTCAATAAAATATCTTATTAAGTTATTGTTTGTTAGTAATAAAATACTTGATTTTAGTAAACTTTAACATATTTATTCAACTGAAACTCGAAATTATCATATATAACAAAAAATATCAAATAAATTTATTATTACTCTGAATATTTCTATAGTAAATGTATTCATGGTAATATCCTGTCTAGGTTCGTAGATGCTAATGAGGAAATAAACGAAATATCAATATAAAAATTTTCAAATTTCTTTTAAAATAAAGGTAGCTATAACAAATTTAACTGTAATTCTGATGAATTAATTTGAACGCTAAGTTCATTATCTAAGAAAAGCCCTTGTATGCGAGGAATAAATTAAACGAAAGATTATCTTGCAAAATTTAAGTATTTGGCTTTGCACCATCCTAAAAGACAAAGTTATATAGTTGGATTCGTAGATATTTTGCAAATTCTGAAATTGAAAAATTTAACTTAAGAAATGTAGAGAATATAGTTGAAATTGCTTAGGTTTTCAGGTTGTTAAATCTTGGTTAATAGTTCTTTGAGTCAATAAATTCATTTCTTGTATAATTGCTTGAATTGATTTGATTTCTTGTTGGTGTTCGTTATCTGGTATGTCTGACACTAATTTAATTGCAAGATTTCGAAATTCATGAGTTACAGCAACTAAAAGTTGATTAATAGGCTGAAGACCTAAAAGTGGCTTCCATACCATCGAGACATCTGCAATCCACTCTTTCTTAGATTTATATTTACGCTTTTCTAGGTTTACCATGATGGATTTTAAATCAACCCAATTCTTGAGATCTTTTCTTTGAATAGATGGAAAATATTGCATCAATATATCTTTACTTCTAAAAATACGGAAAATTGGCTTTGAGCCAAGTTTTCGGATAACCTCTTTGGCTTGAAGTAAAAGAAAAGAATCCATCAATACAAAAAAATACTATTTTCATGTAATGCATCATCACCTATGCATATTTCTTATTATCAAGATGAATTGAAACCAATTTATCTATTCAATACAAAACGATATTATTGACAACGCAATTTATTTAATATAAATGAAATAATATTGAAATAATAGTATTATGTATCAACTTTTATTAACATTCTCATCATTCGCATTACTTTGATCTTTGGATTCACTTAGCATTACAATTTCAAGGAAGACTTTTTCAAGTGTAGAACACGAGCAGGTATAAAACTTTATACCAATGTTATCAATTTGGCTTTTCTCCATGATCTTAAAAAGTTTATTAATTTCAATATCTTTCTTGGGAATTGTATAAATTCTACTACTTGGACGAACGATTGATGGAACAGCAGATGGAATTTCCGTTATGAAAAAGTTCGTAATTTTTTCCTGAGTTTCCTGAAGATCATCTTCTAATAGAATATCAACTTTCCATTCAGTACCAAATCTGTTGGACAGGTATTGTGGTGTGCCAATGGTGAAAACACATCCATTAAGCATGATTGATATGTTATCACAAAGGTTTTCTGCTTCATCGAGGAGGTGTGTGCATAACATGAATGTCTTCTCGCCTCTGTATTCGTTGATCAAGTTGTGAACCTTGTGTCTCGCGATAGGGTCGAGTGAAGAAGTTGGTTCGTCGAGGAGTATTATGTTCGCATCTGAGATGAATGTGATCGCGACAGCACACTTCCTTCGGTTGCCACCGGACATGTTGTCGACTTTCTTGTCGATGTGTTCACTAAGGTCAAGTGTATCAACCATCTTATCGATGATTTCTTTTGTCTCACTTCGACTCTTGTTGTACAAGTAGCAGAAGAACTTGAGGTTCTGTCTTCCTGTCAAGTTTCCTGTGAGGTGGTCATCGAACTGAGGACAACGAGAGATCTTCTTTGGATCGAATGACTTCTCGATGTCATCACCTTCAATTTCGACACTTCCATTTGAAAGTGCTTCATCACGAAGTATGATCCTCATAAGTGTTGTCTTTCCTGCACCATTCGATCCCAAGAAACCGAAGAGAGATCCTTTCTTGATTCCGAGTGAGACCTGATTGACTGCATAAATGTTTTTGCCATTTGGTCCTGAATAGAATTTCGAAACATCTTTGATTTTAATTGCATATTCCTCTGATGAATTATGAACACTCTGTTCCATATCTATTGCTTCCTTTGTAATCTTTTGTTTATCTTTGAATTCCTTAAATTCTCTTTCATGTCCAGACCATCCGAATTTTGAGAATTTCTTCTTTGCATTCTGTGATTGTTTTTCAACTATCCAAATTATTATAATAAACAATAATGCACTAACAAATGCAACAATCAAAGGAATCTTATCATAAGAATCAGTGAATAAAGTAATTGAACTTGGTTGAGAACCAAAAGTTATAAAAGGTTCCAAAGGGGCATAAAAACAATTAACTAAATTATTAACTGGAATTATGCAAAATATGCATCTGATAAATCTCACAGTATTAATTCCTAATTTAGCCTTCAATAACAAACCACTGCTGAAGGCTGCAATCACAATAATCAAATGAAAAATTAAAATTATTGTAGCACCACTATTCCTATTTGGAAGAATGAATCCCATGAAATACATGAAAAAGATAGACGAGAGCATAGTAATGAAAATTGAATAAAACAAATAATTCTTAATTGCCATGTATACATGATCATTCAGGATGTGATAAATTATATGGACGATAACAACAACTATGATCATATGTACAGAATCAATAATTATATTTCCCAGCCAATACACAAACCTATTTAAACCGCATGATATCATAAAATTGCGTATTTGTGTGTGTAAATCTTCAATAATTTGACCAAAACTAAATGATGTAAATAATGCAATACCTATAGGAATGAGTAGGAAATACATAATTATATTTAATGGGTTAATTCCACTTGCATCTTTCTTCAGTTCATTTTTAACAGTAATTTGATAGTGTATATCTGAATTTTTAACATCGCTGTAAATCATTTTATAAATTGCACGTCTAAAAATCGGAATAATTTCATAAAAATTAGATGAGTTATAAAACAGAACGCAAGTAATATTGGCACTACGATCATCTCCTTCTTTATTATACCATGAATTGTTAACAATTTTGTAAGCAAATAGATTGTTTATTGATTGTTGCCTATCTTTTGATATTTCTTTTTGATATCGGTCCAATTCTTCGAAAGAATCAAAGTCGTTTATCTTAGCATCAATATCTAGTTCTGTTTTTATCATTGTTTTGATGACATTTCCCAATTCTGGTAAACAATATCCGCCATCACATCCAGAATCTTTTATTCTCGTAATTGAAAGATTATTTTGGTATTCTACACTACCAAATGTTGGCCCGTAAATGATTTCTGAATAATCATTTTCTCCTGGAGCAGGAGAATACGAAATTAAACCTGGAGCTATCATCAAAATAATCGCAATGAAGTCAATAATTAATGTACCTAATATACCTTTCCATTGAAGAATCAGCTTTCTATAAATGACTCCTTTCAGTTGGCTTAAGAAAGATGTCATTAGAAAAAAATACGAGAGGTTATCGATTTTGTAATTTAATCGTCGTCGTTATCGATTTTGTAATTTAATCGTTATCGTCTTTTTCTAAACGTGCATTTTTACATTAAAAGCAATGCAACTCCAAAATTAATTGGTATTTAGACTTTAATTAGGTGCAGACAAACGAAATGCAGTCCAAATATTTTGGTGATATATGAATTACATAAATTTAGGGAAATTGAAATTATATCTTTTTAAATTTTTAGGAAAACAGATTTATAGAATTGTTTAAGTCATCAAAATAATGCAGACTTAGGTCAAATTTTCCAAATTTAATCATTTGCAAGACTTTCAAGCGACTTCAAAATGTCGAAATATAAGTCCAAAAATAAAATTACGATTACAGTCTATCCTCAATTATTATCACGCTAATTATTGAGTGACCCATGCGTTCGTATGTATGTAATACCTTTTAAAAAGGAGATGAGAGAGATAAACTACATTTACAATTTAAATCTGATGTATTTACTTGTTACATTTACAAATGTAAATGTTTCTCGTAATGTTTACATTTTGTAAGTATAACGAATAAAAATGACGCATTTTTTTACAAAGTCAAATTATGCGATACAACTTTACTTGTTACATTTACAAATGTAAATGTTTCTCGTAATGTTTACATTTTGTAAGTATAACGAATAAAAATGACGCACTTTTTTTACAAAGTCAAATTATGCGATACAACTTTACTTGTTACATTTACAAATGTAAATGTTTCTCGTAATGTTTACATTTTGTAAGTATAACGAATAAAATGACGCACTTTTTTTACAAAGTCAAATTATTGTTCGATTTTTGCAGCTTGTAAACGATTAATTGTATAAAGCAATTGATATTAGCACGATATAACTGAATAATTCTAATATTGAAATCAAAAGCCCTTAAAATATCATGATATTTTAATTTCATAACAAATCTAGGAGACTATTTGATGAAAACATATCCGATGTGGGTTTTGTTGTATTATATAACTTGTTATTGACTTCTTAGCTTTCCAAATTTTTTTCGATAATGAGAAAACGAATGAAAAATCAACATTTGGTCCATTTAAAATTTGATTTGTTTACATTTTTTTACTTTTTGAATTTCAATTTATATTTTCCTCAAGAAATACTTTAGATTTAAGAAACTAAATCATATAATCTACTAAGAAAATATATTAAATCCTATAATACTCAAAGTTTTGTGATAAATCAGATCTTTTTTATTTTACTTTTATTATGTTTTTGCAAACTTAAGGTCCTCACTAGGTAAAACATAATACTCTTTGAAGTTAAGTATTTTCACAAAGAGAGGACCAACAATATCAAAAGATTGAATAAAGATTTGTATTATTTTATTTATTTTTAAGAACATGTTTAAGAACCCTCATTATCTCCACGAATATTGCATATTTTTCTATTCTAAGACCACCAAAATTACGTTTTAATATAGAAAATAACATATTTATGTGATGCTAAAGTCGAAGTCCTTAAAAAATTAGTGTTAAACATCCTATTGTTAAATAAATTTTTTAAAAACCTTAATAGGATAAAAAAAAAGAATTTACACTCTCTCACTTTGAAAACGTAGAAAATGCCAATCTATTGGTATACATTTTAGTTTTGTTAAGTTTACAAAACGATTACTCTAGATTTTAAAGATTTATCAAGAATTTAGAGAATATCCTTCTCAAAACAACTTCAATAACGAAGGATTAGTATTAAATCGGATTTGTAACATAATTATAGTACATTACAATACAATTTCTCCGACTTTTAAATATTTTTGAAATATTTACAAAATATGCTCTTTCTATCATCGATACTTTAATACAGAGCAAATTTAGTAAATGTCATCACGTTATTTTTTCATAAATCGTTTTCGAACTTTTGAAATATTTATTTTAAACCAGTTTTCTACATTTAATATGTGAATTATATCAAAAGTAGATGGGCGATACTTGTAAATCTATTTAAACTATTAGTTTGCTATTATTGAAGAACTTTATAATTTTTTTTTCTTATGTATGGAATTAAAGATAATTTTGCCGATTCCAACTGGTTTTTCTATATGAGTTAAATATGCCAAGTGAAATCGGACTTGCCAATATTGTAAATTGAAGTATGGACTATATATCGATTTTCATTGATTGATGAATAACTCGGAGTAATGTAATTGTTGATAATGAAAAATAGTTTTCAATTGCTGGTAAGGGCCAATGTATGTTCAATAGCTCCGAAAGCAAAAAATGCACGTTTAGAAAAAGACGATAACGATTAAATTACAAAATCGATAACGACGACGATTAAATTACAAAATCAATAATGACCCAAAAAATACTTATTGTTCTATTCAAACGCCAAAATATAAAATTAAATATTGAGTACAAAAGTAATATAGATATTAAGTTAGGTTTAAATGAGGACCATTTTTGAATTAATTTCTATTTTTTGAAAAAAAAATTGAGAGCGATTATATTTTTAAAAAATACATAATATTGCAACAAAGAATATATTCAAAATTTAAAACGAGTTAATTAAATTTAATTGTTCGAATAATTCAGAGAACATTGAAAAATTCAATTAAAATTCATTTATAAGAAAAATCTGAAATATTTATATTTTATATCAATAAATTAATATATGCAATTAGTTTAAATGGATTTGGCAGTTTGAAAATGTAATTACAACTTCCAAAAAAATGTCAAATTGTATGCACGATCCGGATTTACATATATCATTCACTCGGAAAATATAATTTTATTCAAAATTAGATTTTTTGAAAAAGAAATTTAAATTCTTCTCGGGGAGATTCAATTTTATTCTTCTCATGATGCACAATTATCAATCATTCAATTTAAAAGAATTTTAATTAGTATATTATCCCACTTTTAAATTTGTTCAATTATTTCAATATTCTTTTCAATTTTCATTCTTAAAAATAATAATTTACCACCATTATGCTCAATGATCTTGATTCAAAATCCAATATTCCACCAACTGGAAATACAAAGTATTCCCAGTCAAGATTCTTCATTCAGTTCCTTAAGTTAATTTTGGGAATGAAATTCAAAAAAGTTGGCTTTTATGTATCTCAAATCTTTGTAATTGCTTTCATTATTTTACCACTTGTTATTTATTTGGCCCTGTTACAAAAAATTGATTCTGGTTCACAAGAGTATGACCCATATAATTCCCAATTACCAGATGAAAATCAACATTTATTTTTATTAAAACAACCTTTAGAAAATGGAGATAAACTACTTTCTCAACTTTTAATTGATTCAAATAAGTATAGTCAAGATGATTCAGATCCGTATAATCCAAGTTCAAGCCAAAGCAATGTACTCCCAATACATGGCCTTATCAATATGATTTTATTGATACATTATCATACACATCAAAGAAAATATATTTTTATCCAGAAAATATTTATACAAATGATATTAAAGAAAGAGTCGAATGTGGCGCAGATGGAGAGAAAGTGAAATTGTTTTCAGATGAAAATGAATTTATCCAAAGTTCATATAAATCAGATGTTTATGCATTTCGTCTCTTCGCAGAACCAGGTTTATTTAATTTTAATGGAACAATAAGAGAGGATAGCTTCTATCCAATTTATCAATTCAAAGGTAGCTTCTATTCATCTCTTATTAGGTATTTGTTCAATAAGACCAACATCTCTGTTGATATAAAAATTGGAGAATATAGTAGGCAATCAATATCTGGAAATCCGTACTATTATATTTATGCATTGTTCATTGGGTTTGCTGTGACAATTGTATTCCAGAACACATATTACATGTTTCATGAATTCAGAGAGAAAAAACTTTTACTATTGTTAACAGTTTCTGGAACATATGAATTAATTATTTATCTTACATTCTTTTTGATTGATTTAGTTTTCATGCTTATTTATTCCATTGTAGCATCTATAATTTTAAATTTATCAGGATTGAAAGGAAACGTAATTCACATGCTCTTAGTAATATTATTGATATTTATCTCGAACTATATTTTAGTCGCTATTTTTGTTTTAGTTTTATACAATCAGAAGCGTCTCAAACTCATCACAATTGGTCAAATTCTATTTAATATTGCTTTCACCATATTCTTTTTGCTTGAAAATTCTAATGTAAAAGTTATCAGCATCGTTTCTGAAATATTCCAATATCTTCCTCAAGGAATGATATATATCTTAATTGATAACCTTGCATACTGCAAAATGTTAGGAAAAGCATTTGATTTCTCAACCGCATCAGAATTTTATCATATCATCCCTCAATCCAAAGGTTCAAAAATATTATTAGGAATCACATTTGCGAATTTGTTTCTTTTCATATTCTTGAACTTGATGTTACCTAGAACTGCAGGAACACCACCAATTGGATTGAAACGTATTTTCTCGTTAGGATGCTGGCTTAAGGTTTTTACATTCAGAAGATCTAAAAATATCATAAAAAATGATGACAAACACTTTATTGAAGTCAACAATATTGATAAGAAATATGGATTTTCAATACATGCTCTGAAAGATGTTTCTTTCAATATTGATTCAAAAGAAATCATAGTCCTTATTGGTCCAAACGGATGTGGTAAGAGTACATTGCTTAATAGTATGACAGGAAGTATTGACTGCAATGGAGGCACACTTAGTATTTATGGCGAACTCTGCAAAGGTGGATTCAGTGAACTTCAACAACATCTTGGTATCTGTTTCCAAGATAATATCTTCTTTGACAGACTCAGTGTTCGCGAACACTTGAAATTCTTTGCTTCAATTCGTGGATATTCAAAAGATCATCTGAATGAAGTTGTTGATCATACAATAGATACATTCTGTCTTGAAGATTGTGAGAATAACAGAGCAATGTCTCTTTCGGGTGGTCAAAAGAGAAAATTATGCATAGCTCTTGCACTCATTGGAAATCCAAGTATCGTCATTCTTGATGAACCAACAGCAGGTATCGATGTTTCAACACGTCAGACAATTTGGAAAGCTATATCTGGATTTGGTATCACAGCAATCGTCAGTACGCACTCACTTGAAGAAGCAGAATCAGTGAGTAGTCGTCTGTTCGTCATGCGAAATGGTGAACTCGTCTTCGATGGTCCTTCAAACGAACTTCGTCGTAAATATCACTGTGGCTACCGTCTTACACCAATGTATCTTCCAGACACAGACACTAAGGATATGAACGAAAAGCTTCTTAGTTGGTGCAAGTCTAAGATCAGTGAATCCACAGAAGATGAAACTCACGATAACAGTATTTTAATTCCTGTTTGTCCTGAAATCGTTAGTCTTCTTGAAGAACTCGATACTGAGAAAAGTAACTTCAGCATGTTAGAATTTAACATTATTATCGAACAACTCGAAAATGTTCTCTACCGTATGTATGCCGATGATGAAAATGTCGAAGCTCGGTAAATATATTTTAAATTCATATTCACTTTCTTCTATTTTTCGAAATAAAATTTTTCTCTTTAAAATTTAAATTTTTTCAAAAAAAAATTCAAATTTAATTCTTGAAATAGTGCTCAAATTTAATGCCCCGCCCTTATTATATATGAAAATAAAGCAATATCCAAAAGAGTGCTAAATTATTTTTTTATTAATCTAGATGATTTTTTTAGGCAAAAACCATGGACTTTGTATAACTGAAATTTCGAAACAATACATACGATATATTGATTTCATACAATAACTGAAATAAGGTAAAATCTCATTTCTTGAAAGTTGAAATATCGAATTATCTTTGATCAAAATATTATATTTATCGAGAATATTATAATTTTCCATATAGTATTTAACTCTTTTTATCAAATATTTTTCAACTATAATTTTAATCTTTTAGAAATTTTATTAGTTATATTGAAAATCCTTATCACATGTAAATAAACAGTATGATTTAATATTAATATAGTCGAATTTTTGATATCGTTTAAATTTCCGAAATCAAATTCGATATTGAAGTTAGATTATAAAATCATATGCATATTAGTTTCTATTGCTCATCTTGTTCATCATCATTATTTTGACTTAACATGACAATTTCGAGGAAAACCTTTTCAAGAGTTGAGCAAGAGCATGTGTAATACTTGATTCCCATGTTGTTTGTCTTCGCTTGCTCAAGGAGGCGGAACAGTTTCGTGATTGAAATGTCGTTCCTCGGGATTGAGTATATTCTACTCAAAGGACGTGAGATTGTTGCAACAGCACTCGGAATGCCTTGCAAGAAGAAATTAGAAACAGTGTTTTGTGTTTCTTCGCTCTTGTCGTTCAAAAGAACATCAACTTTCCATTCAGTACCAAATCTGTTGGACAGGTATTGTGGTGTGCCAATGGTGAAAACACATCCATTAAGCATGATTGATATGTTGTCACAAAGGTTTTCTGCTTCATCGAGGAGGTGTGTGCATAACATGAATGTCTTCTCGCCTCTGTATTCGTTGATCAAGTTGTGAACCTTGTGTCTCGCAATCGGGTCGAGTGAAGAAGTTGGTTCGTCGAGGAGTATTATGTTCGCATCTGAGATGAATGTGATCGCGACGGCGCACTTCCTTCGGTTGCCACCGGACATGTTGTCGACTTTCTTGTCGATGTGTTCACTAAGGTCAAGTGTATCAACCATCTTATCGATGATTTCTTTTGTCTCGCTTCGACTCTTGTTGTACAAGTAGCAGAAGAACTTGAGGTTCTGTCTTCCTGTCAAGTTTCCTGTGAGATGGTCATCGAACTGAGGACAACGAGAGATCTTCTTTGGATCGAATGACTTCTCGATGTCATCACCTTCAATTTCGACACTTCCATTTGAAAGTGCTTCATCACGAAGTATGATCCTCATAAGTGTTGTCTTTCCTGCACCATTCGATCCCAAGAAACCGAAGAGAGATCCTTTCTTGATTCCGAGTGAAACCTGATTGACTGCATAAATGTTTTTGCCATTTGGTCCTGAATAGAATTTCGAAACATCTTTGATTTTAATTGCATATTCCTCTGATGAATTATGAACACTCTGTTCCATATCTATTGCTTCCTTTGTAATCTTTTGTTTATCTTTGAATTCCTTAAATTCTCTTTCATGTCCAGACCATCCGAATTTTGAGAATTTCTTCTTTGCAGATTTGCCTAACGCTTCAATCAATAACAATATTAACAAATACAAAATAATGCCAATAATCGGGATAATAATGGGGATCTTATAATAAGAATCTGCATCCAATTTAACCGAATTTAATGGAGCTTGAAATTTAATAGGTTCAATTGGAGCATAAAATAAGTTAATAACATTATTCATTGGGAATATGCAGAAGAGACATCTAATGAGCTTTAGTAGAGATAGTGATTTTATTTGTTGTCTTAGCATCAAACCAACAAAATACGCTGTCAATGTGAAAATAATGTGAACAATAAAAAACATTGTTGCGCCACTGTTTCGATTGCGAAGTAAAAATCCCCAAATATATGCATAGATGATTGATGCAATTAATGTAATAAGCACTGCATAAAATATATATCCATTGAATTTCATAAAGATTGGTTCTTTGAGAATCATATTGATAATGAAAGCGATAACTGTTACTATAAACAAATGAGCAAAGTCGATAATGAAGTTACCAAGCCAGTATGCAAACCTATTTAAACCACAAGCAATCATATAACTGCGCGTAGGTGTGTGTAAATCTTCTATAATTTGACCAAAGCCAAATGAAATAAATATTACAATGGCAATGGCATATATTATAAAGTATATATCTGCAACATATGAATTTCCTTCTTCTTTTGCCATTACTTCGGATCTAACTGAAAAATTATAATAAATATCGGAATCTGAAATACTTGGATTCATCATTTTAAATACTGCACGACGAAATAGAGTCTCAAAATGATAAGTTTGAAAATTTGAATAGTTAACAACAACGTTGCATGTTATACTTGCGTTATATTTGTCATCTTCTGTACGATAATATGAGTTGTTAACGATTTGATAACCAAATATATTATTTAATGAATGATGAGGGTCTGATGTTGTTTTGTTTTGAAAATCATTAAGATCATCGAAAGTATCAAACTCGTTGACTTTGACGTCTACATTTATTTCATCTTTTATCATCTTTTTTAAAATGTCTAATAATTCTGGGAAACAGAACCCGCCATCACAACCAGGATCCTTTATTCTTGTAATTGAAAGATTGTTATAATTTTCTAAATCATCCAAAGAATTTGTTGTTATATGCGTGACTCCTTCTCCTGCCTTGTCCGAAGATAATTTAAAGATTGCAGGTACTAATAATAAAGCAATAACAACCAAATCTACAATTATGGTACTAATTATACCTCGTAATTGAAGAATTGATCTTCTAAATAGGACAGCCTTCAGCTGGGATAAGAAAATTCCCATTTGAATATTTTATTATCGTTTCTTTCAAATTCAATTTAAATAAAACATGATAAGAATAAATAAACTATTAAATTTGTCAAAGGTAAGATTTTGAATGGAAAAAAGATGTTTGAATGTTTTACATAAATTTAGTGTAAGATGAAGGCCATTCTCTTGCTTTATCAAATACATTTTCCAATTAAAAACTGAAATTGTATTTTTGAATTCAATAAATTAATTTTTGAGAGCAAATCTAAAGCCTTTGAGGACCAACGATTTTATTTTTTAAGTACTTGTGTTGATGCATGATTTAAAAATAAAATTATATCTTATCAAACGATAAGATAATGAATTTGAATACAATTCAAAAACCTAATCAACAATAAAGTTTATATGTGTGGGAAAATTCATATAGAGTTATATAAACTGTTTATTCATAATTAACAAGCTTTCAATTTGATTGACCAAGTTTTTGAATTTGCATTTTTTATGCAGATTTCATTTGTAAAGCATGAATTTAAATTTTCGCTAAAACAAATCATTAACAAAATTGAAAATGCTTCAATTCTAAGGGGAAAAAAAAGAAATATAATTCCTATAACAATATATAAAGAAATAATTATTTTGTTTTCAATTTTATTTTACATTCTCAAATTCATTTTTATAATTCATTAAAAAAGACCCTAATATGCTTGATGATTTTGATTCAAAAAACAAAAGATCAAACGCAGATAATGTAAAGCGTTCCCACACAGCATTTTTCTTTCAGTTTCTGAAATTAATTTTTGGAATGAAATTAAGAAAAGTAGGGTTTTACGTATCTCAAATATTTGGAATCATTTTCATCATCTTCCCGATAATCTTTTATATTCTCATAATAAAGAAAATGGAAAATTCTATGAGTGAATATAAAAGGAAAAAATATACTTTTCAAAAACCAGGACAACATAATTACAACTATGACGATTATTACTATTCAAGGAATAGTTTACGGCCAGCAAGTAAAAATTCAAAACAAGATAATTCGAAACAACCTTTAGATGATCCTCCAGATCCAGAATATGATCCATATAATTATTCCTACGGTCCATATAATTATTCCTACGATCCATATTATCCTCCATACGATCCATATAACCAACCTAGCATGTATGAACGTCATAACTACTATTTTTTGTATGAGATAACTTGGGAGGACAAAAAAACAATTCTATTTCCAAATAATGGTTATACGCAGGATATTAAAGCAGGTGTACTTTCTAAAAATGATACTAAAATAGTTGAAATAATGTCAGATGAATCAGAGTTCGAAAAAATAGCAAAAACAGAAGATGTGTTTGCATTTAGAATCGAGCCAAAGCCCAGAAAAATCTACTTTAATGGCTCAGCAAGAGGTGATGCGTATCAGTTTGGAGGTTCTTTCCGATCTTCAGTTATCGAATATTTTATGGATAGATTAAATATATCACTGAAAATTGAGATAGGAGAATATACAAATTTTGCAACAACAGGCAATCCATTTTATTATCTTTATGGTTTATTTATTGGCTTAGCAATTACAATATTATTCACAAATACATATTATATGTTCCACGAGTTTAGAGAAAAGAAGTTATTCTTTTTGTTAACAGTTTCCGGTGCCCTCGAATCATTAATTTATCTTGCTTTCTTTTTCATTGACTTTATTTTTATGGTGATTTATTCTTTTCTAGTAGCTATCATTTTCACTATCTCAGGTTTGAACGGAAATCTAGGATTATTATTTTTAATTTTCTTCCTTATCTTTATCGCAACTTACTTTTTCAATGCATTTTTAGTATTGATTTTATATAACCAGAAGCGTCTGAAGTTACTTGTAATAGTTCCAATATTATTCCATATTGGTATTTCTATTTATTTCATGATTGGGTATGACGATACCAAAGTTTTCCCAATTTTCATGAAAATATTCCAATTTTTACCTCAAGGAGCAATTTATTTATTGATCGATAATGTTGCATATTGCAAAGAAGTCAAAGAAGTATTTGATTTTGCAACAGCACCAAAAGTCTTTCATCTTATTTCACAATCTACTGTTTCAAAGATTTTATTAGGAATGGCTTTTGCATTCTTATTCCTTTTCCTTTTCTTCAACTTGATGATGCCAAGAACTGCTGGAACACTCCCTGTTGGATTCGCGCATATTTTCTCATTCGGACATTGGAAGAAAGTTTTTGCTTTTAGAAGAGCAGTTAAAATTAATCATGAAGATGACAAACACTTTATTGAAGTCAACAATATTGATAAGAAATATGGATTTTCAACACATGCATTGAAAGATGTTTCTTTCAACATTGATTCAGGAGAAATCATCATCCTCATTGGTCCAAACGGATGTGGTAAGAGCACATTGCTTAACAGTATGACAGGAAGTATTGACTGCAATGGAGGCACACTTAGTATTTATGGCGAACTCTGCAAAGGTGGATTCAGTGAACTTCAACAACATCTTGGTATCTGTTTCCAAGATAATATCTTCTTTGACAGACTCAGTGTTCGCGAACACTTGAATTTCTTTGCTGCAATTTGTGGTTACAAAAAAGATAAAATCCGAGAAGTTGTTGATCACGCGATTGACTCATTCAATCTAGAAGAATGCGAAAATAACAGAGCAATGGCTCTTTCAGGTGGTCAAAAGAGAAAATTATGTATAGCTCTTGCTCTCATTGGTACTCCTCGCATTGTTATTCTTGATGAACCAACAGCAGGTATCGATGTTTCAACACGTCAGACAATTTGGAAAGCTATATCTGGATTTGGTATCACAGCAATCGTCAGTACGCACTCACTTGAAGAAGCAGAATCAGTGAGTAGTCGTCTGTTCGTCATGCGAAATGGTGAACTCGTCTTCGATGGTCCTTCAAACGAACTTCGTCGTAAATATCACTGTGGCTACCGTCTTACACCAATGTATCTTCCAGACACAGACACTAAGGATATGAACGAAAAGCTCCTTAGTTGGTGCAAATCTAAGATCAGTGAATCTACAGAAGATGAAACTCACGAAAACAGTATTTTAATTCCTGTTTGTCCTGAAATCGTTAGTCTTCTTGAAGAACTCGATACACAAAAGAGTGGATTTAACATGTCAGAGTTCAATATTATTATCGAACAGCTCGAAAATGTTCTCTATCGTATGTATGCTGATGATGAAAATGCTGAAGCTAAATAGATCTATATTAAATTCATATTATACTTTATTCAATCCTAATCAATTTTTAATATTTTTCATTTTGTAAAATTTGGATAAGCTAAAATATGTTAGTTTGCAAAAATTTACTGGTCTATCTTTGAAACATATAAAAACTGTCTGAATTCAATTTCAATTATATTGAAGATTGAAATATCTAGGATTTATATTGAATTCACTAAAAATTTCACATGTAAAATCCTTTTTTTCACTCAAATTTAATAAACGATAATTTGATGAGTTAGATATTTTAACCTTTTATACCCAACAATGCGCCCAAAAAATAGAATGTATAATAATTTAACTACTAGCTCAGTGCAATTTTTACTTTAAAAAACGTATTGCATGCATTTGTAATAGGATTTGCTTTTATTAATCAACAAATTTGAGGGTACCAATGCATGGAGTGGACGCACAGATCGTGTGTTGTTTGCAATGTTCTCCGAAATAACAGGTGTTATATCTTTCTCGGATTTACATCTAAAATCGAAATCTTTATAAAAATTACAGCTATATGTAGCTGGTTAAATCATTTTTCTACTATTTAAAAGTCCAACTTAGCAGTTTTTGCATTTTTTGCCGAATTTTATTGCAATTTTGTAATTTTAACAACATTTCTTAAAAACCAATACAGCAGAATCTAAGAATAATCATAACGATTTGAAAATAAATCATTAATAAATTATTTTTATTTTATTAAATTGAAATATGATTTTCCCATAAATTTAAGATTTCTAATCGATAAGTGGCATTTGAAAAATTAATAACGTATGAAATGGGGTTATTTTTTTAAAGATATTGTTTCAAGCTATTGAGGTTCAATTTTATATACATGGATATATCAGAGTTTCTGTACACAATGCTAATTGATAGCTTTAATGTCCAAGGAAATAAAAAAGATACGATTTTGGTGAGATTTATTATCCATTCTTAGTGCATATAGGTTTAATATATCATTCAAATACATCAAAGTCGAATTATTTCATATCACAAAATTTTTGCTAAGATTCTAAATCTTCATTGATGTATTTTCATGACGATTATTTTGAGTTAAATAATTCGATTCCCTGAATTGATTAAACTTTTTGCTGACAGATCTTCCAACTCCTGTATTTATGAATTATTTATGAATAATTCAATAGTGAAATGATATGGATTCATAATCTTTGGGTGTTCCTCAATAGAAAAGATTATTATTGAAACATTAAGGAATATTCAAGTCGTTTTGGAGAATATACCACTTGATTCGAAAAGACTGCAGATCATATGTGGCAAGCTAAGTATATCGCATAATCTTTTGAATCAGAACAAAATATTCATCTACGCACGTATTTTTCCATTAACTAATAGACCCTTGAATGATTTTTCACGATGAAAATTTATTACTTTCATAACTTAAGCCTAGTTAGTAATTATTTACATTTGACTCTTATTCAATTATCATTTTATTTGTTCGTAACGATGTGGTATTAAATAGATCATTAAAGCAATTCAGAATTGATATTCTTGTGGAATAATATTATCAAATTTACAATGAATTAATCAATTGACAAAAAGAAAATCGAAATAGGTAAAAATTATTTTGAAATATATCATCACTCAGATGGTTGTAATAAAAAATTTAAGTTAATTAGCTTCGATGATGAGAAATTGATCGTAACAAAAATGAAAGTAAGCCATTGAATGAAAATATTAAAGATTAGGTTATTGCTACTTAATAAAATTAGATTAAGCACGCCGTTATTAAATATGTTTCGGATTTCTGAAAATGTTTAATTCGGAAATAAAAAGAAGGTACTATTTAATACGTTAATGATAGGTAACAACAAATTGAAGATTGTTATTTGAAATAATTCAAATTTTATCTGGATGAAAGGTGACATTTAACCAAAAATAAACATGTATTGAATAAGTTCATCTAATTAATTGAACTCAATAAAGAATTTTTAATTGAATTCATAAATGACAATGATTTAGTAAAATAACAAATTAAATCGTTAGAAATTAGGTTTCGCTCTTATAAAATAAAGTTGGATATGTTCACAATTTTGAGTTACGTTGAAAATAATTCAATATGATCGTTATGTGGTTTAATAAATAGTGTTCAAAATAATAATGTGTGTTATTTAAAATATTAATAATAAACTTACGGTTTGTCAAAATTTATAATAAACTATTACACCAGTTTTGAGAAGGAAAATTAAATAAAAACAAAACATTTATTCTAATTCATTAATTCGAACTTTGGGAGACAAGCCATTTCAAAATTATTCTGAATTTCTTCTGAAAATTCGTTCAGATCATTGGTTGTTGGAGAAGGAGGACATAGAGAGGGGAATTGCTTTTTAGGATAGCTAGAATTTTCTTGAACGCATGGATAAATTATTGATTTAAATTGACGAATCTTCTTCGGTATATATTTCCTTACGCGCTTTGAGAAATGTGTGTTCCATCTATTTTTAATATTGTTAGCGCTTCGACCTTGAAAATAAGTTCTCAATAAACTCCATTGTGGTCCGTATTGGTAATACAATTTTTGCAAAAGATCGTCTTCTTCGGTAGTCCAGGGGCCATTTACAAGGTTTTCATTTAAATAATTCATGAAGCGATCTCTGCATTGCCTTGGGGTTCTTCCTGGCAGAGCATGGGAAATGATATTCCATCTTCTTGGCCCAAATATGGCAACTTGATGTTGAAGAATATCATCTTCTTCTTTAGAAAATTTAACGCGCCTAGAATCTGCTTTATCTAACCAGCTATCACATGGGGTAAACTCCGTCATTAAAAAGTGAGAAAATTGAATACATTCTGAATTCTGAAAATGGTGAGTGGAGAAAATATTGATATTTTAAAAAATAACAATTACTCTAAAATATGTGTTAAATGTATATAATTGACTTTTGAAATATTTACATCGTAATAGATTATCACAATTTGGATTTGACAAAATGTAATATGTAACGAACGAGAGATCACAAGTACAATTACAAATTTTTATTTTTAGAGGTTGTAAAATCATTTCAATTGAATTGAAATAGATTTGGATACTATCGTTCAATTGAACTTCAAAAAATATTATTACAATTGTTCGATATCATACTATATTTAATATCAATATTATAATTGAAATACTTATTCAATTTTTGATATGGGTTTAATATATTATATAATAAATACCATTTAAATCATCCTCAAGGTTTATTTTTGACAAAGAAAAATTGAATGTATAATTACACTTTCTTTGTCCAAACTGAATAAATTTTGGAAAGCTTATTATTATTCAATTTAAAGTGTTTTTAACAAATCATATAAAATTATCTGATCAGTAATTCAAATTGACAATGTCTGAAATCTTTCTGCTTCGGAACATTGAAACCATATTTACCTCCATAAAACAAAATCCTTTCTCAGATTTTAATTCTAAAATCTGATTCGGTCTCAATCCTTTTTATTAGCACGACTTCTATTAATCAACACTTCCTCGATTTGATATTCTCAAATTTCTAATTTTCATTTATAAGATATCATTTGAATTCGGATAAATCCTGTAACCTTTTTTAAACTGAATGATCATTAATTTTATTAAAATATTCATTGATAAGCTTAAGTGATATTCATTGAATAGTAATGATTATTGTCAGACTGACATTAACCAAACATTTTGCTGTCAAATTACCCCTAAGGGCTATTTTATTTATAACACATTACCTATACAAAAACCAAATGTTTTGGTCCGATCACTTCTATCGAATAATAATAAAATAATTAAATTATTCGATCGGAATTTTCTCAGTATTATTAACAAAACCAATATGGTTAGTAATATTAGAAGGAAACTATATTTTAAAGTTATTTTTGTCTGATTTTTAATTGTATTTTTTTGATATCAGCAATACCAATAATTTAGATAAAATTAATTTTTTATTTCGAAAGATTGATGGATTGAAAATATATCTTGAATTAATTTAAAATTTTTAAAAATATTTTCCGTTAGCAATTAATTTTTAGATATTCATCTCTTAATAATGATGACTTGGCATTTTTCTGTTCATTTGGATTTAAATTCTCTTTGAGATACGGATTATGGATAATTTTTGATTTCGAATTGATAGAAAACAATTTTAAAATGTCATCACAATGATCACCTAAGCGTTGGAACAACAAGAAGATCTTTCTTATTGGATATTTTGAATTATTAATTATTGATTTAATATTCGGAGAGAAACATGTATGGATTGATTCATTTCGGAAAATTCTGGCATGATCAATGATATCCTCTTTTGTCCTTGAACAACTCACTATCAATTTGGATCTTGAAGTAGAGATGATGCAAAGTTTTTCTGTCACTTTTATTTCAAATTTCATTCGTGATTTTTCAACAATAGAAGAGTTGATATCTGATAAACATTTCTGAATCGAATCATAGAATTCATCTGCTCCAATCCCCTGTTCAACATCGGAAGTCAGAATCATCATATTTTGGCCAGAAAGAAATTTTACCAATTCCGATCTTAACTCTTCTTGAACGAACGAATTTAAATTGTTATTGTATTGGATAATCTTATCGTAATGAAATGAGTGACGAAGAATTTGGTTATCAATGTTTGTTGAAAATGACAATTTTGTCAGCCTGACAATAAGATTTTCGAGTGTATTCTCTTCATCTGATTTAGAATAAATAAGTAGAGAACGTTCTGAGCTCTCCTGATTGCTTATTTCTTTAATTGTATATCCTGATATCTCGAATTTTCCTTTTTCGTGTGACTTATCCTTATCAACTACTGTTATGACGTCACGCGAAACAACAAATTTTCTTTTTTCGCTTTTCTCCATGAAGTTATCAAAAAATTCTATTCATTACATCAAGTCACTTTTTACTCGGTGTAAAATTTTGGAATTGAAATTCAACGTCTTTTTATACGTTCCATGATCTGAAATTTAAATTGGATCAAAGAAACGACATCGCGTCATTATGGATATCAATATTTTGATATTAATTTTTCAGGAAAAAAAGTTTTCAAGAATAATTCGCATAACAAACAACATTTTTTAATAAAATAAGCTTAGCTAGGTGGATTTTCGTTAGGATCACGTATTATTTTCCTTTTCCTCTGCTTTTTTACTCTAACTCTTATGTAATGCTGTTCATTTGGTGGTCTTGGCTTAAATTCGCCATTAATTTGATCCGCATTAACTGGGTTATCTGTATTATCTTCTTCCTCCTCTTCTTCTTCGTATTCTGATACATATTGGTCATTATTTGGTGTCAACGATTTTCCAATTCGTCGTGGAGATGAAATTGGAGGAGATTTAAACGGTGACTCTTGATTATTCCTATTTGTAGTTGAAATGACATAAGCGCTAATCTCATCTTTCAGCTTGACTTCGAGTTTATCGACTGTTTCTTTGATGATCGATTGAATATCTTCTTTATCCTTTTCGTTCTGGGGAGTTATTGCTGGGGATCTAATATTTGGTTCGTATATTACTATTGGAGTTTTCTGAGGCGATTTACCGTCAGAATTTTGGTTAATTGCGCTTAAAATAGCATTTGTTCGAAGATTTATTGATTGGGATAGCGTCTGAATAGTCTGGACAACATCATCTTGGAATGTTCCAAATGCATTTGCTGTTTCTTTTGTTTGAATATTAATTTCATTTCTTATTTGATCAATTTGTGAATTATTTTCGGATCTTACCTTCGCCAACGCCTCTTTAGTTTCCTTTTCCAGTGTTAGAATATTATTTTCAACAGCAGGCTGCAAGTTTTGAAACGCATTTTGTAAATCTTTAATTGCAGTTGCCATTTTTTGCTGTAGATTATGTATAATTTGGAACAATGTTGAATGTGCAGATTGATCTGCAGCATCAAATTGTTGTAATGAGTTGTTTAACTTTGAAATACTTTCTCCAACTTGAGATTCGATCAATGAGGTTTTCTGATTTGCAACAACAAGGGCTTCTTCAATTTTAGAAACTTTACTTTCTAAAATATTCAACTTATTGTTTTGAGAATCAACATTTGAAACGGAATTATTAACTTTTTGTTGGATATCGTTATTTATCGATTTAAAGTAATCGTTCATGCTATTTATCATCTGGTTTGATGATGTGACTGTATTTTCAAGTTGATTTACCCGATCTTTTAGAGAACTGATATTTTCTTGATAAGAACTCATCATTGTCTCTAATTTCGTAGATAGAATTGCTATGTTATCTTCACAAGGCTTAATTCGAGAAGGGATTTCGTATGAAACTATTCTGTCGTAATTAAATTGATTATTCTGACTTGGAGGATCGTAACTTGATGGTAATATTGGAGGGCGAGGATGAAAATCGATCAACGAGCGTCTTTCTGGTTCAGGAAGTAATTTATTAACAGGTTTTGCATCCATAAACGTCGGTTGTGGTAAATTTGAACCTAATTTCTTTCGATTTTTCTCTTCAATTTGCTTTTTAAGTTCTTCTGCATAAATAGGTCCGTTTTGCTTTCGCCAGTTGTTGAGCTCCTCCCCTTCTTGCCCAAACATTACTAACGAATTTGAAAATTTTTCGACTGTTTTTTTATGGAAAATCTAGTTGGTTTTTATGTATCACAGTGATTAGATCATTCGACAAGAAGCAAAGGATTCGTATTGCCAATTAAAATCTAACAATTTATCTTTGTGATTTGATTCATACGTTTTCCATCAAATCTTACTCGCTCGGTTTTCAATTTTGCTAATGGACATATGCTCACCTCATTCAGCTAAACTTGGTTACATGGGATGGTTTAAATTTAACGAGACTTTTCATAAGTAACAAAATTACATTTCTTTAACCTATATGAAATATGCATATGCCGTATTAGTATATTTGTTTTATATATTAAATCCTGAATATCTATAGGAATTATAGATTTATTACATTTTACGTTTCAATTGGGAATATGGAAGGATAGTTAGTACGAATATATTTCTTACATATATGTGTAGATTGTCATATTCTAAATATGAATGAAATTATTAAACCTGCCAAGATATTTGAGGATAGTTTGAATGCAAAAAAGTAATTTGTGCATGTTACTATACGAAAGGATATATATTTATTAAATTCCGAAGTCGTGATTCCTTTATTATATTTTATTTGTTGAGATTGAAACAAAATTATTGATGATTCTATAGTTTTTGATGTTTTTAATGCATGAATAATATTTCAATTATATGATAGATAGTAAATGTCATACTCATTAAGCACAACAACAAAACTAAATTTCCAAAAAAATTTCGAAAAAATCTTTTTCAAGTTAAAAAATACAAATTTTATAATGAATTCTGAAAAATGAAAAAAATTTGGAAAAATAGATACCCATTATAATTGATATTGATGCGAAAACAATAATATTTTTGACAAAAATCATGCAATATTACCAAAATTATTTATTATGAAAAAATCTTAGCTTGTTTTAAGAATCTTTCTATTAAAGTTTTACTATATATCAACAGTTTAGAATAGCTCTAGTGTAAATCTATTAATTTTTAAAAATTTCAAATATATTGAAAACCGTTGAAAGAAGTAGTTTACTTAGACCAATTCCTGAAGTACTGAGAGTAGATTTTCAGGGCCTCAGCGATATTTCCTGGAACAAATAAGAAATGATTTCCAAGAACATCGCCAGTGCGAAGTCTTTCAGCAAATTCCTTGGAGACCTTAGCAATAATCTGTGTTCTGCATTGATCTGGTGATGGTTTCTCTGGATTTGTAACTTCGCAAGAGGTAGTCATGACATCCCCATTGACACCAAATCTTGCAGCGGTCCATGTTCCTTCAATAACCTTTCCGGCAACAGAAGTACCAATTCCGCTCTCGAAATGGGTTGTAACTTTGGATGATGTCGTAAGTTTTCTTGGAATTGTGCAGTGAGCGAATCTAGCTGTTGTTCCATCGATTCCTGTTGGATTTGCCATGAAAATTGGGGATCCTGTCATTTGATTCATGATCATCATTGTAACTGTTGCTGGAATATCACCTTCGCATGCAGCAGTCATTCCTTCATCATTAAATCTTGATACTTCTAAGCAAGATGTGCACTTGAGAGAAGTAACAAGGTCGAAGCAACGGATTGTAAAAGCGTCGAGTTTATGTTTCTTGATAATCTCGTTAATTGAATTGTAAACATTTTCTTTCTTAGCTCCTGTAAGGAATTCGGATATATCAATGCGTTCTGTATGCATATGGAATTTTGGTGGGAGACCTTCTGCGTAATATCCAGATCCAATGAGCCAATCAGATGGATTTCCAATGAGTCCAATCTTTGGTTTCTTCTGTGCAAAGACAGATGCAGTACTTGCGGCTGTGAGGATCGGAACGAGTCTTTCCTTATCGTCTACGCAGCAGAAAATGCTTGGGGCACGCTTTCCAGCTTTGAAGTCAGCATTGAGGCGTGCTGAAATCTCGCAACCAGCAGCAAATGAATTTGACTTCTTATGAACAAGAATTACAGCTGGATTCTCAGGATATTGCTCTGCCATTTGGAGGAACATACGCTCTGTACCGCCACCAGCGCAAAATCCAATGAGTGGCTCGCCTTTAATCAATGGTATATTACTTGCTTGGAGTTGAACATTCTTAGGTACAGACTCAAGCAGAGGGCCGAGGTATTGCTTCATGAGCTCTGGGGATTTCTTTGGGAGACCAGTGTCGATGATACGATATTTGAGTGTTGCAAGCATCGTTTTTGTCACCTTCAATCCTGTGAAATATCCATTCAATTTTTGAATCGCTCTCAATTTCGTGGATGATATTTCCGAATCAGCTCACTTTCAATATTATTACAATAATGTCGTGTGTCGGCCATTAATTTAACAACTTAGAAAAATTCTCTGGCTCCATCAGGCAATCAAATCGATTTACAGGCATTGCCAATGGGGATCGAATACCATAAACATTCGTTAGAGTACACTTAAATTGTAAGAGATTAAATCTATACATCATGTAAGTTCAAATTTGTAATTTTTGTTAAAAAAGAAAGATTTATACATAAACTTTATATTTATTTTATCTAAAAAATCAACACATGTTTATTCCTGAGGTAAGATCAATGTATTGAGCTGATCAGCTTGATGGAAATTCTTCAATCCAGAATACCATCTATTTTTAACAGCTCCAGGGCTTCTTCCTGGCAGTAGACGGGCTATATTAGACCAGTGATTACCTATTTCTCTCTGTTTTTCAATAATTAATTGATCTTCCCAAGGTTCGAATGCGCCTTTCTTAATATTGGGGTCTAAGCAATTTAACCATCTCTCTCTACATTGTTTACTTGTTCTTGTAGGTACAAACTTTGCGATATCGTGCCATTTTTTAGGTCCAATAGAAGTAATTGCGGCTTTAAGCTGAGCATCTTCTTCGGCAGTCCAAGCACCACGAGAGCTTGCTGCATTATTCATAGGTGCAGAGTCCATTAAATATTGAGGAAATAATTGCATTGCAGCGTATTGTTGAGATAAGTTTGGGGTCCCGGTCCCTTGAGCATCTGCAGGATAAGGCTGATATTGATCTGGGAAAGAGTAGAATCCACCACCGGTTTGATCGGCGGTTGCGGTTTCGTTAGACATGGAGGTTTGCATCAATTTTACAATAATCGTCTTTTGTGATCTTTCTTTTGAAGACAATTTAATTCAGAGTCTTCAAAACTTGATAATCAAGTATCTAATTAGAATTAAAATATATTTTATGGACCAAAATTAGGCATCAATGCAAAAAATTTTGATCAAAATTTTAATATGCTATCATACTCATTATTATTCTGCTGTTGTCAAATACATAAGCAGAAATAGCAGAAAAAGCTTTTATTCATCCTTATTATAAAGTCAATATTCAGAATGAATATTGAATTCCATTATATACCTTTTTGATATAGCATATTCGTCAATAACTTACTATAGTAATTATTTGATCAACTTTTGGCTTCTTCATGATCTTCCATAGATCTGGAAACTGCCACTTTTTTATATAGCATAAGCTATCAATATGGACATTATGGTATAATTCACCAGCTTTCACAGAGATACAGGACAATTTCTGATGTAATACATCTTGAATCTCCAAATCAATATGCATTTGAACGTTCAGATATAAATTCAATTTTGATTTGGAATGTTCCAAAGTCTTATCATACAATAATGCCCTATACTCCATTACAAACGAATCTAACTATTACGTTTTTGTCAACGGCGCCTCACAAAATTTAAATGCATGACAATAAAATTAAATACTTGATTTCATTATTGATGTTTTTTGAGAGCGTTAATTTTTTATCCCCGCCAAAGATCCTGATCAACATTGGCATTCTCACCGAATTTTCAATTGTTGGTCATTTATGAAATTAAGACTAATGTCGCTTTTGAGATAACACATTGAAATTTTTTCCCCACAACAACCCAAATTAATATCGTTAAGCCTTTATTCTTTTAAATCTGAATTCAAACTTCCCGAATTCAGTCGCTCAGCAAATTATGCTATGTAAATTTTTGTAAAGTACCAAAAAGTCAGATTTTTAATCCCAAAACATGGAAGGAGATTTTGCAACTACAGAATCTTTTTATTCTAATCAGCATGGCCACATTTCTTTCCATGACATAATACTCAGGGATACTGCTGTATTTTCTCAATTTGAAAAAGCCATCAGATATAACTCTACTTTGTTCAAAGATAAAATTGTATTGGAAATTGGTTCTGGAACCGGAATTTTTTCTATGATGGCTGCAAAATCAGGAGCTAAGCATGTCTATGCATGGGAACCATCATTATTAAATATTTATTCCAAAAAAACTATCGAAGATAATAATTTGCAAGATAAAATCACAATTTTAAGTCAAAATTTAGAAGAAATCAAGCTAGAGGAGAAAGTAGATGTCATTTTTACTCTTTGTTTCGGATATGGAGTAATTTATGAATCTTATTTTCCTCAATTCTTAAAAGCAAAAGAATTATTTCTATCGGAAAACGGAATAACTATTCCTTCAAAGATAGATCTAATAATTGCTCCACAAAAAGTATCACAAATACGACGACAATTAGCTCAATATTCTAATTATTGGGATAACGATGTTTATGGATACAACTATAAAGCTATGAATGAACTTGTTGATTCATCAGTTAATATTGATTACTTAATTCCTACTTCAATTTCTTCATCACCTCATATTTTCAAATCAATAGTTACATCTGAGGCAAAAACAGATTTATCTCTTAGCGGAAACTTTGAATTTACAATAGAAAGCGACCAAGAGCTTGAAGGTTTTGGTTCTTGGTTTGATATTCAATTCCCTACTTCAACCGAGCCAATAATTGTCTCAACAGCTCCATCGTGCGAAAACTTGACACATTTTTGTCAATTGGCTTTCCATTTTCCAAAATCAATTGATGTCAAGAAAGATGACGTTATTTCTGGATCAGTTAATATTAGTTATCAGGGAGATAAATGTTCTCCGTTGATTTATGATATTTCCTATAAGATTAATGACTCAGATCCGATTTCTCAGAAATACATTCTGAAATAAAGTTTTAAAAATAGATATTTGTATGTAAATTTAGGGCTGTACAAAATCGAGAAAAACATTGCCGTGCGGTAATATAGGGTCAAAAAAATCGCGCCTCGGCGGCTCCGCCGCCTCGGCACTATTAAGTGCGCATTATATTTAATATGTCCTTTTTTTTCTCTTCTTCTTTTCCTTTCCTTCTTCCTCTCCTTCCTCTTCTTTCCTTCTCCTTCTCTTTTTACAACAACTGTAATAAACAGAAATTCATCAAAAGTGACAGCTCTCAATTTTTTGACATTTGTAAATTCTAAATTGAATGAGAAAAATGAAATAATACTAAGCATAATACAATATTCTAGATTTAATTATAATTAGGAAAAAGTTAGTTTTGAGAGTACTTTTCATAGGCATATAGAATGAAATCTTCTGAAAAATAATATCACATAAACTCATATTATTTTCTAATATATAACTATTTTATATAAAAATCAAATTCAATGATCTTAAAAGCGAAGGACAAACCTCAAAATTTACGAATATAATGAGTGGGAATATAATGCTTATCTATCATAAAACCATATGAAATATCAATTTTTGCTTTACGCCTAATTTTTGACGACAATTAGCAAAAAATGTTAAATGTTAACACTCAGTCCATTTGAATATGAAAAATAAAATTGACTTTGATTAAATGTAAGAACGCTATAAATTATGTATATGATTCAGTAAATAAATCTAAGCAACCTTGACTAAAAATCCATGGAGAGATTGGGACAAAGTTGCAATTCGGCACTTTTTGTAAAAAAAATGGGGTCATACTCATAATGAATAGAGACTTATAGCCAAGTCTTGATATCATGCAGGGAGAATATACATAGATAAGCAATTATATTTTATAGTAGTAGTATTCAGAAATTCTTACAATTTACAATACAATTTTCAAAAATGGATAAAGACTTATAGCCAAGTCTTGATATCATGCAGGGAGAATATACATAGATAAGCAATTATATTTTATAGTAGTAGTATTCAGAAATTCTTACAATTTACAATACAATTTTCAAAAATGGATAAAGACTAATAGCCAAGTCTTGATATCATGCAGGGAGATATACATAGATAAGCAATTATATTTTATAGTAGTAGTATTCAGAAATTCTTACAATTTACAATACAATTTTCAAAAATGGATAAAGACTAATAGCCAAGTCTTGATATCATGCAGGGAGAATATACATAGATAAGCAATTATATTTTATAGTAGTAGTATTCAGAAATTCTTACAATTTACAATACAATTTTCAAAAATGGATAAAGACTAATAGCCAAGTCTTGATATCATGCAGGGAGAATATACATAGATAAGCAATTATATTTTATAGTAGTAGTATTCAGAAATTCTTACAATTTACAATACAATTTTCAAAAATGGATAAAGACTAATAGCCAAGTCTTGATATCATGCAGGGAGAATATACATAGATAAGCAATTATATTTTATAGTAGTAGTATTCAGAAATTCTTACAATTTACAATACAATTTTCAAAAATGGATAAAGACTAATAGCCAAGTCTTGATATCATGCAGGGAGAATATACATAGATAAGCAATTATATTTTATAGTAGTAGTATTCAGAAATTCTTACAATTTACAATACAATTTTCAAAAATGGATAAAGACTAATAGCCAAGTCTTGATATCATGCAGGGAGAATATACATAGATAAGCAATTATATTTTATAGTAGTAGTATTCAGAAATTCTTACAATTTACAATACAATTTTCAAAAATGGATAAAGACTAATAGCCAAGTCTTGATATCATGCAGGGAGAATATACATAGATAAGCAATTATATTTTATAGTAGTAGTATTCAGAAATTCTTACAATTTACAATACAATTTTCAAAAATGGATAAAGACTAATAGCCAAGTCTTGATATCATGCAGGGAGAATATACATAGATAAGCAATTATATTTTATAGTAGTAGTTTCAGAAATTCTTACAATTTACAATACAATTTTCAAAAATGGATAAAGACTAATAGCCAAGTCTTGATATCATGCAGGGAGAATATACATAGATAAGCAATTATATTTTATAGTAGTAGTATTCAGAAATTCTTACAATTTACAATACAATTTTCAAAAATGGATAAAGACTAATAGCCAAGTCTTGATATCATGCAGGGAGAATATACATAGATAAGCAATTATATTTTATAGTAGTAGTATTCAGAAATTCTTACAATTTACAATACAATTTTCAAAAATGGATAAAGACTAATAGCCAAGTCTTGATATCATGCAGGGAGAATATACATAGATAAGCAATTATATTTTATAGTAGTAGTATTCAGAAATTCTTACAATTTACAATACAATTTTCAAAAATGGATAAAGACTAATAGCCAAGTCTTGATATCATGCAGGGAGAATATACATAGATAAGCAATTATATTTTATAGTAGTAGTATTCAGAAATTCTTACAATTTACAATACAATTTTCAAAAATGGATAAAGACTAATAGCCAAGTCTTGATATCATGCAGGGAGAATATACATAGATAAGCAATTATATTTTATAGTAGTAGTATTCAGAAATTCTTACAATTTACAATACAATTTTCAAAAATGGATAAAGACTAATAGCCAAGTCTTGATATCATGCAGGGAGAATATACATAGATAAGCAATTATATTTTATAGTAGTAGTATTCAGAAATTCTTACAATTTACAATACAATTTTCAAAAATGGATAAAGACTAATAGCCAAGTCTTGATATCATGCAGGGAGAATATATAGATAAGCAATTATATTTTATAGTAGTAGTATTCAGAAATTCTTACAATTTACAATACAATTTTCAAAAATGGATAAAGACTAATAGCCAAGTCTTGATATCATGCAGGGAGAATATACATAGATAAGCAATTATATTTTATAGTAGTAGTATTCAGAAATTCTTACAATTTACAATACAATTTTCAAAAATGGATAAAGACTAATAGCCAAGTCTTGATATCATGCAGGGAGAATATACATAGATAAGCAATTATATTTTATAGTAGTAGTATTCAG